GATCAAGTTTTTGTCGTACGATTATGTCGATGTTTTGATTTCCAGACGGAGGTCTTTGGTGGTGCTCGTGACTGATCAAACTAGCTTTATTATAATCCTCACATCGTCTCAGACACATCCTTCCCTTCATCGTGCAGCACAGTTTTCCAGCAAAGCCACGGAGTGATTTCATATCTCAAAGACAAATTAATGAAATTTCACCAAGATCCATGTTTTCTCTCACTGAACCTTCATCCCTCGCTCTTTTTTCATTCCTGTAATTATTCTCACGCGCTGCTTTTTCCATCACCCATCCTTTAAATCTCAAGGACAGCTGCAGAAAAAACGTTTTAATGTGCCGGTGCGGCTGGCATCGAGCAGCTGAAAGATCCACGTTCAAGCCAAGAGGCCAATCCATTAAGCTAGCTTTTCTCAGAACTGCCTTTTAACAGCTCGAACACTACGAGTTATTATGCAAGGAGACAAGAGGAGAGCAGGAGGTGTGTAAGGTTAGCTGGAAAAGATGTTTCTGTAGATGAGCGATTCAGTTTAATGAGTGCAATAAAAGAAACTCGAGACGCTTTAAGATGAGGAGGAGGACTGAAGAGGGGAGGGAACGACACATGAAGACATGAACGAGTGAAAAGAGAGAATCTAATCCAACTACTTTCATGATCTGACTGGTTTTATCTCAGTTTAACACGTTTGTTTAAGAGTTCGGAAAGACAGGAAAGTACGACCTGCAACAGACGCACAATATGGCCGCCTGTCTGACATTAAAAAGCCCGTCCTTTTGTATTAATCCAAAAGACGACCAAACTTAACGGTGACCATTGAAGACAACGATCTGTCGCTTTTTGTGCACATGTTGTGTTTGAGGAGTCGGTGGGTTCACTGTCAGTGGGGATTGTTCGCAAAGTGTTTTTTGTATTTGGGGAAAATTTAGTCATCAGCCGTGGAAACGAAAGGTCGGCTGTCTTACCTGTGAAGACGAAGACGTTAATGACTCTATTAGAAATAATTTAACTGCACAGGTGAGACAACATCCCACATAGAGACACCTGAGACACCTGAGACACCTGGGTTTGAACAAGTGCAGTAAAAATCAGTTTAGTCCAGGAGACATCACCTCCAACAACTCACCTAACGGGGCGCTCACACCAAGCGCACGTAAAATCATCTTCACGCAAATCTAGACGTGAATAAATAGTATTTACTCGCTTCATTCGTGCATCAACAGTAATTTCTACAGTAATCCCTGCCAATTCAACCGGCGGGATCAAGCGATCTTACCTCCTTTCTCACTTTCCTCCAGACAAGCTCCTATTTATTCCAGTTTCGGTAATTTAAAGAAAAGTCATAATATAATTCAAGGTACCCACACACCGACACGACCAGTTTGTCCTCCATTTTAGATACCAGTGAACAACCATCTGTTTTCAAACGTCACCTGGCAACCTTCGTGCTGATTGGTTATCCCCACGTGAATATCTGATCAAGTTGAGACGTTTTCAGCCCCCTGCCTAATTCGGGTTATTCCAAAGCTCCTGGCTGGCTCGCCACTTACATAGCAGATTTCATTGATGCAAAGGTGAAAAAATGAAGACAGAATCAAGTTGTCAGCCTCTTGCAGGATTTTATTGTGGTTGCAGCATCAATCATGACACTTCACTGTTACACAGTTTGGGCGTTCCAATGACATCACTTGTTATCTTCCCGTAAGTGGTCTTCACATTGGTGTCAGCTTGACATGACCTTTCCTGCATCCTCTTTTGCAACACTTGACTTAACATACAATTCAGTCGCGTAAATGATTTTACTCGCACTTGGTGTGTGGAGACGGTAAGACAGGAGGTCCAAATGACTCGAGTAGAAATAAGTTTGAAAGCTGAGATTACTAAGACGGGTTCAACAGCAGCACCGACACCCCTGATCAGGTCAAGATCTGGTCCTGTGGCCTTTCGGATCACTCTGAGTTTCAAAGGTTCTTCCACCATCTATCAGACTCTGAATCCAGTTTATTTCCCATGTTTCGTCCACACTAACTCAAACCCCACAGCTGCGACTCGATGCTATTGGTTGTGACGTTGTTGTACCTCTGACGCGTCTCTGTTTGAGAGTGTAAAGTCGCCCTGCAGCGACATGTGGAGGTAAAAAAAACTGGTTCAACACAGCGCCAGTGTCCTTCTGGAGACGACCAGTCATGCCCCATTTCTCTCCACTTCACATCAGATATTTCAGTTTTCTTCAGATGAATTTCAGAGGGAAACTGTCAACAGCTTTTTATATTTGGTGTTATATAAGTCCGCTAAGCTACAGGCTGAATCGAACAGAAGTGTCACTGAAGAGCAGAGCTACATTGTCCTGTGACACACGAGAAACAAACCACCACAATATCAGATATTTGTCTGTAATCTCCACAAACTTCAGGCTCATCAGAGAGAGAGAGAGAGAGAGAGAGAGCAGGTGAAAAACAATCCCTCACTGATTCAGACGTGTCCTCAGGTCTTATCTTCTCCTGCAGACACATCGAAATAACCGGCTGAGTGAAGTCAACCATTCCTCTGCGACACAGACCTGGAAATGGAAAATATTCCCTGAAAGATAAAATAATAACAGGCTTCAGCATATTTACAGACCGAGTGTTCAGGTTCTGGTTTTCCAGAAAAGCAGCATCTTTGACAGTCGTTTCCATTAGCCGTAACAGCAGTTAGCACATGGCTAACACAGCTGACCTTCACTCCACACGTCTGTGCCATCTGGGCCGCTGTGCCACTTCCCTCCACAGAGAGACCTCCAGGATTAGTATTCAGGTCCTTTAGTGTCTCCGCTGGCCTGAATATCAACAAACTCTCCTTTTCCGCTCTGTAAGAATTTATAATCCAGGGAGCCTGAAAGAAAACAGTCAAATATTGTGTTTCTGTTAATTATTTTCACACTGATTAATCAAGAAAGAGCTCACAGTTCGAGATAACACATCCTCCTCTCAGTTTAAGTTATTAGGAAATATTTTAATCTGAGTTTCAGATCCAATTTTAGATTTTGGGTTAAGGACACGACTACGCAGGGGTGGAGTCACAGATTCTTAGTAACCTCTAACTCAGTAAGTCCACGTGACACAAACTTTAAACTTCCAAACAAAACCCCCGACATTAGAGAGATTTTATAAACTCCCCCGGACAAGGCCAGACAGCCTAAAAAAAGAGGACATGTCCGGGTAAAAGAGGACGTATGGTCACCCTAAACAAAGTGGACAGCTGAGACACTCTCCTTGACACCCTTCTGTCCGGATCACCACCTTTTATTTCTCCTCTATATAATGGTCCTCTGATGTAGAATGACAGGATGGAGGAGCCTATACGAATCACTCCTGTCGTTACATCATCACAGGAGCGAGCTCAAATGTCCGTGTAGAAACTCTGTTTTACTGGAAACGATGCAGAGGTTTTTGAGCTTCCACATTCTCAGGGTTGCTGGGCTGAAGGACGACTAAATCGGACATTTACCAGCAAGAAAATAAAACATTTTATGTATCCAGTAAGACCAGTTCATGAACCAGTGGCAGCCATGACAGTCATGGTACAGTGAACGGCTCGTGCTCCTCAACCAGCTACTAGAGATTCCTGATATCTCAGTTTCCGGGTCACTTTTTAATCTTTATTTGGTGGACTTTTTTGTAGAGGGTTACACAAACCATTGTTAATATATATATATATTTTTTTTTAAAGCCTGACATGTTGGTCGTTCGCTGAGTTGAAGTTGCAGTGTAACCACCTTTTTCTTGCCAAACCTGCAGCTCCGATTCTGGCTGCTGCCCTAATGTTATCATGCCCTCCTGAAACAAGCACAGATGACAGATTAGATACTATAGTTGTATTTAGACTGAGTCTGGTTAAAGTGGCACATAATGACTTAACTGTAGGTAATGCATAACAAGCATAGACAGGAGGAGCAAAGGCAGGTGGTGCTAGCTCTGCTGGAGTGAGACCAAGCTGACAGAAGTCCTGACTCTGAGTTCAGATCTTTTTTAAAACAACGAGAAAACAAATTCATACAAAGACAATTGACCTGATACTTGATTAGATTCAGTTAAAAAAGGTTCCTGCTCTGATGTCCTTAAAGGGGCGGCTCACTCTCTGATCCCTCTCAGAGTCCTGCAGGTCCACCTGTCTGCCTCTCTTTTCTCAGATGTTCGTGTGTCCACGAGGCGCCGAGCAGCACCTTGTCTTCCCGATCTGTTTCCCCTCTTTTTTCGTTGTCGAGCGTAAGCTGCCGTCAGGCTCGAGTGCCTCCTCCTTGTTCAGTCTCCTCCACAGAAACACAGAAACAGAAAATCGGAGCGTTCAGACGACATGAAAGCTTTTCAAGTGTTTGTGATTCAGCCGCTCTTTTCTGCCGTCGAGTTTTAATCCTCAGCAGATGCAAAGAACCAATCTGTATCCGAGCGCTGGCTGCCAAAATGGTGTTTTTTATTTCATGTTGTCCCTCACACTCAGACATTCAATCCCTGTCAAGTCTCCACTCTGATGGATTATTCCGGTTCATCATGTTTCCGTCAATAGAGGCCAAACACAACACATCAAAAACTCCTCCTATATCCTTTCCTTGTTTCCTCATATCCTCTTGCCTACTTCCTGTATCCTCCTCTCATCTCTTCCCTTTTCCTCATCTCATGTCCTCGTTTCCTCTCCTTATCTTAACCTTGTACCCTTCCTTTCCTTCCTCATAATTAGGGCTCATTAATCAGTATCCAGTCGTTAAGTGTGACGTGACTCAGGAAGTCTAAAGCAGGTGGCGCCCTCTGCTGTTTGAAATGAGTACTGATATCCATTTTTTCATCTCACTGATTTGATCTTCTCAAGAGGAGCTGTCACATCCTTGCCTCTCATTTACCCACCTCCTTCTTTCCTTGATTCCTTTCCTATCTCCTACTCTGCCTATCTTCTTCCTCCGCTCCCTCGCGTCCTTGTTTCCTCTCCTTTCTGTCCGTCCTCTCTGCTATCTTCTCCTGCACCTTTATCATCCCTCCTCTTCCTCTTCCTCCCTCCTTCCCTCCTTCCTTCCTCGCCTTGCTGCGTCACACAGAGTAGAAGAAGAAGAGGAGGAGGAGGAGGAGGAGGAGGAGGAGGAGAGATTTTTGACAGCAGTGCAGTGATCACAGCCTCATTCCTGCAGCTCAGCGACAGCCTCACGCTCTCCTCTCGCTCATTCCCTCACGATGCACCAAAACCTGACATCCCTGTCGACCAATCAGAGATCAAAACACAGGGTAGCGTTAGAGCAGGGGGAGGCGGGGCTTAACTCAGCAGATGTTGGGTGTAAGAGAAAGTGTGTCTATTTCTGAATTTTGATTTTTGTCTTTTTTTCTTTCTCCTCCCTCTCACTGCTTCTTGTTTTGGACTCTTTTTTTTGCTCCTCCTTCGATCTTCCCTCTCTGCTTGGCTTTTTTTGGGGCAGTGCTGAGATTTTCGTTTCTTCTTTTTCTTTTTTTTTTTTCTGTCACTGACGGCTGCTTCTCGTGCTCCAGCAGAAACACTGCTGCTCATCCTCTCGGCCAATCACCATCAGTCTCTCTGACGTTTCCCCTCACTGCTTTTTTTCCTCACATCACATCCGTCTGTGAGCCGGTCCCTCTCTCCTCCTCCTCCTCCTCCCTCTCTTCATCCTCTGTCTGCTTCTCAGGTCTCAGCCGGACTAAAAACACGAGGAGCTCGGATCAGTCTGGTTTTGGATCCTAGTTCAGACCTTAAAGACGTGAGATTTTGCTTTTTGAACCGTCTGTTTTACTGTGAGTGAGAAATGAGAAATGACTGGAGAGAGAAACACAGAAATGATCAGCAGCGCCGACCAGAGTCAGGATTCACCTCTGACCTCTTTGTTTCAAATCCATCGTCCACCAGATCTAAGAAACTAACATCAGATCTACGAGTTTGATTCTGGAAATGATCAATATTTAAAGAATTAGAGTTTGAAAACTCTTTATTAAACTATTCTCGTATTTTCCACCAGAATATTTCGGCCATTTTGACGTAAAACTCAGAATACAGAGATGGTGAAAGTTGAAAATTCAAGGGAAAATAAATCAGATAATTTCTTAAACTGAAGTTATAAACTCACTGTTGAATTATTTGTTTAATCTGGAGGACTAAAGCGGAAAAAAAACTATTTGAAATAAAAGTCGTAGATTTTCCTGTCAAAAACACGTAAATATTCAGTTACATAAAAGACGAGCGTTACGACAAAAAAAAAAACACTTAGGTAGATTTTTTTTTTGTTAGTTTTTGAGAGAAAACTTTTTAGTTATCTGAGAGAAAAAGTCACAAATGTCCCAGAAAAAAAACTGATTTTTCGTCAAATAAAAAACAGAAGTCAGCAAAGTTCATCCGGGACGAATTCAGCCGGATCGGTAAAAAAGTCTTAATTTATCTGAGATAAAAGTCAGACATTTTCAGGAAGATTATCGAGGGTTTTATCTGAGATAGAAGTAAAAAAAAAATCCCAATTCAGGTGATAAAAGAAAAAACAAAAGAAACACCAGTTTCATGTAGGAAAACTCAGTGAGTTTAATGTCGAGGTCAGACTACCTGATTTTAGCACAATTACAGCGCAGTACTCCTGACATAGAGTTTTGGTTCTCACCGACCCCAAAGAAAATCCTGATCAGGGTCTGAAAAGTGAAACTCTCTCAGACCTCTGAGATTTATTATATTATACAGAGATTAGATGTTAAAAATAAAGATCAGGAGTTCAGACTAATATTGACCTCAAAGAACAAGAATAAAAAATGACACATAACTGGAATAAAAGATGTAAATAAAACAGAAAAACTCTGATTTCCTCAAAGTCCTGAAAAGAAAAAACAACTGAGAGTTTTTGTTTTTTATGGAGAGCAGCATCAGTCACTTTTATAAAAACAGGTCAGATTTTTACATTTAGTTTGTTTCATTAAAAAAACGCTTCTATGGACGATAAAGTGTCCGATCTTTGGAGAATGTTCTCCTGAATATTTATCAGCAGTTGATTTTAAAAGATGATTGAACTTAAAGCTCCTGCGGGGAGTTTTTGAAGGTTAGGAAGTGGACTGAAAGTGAAATTTACTGTGTGAGCTACAAATGCAAACAAACCAATCATTTATATCAGGTTATTTTTAACATCTGGAGCTGCTGCTGAGGGAGGACATAGAATTAAAAAAAACATATATTAACATTTTCACAGGAAAGGTGAGTTTGAGTGGCGCCCTCCGGTGGACGTATTCTATAATGTCCAACAATCATGAAATCGTTTAAACTTAAAATGTGAAATAAGCACAATCGAGCCTTAAGAGATACAATTGGATGAGATTTCCTGTCACTAAATCACTCCTTGCACACCTAGAGGCCAAAATCACCAAAGAGATGCAGCGCACCACTTTGTCCACAGGGGGCGCCAAAACCGACACAAACCTGAAGTTCCTCACGGGAGCTTTAAGAGAGAAAAAAACACAAAAACAGGTATTTAGATTAGCGTCTTTTCGAGTCGATTCTTCGTCGTAAACATAAAACCTCGGAGGCAACACGACGGATGAGACTAGAAAATAAAAACGCTGAAGGTGAGGATGACGAGTTTGAGGGTGAAATATGAATAAATGAGTCTGAGTGAAGGGAAAGAGTGTGTGTTCATAGCGCTGACAGACAAACAGACGTGGAATAAACACTCGGATGTTTCTCTATATAGTTAATCCATTTATGGGAATGTATGAGTAGTGTCAGAATTAGCACGATAATAGAACAATGCAGTAAAAGTATAACCTGAATCACTTCACAGATATATTGTATGTATATTATAAGACCATTTAGTTTTTGTTTTGGAGAAATCGCTTTATTAACATGTAAAAAAGAAAAAGGATCATCTATGTTTTATATAATCAAGCTTTTTTTGTATTTTTATACTTGAAGAAGAGGACTCATGAGCACGTAACACATCTGTAAATTATTATTTTTCTGTGTTGGAGATTTCTTATTTTTGTTCCTGCTAACATCAATCACAGCAGTCAGAGGAGAGAGAGAGAGAGAGAGAGAGCACCACATTTCTAAGAAGCACACATCCTCCTTTCTCTGAGCGGGTCACCTCACTGATAGACGCCCATTTTGTAGCTGTTACTCTCTATTATAACCTACGGTGTACACACACTACAGTTTATTGATGGTTTATTGATGAATGTGTGATTGTTCAAACCATTTGTGGATGTTCAAAAATGTATATAAACCCAAATAATATATGACAAATTGATTTTATGTGGAATTTTTTCTAAAAGAATCCAAAAATGGCATGCATATACTGTAAACATTCCTGGAAATCTGCACGCTGGGTCAACAGAGGTCTCATTTTCTTGTCGATAATTCTGTGTATACCTGTGAGTGTATGATAGAGTAAACAGATTGTACAGTAACATAGATTTTGTATCATGTTAAAAATGGGTGGGTTAACGGCCCTTTTACTGTCAGAATAAAGAAAAAGAAAAAAAAGATCCAATCGAAGTACGAGAAGAAGAAGAAGACGAAGAAGAAGAAGATGAACGATGTTGTGTATCATCTAAATACTGTTCCTCAGTCTGAGAGTGCTGCCTGCTGTGTGGGGTACGTGTCGTTTGTGAATCGTGAAGAAGAATGATAATCTAATACAGAGTCCGTATAACTAAAGACCAACTAAACCGTGCAAAACAACACGACGCAACTTTGTGTATGGAGACCACAAGTTGCCGCTCTGTGTGAGAAAAATCAACCGGACTAAAAAGGTTGCTGCTTTTGTAAGTTCCTGTTGTGTTTTTGTGACAATAAAGGTGACCCTCTTATTATTATTATACACGCTGTCTGGACTGTCTGGTTCTTTGAGACTCTGGAGAGACTGTGGTCTGAAAGTATTCCCGCCCGGTCCAGAGGATGTGAGCTTCAGGTCATGGCACTGTGTTGAGAAAACCGCTCAGCTGTTCCAGGTGAGTCTCAGCTTCACTGTAAACAGAAACTTACTCAGACGCTGCCCTCCAGTGGTGAAGCAGGAATCGTGGAGGTTACAGACGAGCGCTTGGTTGAACTAAGTCTTAACTTAGACGAGTTCGATTTAAGATGAAGTTTACCCTCCAGTTTATAAGTTACAACTTTAAAAGAGGCAGAAATAATACTTAAGTACAACAGAGTAAGAAACGGGGATTTATTTGATCTGAAAAGGAATCAGAGAGGAAGAAAAAAGTCTGGAAAAAAAACATTTCTTTAAGTTAAATCTTTAAGGTGGAGCGTACATCAACTTTGTGGGGGCGTTTACCTGTGGTACCATGTGATGGAAGTAAAAACATCAAAGTTATTTAATATGTAAATTTAATCTTCTATATTTCATATTGATTCCAAAACTGAGCACTTAAATACAAACCAAACTGTAGAAACACAAATTTAACATCTTCGCTCAGAAAGACTCGAGTATTTAACTTTACAAATCTGGAAAATCAGTCAAACAAAAACACGGTTAAATTTCTAAAAAGGTGCTCCGTCAGGTTTTTCTCCGTCAGAGGATCATTCAGAGGGTTCAGTTTTAGGTTTTATCCACAGGAAGGGAGTCCGGGGGCGCCTCTGAGTCCACCAACACTTCACTCTTTGCTTTGCTGAGATGAATTTAACACTTTGTTTTGTAAAGATTTCAGGATTTTAGACGAGTGAATTATCACTTTTGAGGAAACCCCGAATCTTGTTTTATTCATACTCTGTGTTCGAGTCCCGGCAGTGATTCACCTACTGATCTCTGCAGCCGTTTTTTTAGATCTCTTGAGGTTCAGACATGTTTATCTTCATGTTTTAAACTGATCACAGCGTCTTTGTGTGGATTATTGAAAACATTAACTCACTGACTGCACCTTTAAGAGCTTCTCGTGTGTCTGTTTCATTGTGTTTATACTGGGCTGTCAGTTTGTCCCCCTGAGGCAGCTGGGAGTGTTTAACTGGAAGCTCCGCCCTCTTTTCTCCCGCTGCTTCACTTCCTGATCTTCACCCTCTGAGCAGACTCGACTCACTAACTTCTGTGCGGAGAAAAGCAGAACAGAGTGACAGTGAAGAGCAGCAGAGAGACTGTAAGTACAAAAAAAACATGAAGGAGTCAGAGCAGAAACCTCGATAAAAAGGAGGAAAGTTTTCTACGTCGTCTTCTGTGAGAAACCTGAGAGTCAGTTCGATCTGTGGTTTGAAAACAGGCGTTCAGATTTTAAAGTACAAACCTCCCAAACCTGAAGAGCAGCAGATCATGTCCTGAAACAGTCACACCTTTTTAAAAACATAAAGCTTCATGTGATCCTCGAGAATAATTCACCTGGAGAGATTTTTAAAGCTCCTGTGGGTGATTTTGTGAAAAAAGCTGAAATAAACACAAACCAGAACAACAGCAACACTAGTTTTATCATGTCGTAGTTTTTAATACTTGAGACTTTTCACATTTTTCACACTTTTAAAAAGTCACAGCAGTAATCGTCAAACATGATAATGAAGTTTTGTTGTTTGAATCTTTATGTGACTTTTATTTCTCAAAATTTTCTGTCATTTTTTTCACCTCAGACAGAAGATCAGCCGTCCTGGTTTTGGGAAATCAGCGTTTTCTTCTCGTAGACGACGAACTTCACGTTGATCTTCTGAGAGAGTAAAACAGGAAGATGGAGGATTCGTTCGATTACAGACTCCTCGTCCCTCAAACCGACCCTGAAGACGAACTCTCCGTGAGTCTGACGTCGTTCTCGCTCCTCTACAGTCAGCGCAGAGATCGTCTCCAGAGAGTCTCGGAGAGCTTCGCTCTGACGGCGGCTCGTCTCCATGGAGACCCTCCTGAGAATAAAACAGCCCGGGTCGTGTTCGCCGTGTTCGGAGGAGCTCTGGGCGCGGGCTGTGGGGTCATGTCTGGAGGGGTTTGTGAGATTTTAGGGGCTATAAGTGCAACAACCGTCAACAGGATCTGCGGTCAGATCAACGCGGTCGGTGCGACCGTTGGTTTCTTCGGCAGCGTGTTGGGCGGAGTCATCGGGGGAGTCTTTTGTGGAGCGATCGGAGGAGCGATCGGAGCTACAGCTGGACCACCTGACAGCCCAGTTCACGACGTTACACGTGACGTCGTCTGGTTCACCGTCGGCGGTGTGACCGGAGGTGCAATCGGAGCTACTTTTGGGGGGACGGTTGGAGCAGCAGGCGGGGCAGTGGGCGGGGCTTTCGGGGGGGTTTGTGCCACTAAGTTTACGGTCTTCTTAGCTGGAAGCATCTTTGGACGCTTCAGTGGAAACAAAGACTTCAACAGACAGAGTCAGATGTTCAAGAACCAGAAGGTGATCCAGGACTCTGCAGGAGACTTTAGAGAAACCTTCAAACCTCTGCTGGAGGAGATGAGAACCATCAAGTCCATAAACCAGAAGATGTCGGACAGAGAGGCTGTGCAGAGCGTCGCCACACAAATCGAGAAGACTCTGGACGCCGTGATAACTCTGGAAATAACTCTGAGTGACTCTCAGAGAGCTACAGATCTGCACAAGTTTGTCTCCAGTGTTGACGAGGCGGCGAGACAAAGCAGGAAAACCACAGAGGAGCTTCAGACGACGAGCGAGGAGGTGGAAAAACTTTTGGGATCATTGAGGAAACACTAAGAAGTGAAGAGAGACCTGGATGAGACTGGAGGAGCGCAGACAGAAATAAAACCGACAGACTCGAGTCTCCAAACCTGTTCTTCCCAGCCCTCCTGAAGTTTTAAGGACAAGTGGACCTCAGAGACCAAACCTGCAGACTGACTCGGCTACAGCTCTTATTTTACAGTTTTTTTGGCAGCAGAAGGTTTTTATATTTACAGGGACTTCAAAATAACAGAGCGTCTTTTTAACTTCAGAGTGCAGACGAGACATTTCCAAAAAGAAAAGCCGCCAAAGGCTATTTTTATTTTTGTCATTACGCCGTGATCTAAGGAGTTCGTCCCTCTGGACTTCATGTAGATTATTCATATTTAAGTAACATTAAAAAAAAAGCACGGTTATATAAAGTTTCAGCTGGACTGAGGGGAGTTATGTAATATCAAAGCTCGCCGCTGTATCTGATCCCACCGTCAGAAAAAACGTCCTGCACCGAGAGCGTCTCTGCAGAGCCGAGCGAAGGGTTCAACCAAAACCTGCAGCTGAAATACTCCTTTAAAAAATCCACGGGTGTTAAATCCTCAGCAGATGTCGTAAATTTGTGGATTTTCTGTCTTCTTCAGGGAAAAATTGTCTTTTAAAAACTTACAATCTGTTGTAAAAAGTGAGAAATGTTCAATAAAAGTTCTAAATCTGATTAAATGTGATAATTTTTTCGCCTTCAGAGATAATCAGAAATTAATAAATGAAGTTTGTGTCGGATCATTACTCCAGGATGATAAACTCGTCTGCAGATTATCATCTTTCCACATGAAGCAGCAGAGAAAAGTGATAATTGTGCTGCTGAAGTGTCTCAGTGTCGACGCTGATTTATGTAAACGTCTTAATTTAGACCGAAAACTGAAAAATCTCTTTAGTGTGAAATCAGACAGTTTCACATCCAAACAAACCAAATCAAGTCAAGATGAAGCTCTGAGGAAGAAATTATGAAATTATCAGTCAGCTCATGTGTCGTAAAAATGTGATTAATATTGACTATTAGCTGTTTATCCATTTATGAATTTTTATACAGACATAGAAAATAAGGAGTTAAGGAGTGAAAAGCAGAGCTCAGAGTGTTCAGAGGGTCATGTAAAATTGTGACGTGTTTTTCTTAAAGCAGTTGGTAAACTTTATCTACTGTCAGGCTTCAGTTTTGTAAGAACGATTGAAAAAGGAGTGAATCTAAACAGATTTGTAATTTTTCATCTCTTTTATTTTATTTCCAACTCACAAACAAGACTACAAAAGAATATAAGCTTTAAGTCCAAGTCCAGAGTTGTGTTTATCAGTAGATTGTGACTAAAACTGTAGCTGACCTGAATAAATGTTTTTACTCACTTTTATTTTAGTAAAAAAAAACTACAAGCTAAAAGTCCGGGGCGCTTTCGAAGCTCAATTTTTGCGAATTTCTCAGCAATAAATATATTTGTCCAAGTCCAGAGACTCAATTTTAAAGAGATGATGATTTTAAGATCTCTCTTTATCACTTATTAAGTATTTAGTTCCCTGTATTTGTTGTGTTTTCTTTCAGTGTAATGCATATTAAGACTATTGAACTAAATCATGAAAGGTTCACATGAAACACTGGAGTTAAAAGTCATTTTATTGATGTAACAGACACAAGAATAATAATTCTTTAATTCTTCATTAATTCATAGATATTTGAGACTTAGATCAGCTTCTCTGACAGTCATGCAAATATAAGTGTAAACAGATCTTAATGACAAAATTCAGTAAAACCTTTTGTTTATTTTTACTGTTTTAAAAGACATCTGGGTAAAATAAAGAGACAGAGTCACCATGTGTTTGTGTGTTTTTTATTTACAAATAAATAAAAGAAAACACTATCGGAGACGGAAGACCCTGAAGCACTGAGCCAACAACACAACTCGACCATGCTGTCCTCTGCCATCCCACACAGCAGCAGGTCACCAGTCCTGTAGACTCCTGATGATCATAGAAGGCTTCAGGATCTAAAATTCAGGACCCATTTACAAAAAGCAATAAGCTTATTAAAGTGATATTAATATGATATAATACTATGACATTTATTTTATACTTTGATTTTTTTTAAACATATTGTACTATAATTTATGATAAGGAATATATTGGAATGTTTGTATCATAATATACTATAACTTTTTTTATACAATGAAATTTTTAACATACTATACTATGATTTTTTAAACATACTATATTTTATAATGAATATAATGTGATATTTGCAACATAATGTACTGACATTTTATTAACATACTATATTTTTAACATACTATACTATATGACATTTTTTAACATACTGTACTATGATTTTTTATCATACTATACTATGACATTTTTTAACACACTATACTATAACATTTTTTTGACATACTATACTATAACATTTTTTTTAACATACTATACTATGACATTTTTTTAAACATACTATACCATGACATTTTTTGACATACTATACTATGACATTTTCAACGTACTTCATGATAAAAAATTTTGTGACATACTATACTATGATATTTTTTAACATACTATACTATGACATTTTTTGACATACTATACTATGACATTTTCAATTCTACTATACTATGACATTTTCAACGTACTTCATGATAAAAAATTTTGTGACATACTATACTATGATATTTTTTTAACATACTATACTATGACATTTTTTGACATACTATGACATTTTCAATGCTACTATACTATGACATTTTTTTAACATACTATACTATGATTTTTTTAATATACTATACTATGACCTTTTTGACATACTATGCTATGACATTTTCAATGCTACTATACTATGACATTTTTTTAACAAACTATACTATGATTTTTTTTAATATACTATACTATGACCTTTTTGACAAACTATACTATGACATTTTAAACACACTTTACTCTAACATTTTTACATTCTATACTATGACATTTTATTGACATACTATACAATATTTTTTTAACATACTATACTATGACATTTCTAACATACTGTACTATAAGCTTTTTAACATACTATACTATGACATTTTTTGACAAACTATACTATAACATTTTTAACACACTATACCATGACATTTTATCAACTACACTTTATTTTATTGACATACTATACTATAGCATTTTTTCAACATACTATACTATGACTTTTTTTTGACATACTATACCATGACATTTTCACAGACTATACTATGACATTTTTTTGGCATACTATTCTATGACATTTCTAACATACTGTACAATGAAATTTTCAACATACTATACTATGACATTTTTTTGACATACTATACTATGAAATTTACAACGTATTATACTATGACATTTTTGACACACTATACTATGACTTTTTTACATTCTATACTATGACATTTTATTGACATACTATACCATGACATTTAAACATGCTATAAAATGACATTTTTTCCACATACTATACTATGACTTTTTTGACATACTATACTTTGACATTTTTTTAACATACTATACTATGAATTTTTAACATACTATACTATGACTTTTTATTGACATACTACACTATGACATTTTTAACATACTTAACTATGACATTTCAACCTACTATACTATGACATTTTATTGACATACTATACTATGAGCTTTTTTACATACTATACTATGACATTTCTAACATACTTTACTATGATCTTTAACATACTATACTATGACATTTTTAACAAAGTATACCGACATTTTTTTGACATGCTATACTATAACTTGTTTAACATATTATACTATGATTTTTTTTCCACATATTATACTATGACATTTTATCATACTGTACTATGACATTTTTGACATACTATTCTATGATTTTTTTTTTTGACATACTATACTATCGTGTTGAACACAATTAAAATGCTTTTATATGACCCTAATTCCACTCTTTAGAATTTGCATGAACAGTCAGCACAATGTGTGGCTGGTTATTTTTTTCAACCCATGCTGCCAATGCTTATAAAAATATAAATATAAATATTCACTGTACTTTTAGGAGTCAAAGCTTGAATACCAGTAAAATTTAATACATCATAAAATCGAGATTGAGACTCTTTAAATACGTGTGAAGACCCCACAGACACCCTGACACAATAATTGAAGGTGGTTGCAGCAAATAGACTCGGAGTCCTGGCCGGTATAAAATGGTTTATTTATTGTTGAAATGCAGAAGCACAATAGAAGCTCCTCTTACTTACACCTCAGTATTAAAAATAATTTAAATATATTACAAATCTCCAGGCTTAATTTGAGACCTACTCCAGGAGGACAGGGAGATGGACAGCTTGATTAATATTCTACTTAAAATAAAACCAATTAAAAAATCATGTCCAGAGCTTTTTTGAGAAAACTATCAAAATGATTTATGAGCGCTCTGTCCATCAAAGTTTCTTCAGAGTCACTTTGAGACGAGCGGGGCTAATGAAGCTCTCTATCTGCTGAACGGCTCGTTCTTCCATTTAACCGTCTTAATGAGTTCGTATGACATCCAGTGTCATTAACATCAGGAGCAGATAAAACTCTCGCTCTGTCTCTCTGTTTCTTATATTTGATTCTTTTAATCACAGAAATCTCTCCGATCATCAGAAAGCTCCTCTCTGACTGAGTCGTAGGAACATGCATTTTCACTCTGCAGACTGGAGCATGCATGAGTGGAGAGGCCGGTTTCCACAGTGAGTTTAATGTGGAGGTTTTGGACTCGTGGAGTTGTTGTTGTGTTTCTTTTGTTTTTTCACAGGGAGATGTCTGAGGACACGTGCAGCTGTTGTCCTGGTTTCCACTTGGTGCTGCGCCGGCTGCCGTCCGTTCGTCTGTACGGCTGGTTTCTCAGATCTGAGGGAAGAGAGACAAACACTGAGGAGGACGCTGAGACCAGATCTGAGGTTGAGCTGCAGACGTCAAAGTCCAGAAAATCACTTTTTCTTTTTAAAAATACTTTTTAATCATGATGCATTTCTCATACTTTACTTTGACATTTTTAACAATCTATATTACGACATTTTTAACATACTATATGATGACATTTTTTTTTAACTTACTTTACTATGACATTTTTATCCTACTATACTAAGGCCTTTTCTGTCATATTTTACTAAAAAACATTCGCTTTGTAGGCTGGGCTTCAAATTGGTTGTTTTTACTGTTTTCCAGCAGATGGCGCAATTCACTGTCAAGGCGAACAGTTCTCCTGACAACCGCTAGGGGCACTACACAGGAGGCTAAATTTCCCTCAAACTGAAATAGAAGGTAAAAGTAAGGTAAGGTGAAGGTAAAAGTTTTATTTTTTATCCATAAACAGGAATGAAGTTGGTGAAAATATCTGATGCAGTCGAGGTACAAATAACAGTAAAATACCGTAATTTTATTATCCTTTTCTGATTTGTCCACGTTTGAGAGTTAAAAGAGTTAAAAACGGACGGTGAATTCAGAAACTGTTGACTGAAAGGTTTTAACAGGCAACAATCATTTAGATTTAGATGAGATTTAAACAAAAACAGCTTTAAACTCAGATAATATCCTATTTTTTTTAACAAAACAGAATTTAGTACTGATCATGTAGACGTTTATTTTCTTCATGGTAAAACTTTTATTCAGTAATTAAAGAGACAGAAGTGAGAAGGATTTTCACCCTGAGTTTGGGGTTAAAGTCAGAACCTTTCTCCAAATATTCTGATAATAACTGTGCTCTCTCTCCCTCTCTCTCTCTCAAAGCTTAAAAACTGAATATCTGTCAGCAGAATATTGTGATGAATTTAGTTTAAAACACTGTTAGCGATCGTCTCTGTGTTCGTGTACCAGAATATTTTATATTTTATTTATTTCTACTTTTACTTCATGACCTCTAGAAAGTGGAAACATATATTTATTTGTAATTATTAGAAATGAAAGAGCAGATATTTGTTTGTACAGTAAATGTTGGTCTCATGGATGTTCAATAATCAGTACCAGTGTGTCAAATAAAGTGTCGCTGTGTGTCTGAGTGAAGAGAGAGAGAGAAAGGAAAAACAAACATCAGCGTTAAAGCAGAGAGATTCAAAGGCATCACCTCCTCGCTGAAGACCGAGTCACAGAAGAGGCGAGAGGAGCGTTTGGCAGAGCGAGCCGTGAAGGGCACAGACTTTAGAGCTGAGGACGGAGAGATGGAGAGAGAGGAGGGACAAACAAGAGAGGAAGAGAAGAAGAAAAAAGAGAAGAAGAAAAGGAGAGAGGACGAAGTTTTCAGAAAAACAGGAGATTAACTGAAGGATGAGAAACAGCAGAGTGAAAAAGTGATGTTTTCAGAGTGAGCAGGACATTAACAGGATTATCCGTGTGTGTGTGTGTGTGTGTCAGGTGTGTTATTCACCTGTGATGATGTCCTCGATGGCTCCGTCCTTCCCCTCCCTCACCAGAGGAGTCACCTGCCTCCTCTTCAGCTCAGCGATCAGATCCACAGGAGGTGGTTTGGTCGTCGTCACACAGACCTGAAACATGGAACATCTTTATCTGAGACTTCAGCAGGATCACCGTTTTTGTTTTTTCTCTCTCTCTCAGCTCGACTCACAAACTCTGATGTTTCTTTTGATGAACGTCCCGCTCACTCTGATTTATTCCTCTCAGAGTTTCAGCGCACACATTTGCCTCAGAGAGTTTTACAACCTGCCCAGTCGGCCAACGACAAACTATCTGCAGCTCCTCGGGGTAATAATAACTCTGAGCGGGTTAGAAATACGAGCAGACGGAGGATCAGACGGGCTGTAAACAAACCGAGAGCTCGGCCGACATGATTTCTTACTCTCTCTCTATCTGTGTTTGTGAACTAATGCTTCAAAAAGACCGAAAAACTTCTGTTTGGACTAAACCTGGTCTATCCGCTTATTTCTGCTCAGAGACGCAACAGATTCAGAATAAAGTTCCTGAGTAGATTTCATCATCTACAGTATTTATGATTAGGGCTGGGCGATATGACAAATTGATAAAATATTGTATTTATTGGAAAAAAAAACATGTTTGGGGTCGATTTCCAGTGTCGTGTTTACATGTTAAATGCCTGCACATGTTCTCTGTTTACTCAAAAGACAAGAAATGTGCAATAGAGATGTTTATGTTTATCTAGGGCTGGGCGATATGGCCTCAAATCAATATCATGATATATTGATCAGTTCACCTCGATAACTACTCCACAAGCTGCTCACCCCCTCCCACATTAACTTCGTCTACTCCTTTGGAAAGGACAACTGGACTTATTGGGAAACGTCCCAATAAGTCCAGTTGTCCTTTCAACGTAGAACTAGAAATCATAGATGCTGCATCCTCAGTTTTAAACAACATCTTCAGGTTTAGGAGCAACATCTGCGTCCATCTAGAAAAAGACTTTTTCAGAGAAGCAGCAGCCGGTCGTAGATTTGTCGTCACCTTGTTTCCCATGAGGTCTGGTTTAGACGGAGTTCTTGGAGCCTCCATGTTCACTCCAGTCTGTTTCTTCTTCTGCTCGTTCTCCTGCTCGGCTTGCTGTCAAACACAAAAACCCAAAGTCTTCGTTACAGTAAGACTTCTAAAGGTCAAATACGGAGCAGGACTTTGACTCTAAATGTTCCTGACGGGGTCGTTTTTTTATCAGAATAAGTGAATTAGTCGTTAAGTTAATTCATGGCAGGAGTCGATACAGAGAGTTTTATCTGACCTTGTACGCTTTGATGAAGCGGACAAACACGGGGAAAAACACGGAGGGCGGAGTGGTTTTAGAGTTCTCTCCAAAGTACTCCACAGCAGAGTCGTACGCGGCCTGGAGAAGAAAACAGGAAGTTACTGAAACATGAAAACTGTCTAAAAACTGGAGGTATCAGCTCAGAGTTATCTCCGACCTGGGCTGTTTTCCCGTCTGCGATGAGGGAGTGGAGCAGCTCCGTGTTGCTGCTGATGAACGTCTTCAGGACTGGATTATCTTTCTCCACTGAGAACTCTCTGCTGGTCACCTCCAGACCTCGCTCCAGAGAGCGCACGTCCTGCAGGACGCTGTCCAGAGAGACTGACAGGATAAAAACAGAGAGAAAAGAGAAGACGGTTCTGTTTAATGAAACTGCTGAGATGTTCCTGATGGAGATCTCCGAGTTTATGGTGTTCATGTTCTCACCCAGAGCCGCCTTATCCAGGAAGTGCAGCTCGGTGTCGAAGGTCTGGAGCTCGGGGTATTTCTCCTGGATGATGCCGACGATGTAGTGAAGAAGAGTCTGTCTGCGGTCTGTGGATTTGGTGTCCAGGAGCTGAAGAGAGAGAGGAGCCGACGTCAACAGAAGAAGAGCTGCTGGGTTTGTGATCAGCTGATTGATTTGTCTGAATAAAGCTGGATCGAAAACGTGAATAACTCGAGTTTTTAAATGTTTGTTTACATTAAAAATCTGATAAAATACTGAAACGTTTCAAAGTTTTTGTCTCTTTTTTTCTCACCAGATCTAAACTCTGCAGACGGAAACCGTACGCCGCTCCTCGTTTGCTGCTGTTCATGTAGTTTCCGAACGCCAGGACGATCTTGACGTCACAAACAGAGACAGAAACTTCACAGTTGGAGAAATACAGGCGCTAACACATCTGTGATTCTACAGGACTGGACGGTTCTGGACTCACCTCCAGGATTTTCTTCAGCTTGCTGGAGGATTTGATGGACATGGAGGCGGCGATGAGAGCGTTGAGTTGCTGCGGAGAAAGATGGGTTTGTGGTTAAAGTTTCTCCACATGAACTCCTCCTGATCTGTGAACTCACCGGCTGGATGATCTGGACGCTGTCGGGGAAGTTCCCCATGAACGTGAGCGTGCTGATTCGCTGAGAGAGCCTGGGGATCTTGCTGAAGCGCACCATGAAGCGGTCCTCCTCGCTGAGCTCGTCCAGGGGCCTGCCCTCGCACTCGTAGTTGTGGATGAGCTTCGTCTCGTACTCCGTGGGGATGAACCGCTCCAGGAGCTCCAGGAAGTCCAGACTCAGAGCCCTCTGGTTGTACCTGTGAGGAGGACAGACGGTCCATTATTCTGCTTCCTGTTCGGATCATACAGATCAGTTTCGGTACGTACGTCTCGATCGCGCAGCAGATGTCGGACGCCGCCATCCCCTCTTTGCGAAGGGTGATAGCCAGGTTTTTGGCCCTGTTGGGCTCCATTAGAGACACTCTGCTCGGGGTCTTGTTGGCCAGTTTCATCTTGAGGGTCCCCATTTCTACAGGAGAGGACTGAGCTTTGGTCTTGAACTGCTCCTCGAAGGCTGACATGTTCAGCTCCTGAGGGAAGACGATGGCGTGAAAGACAGCGAGGTTAAAAAGTTTGGTTTTGGAGAATAACCGCCAATTTCCACCGTATCCAGGACGGCTACGAAAAGGTCGTATCCACTGATCGTAGCTGATCGGGATCATTCAAGTTATTCTGTCAGTTTCCATCTTCTTCTTTACGTTCGCTCTGTAGTTGGAGTCACAACGTAGGTTTAATATCACTAACTGTCCTGATGTCTGATGAATCAAAATCTAAAACTCTTTTGGAAAGGACAACTGGAATTACTTGGGACGTTTCGCCTGAGGCAAAACGTCCCAAGTAAGTCCAGTTGTCCTTTTAACAAAGAATCGGCGTACAGCGAAAATCAACACCGTTCTGGATTGGAGCCGTTCCGAATGCGGTGAAAATTGAGAGAGGAACTTCGTGGACTAAAAATCTAACGACAGAAAAAAGAATTTAATTTGGTGAATATGAGACAGAGCAACAGAAAACCTCTAAGACGTGTTCGTCGTCGAGCTCGTTGAAGATGGTTCCCGCCACCTGGTTGGATTTCAGCGCCTGCCAGTTCAGCAGAGGCATCCGGTATTTGGTCTGAATCGGCTTCTTCTTCTTCAAACCTGGAAAAACAAAATCAAACTCAAAAACGGACGAATTTGTAAAAATATAGACGTCTCCTGTTAGACGAACTCACCTGAGCTCCCCTCTGTCACCAGCAGCAGAGGAGGCGGAGCCGCTGGAGGAGGAGGAGGAGCTCTGTTAGAGGCTGGAGGTGGAGGAGGAGGAGGAGGAGGAGGTGGAGGAGGAGGAGCTTGAACTGCGGTCGACTGCAGAGGACCATCAGTGAGGTCGGGTTGAGGGTCTGAGGGAGGAGCCTCCTGCTGGTCTTTACCTTCTTCAGCTGGAGAGACGACGACAAAGTTAGAGTTTAAGAAGAGAGAGAATGATGTCATACTAAAGATACCAGAGCTAGTTCAGGCAGGCTGTCAGCACATCAGCTGATCTCAGCCAGTTTCCTCCTGGGTGTTTTTTTTAACCCCGCCTCCACCCCTAATCCTCTTTTTTCTGATGTCTAGAAGTTCTCAGGACGCCTAATAACACGTTTGTCTCCTTCATGACGCCAAACTGAAGTGTTGTGAACTTAATTTTCGAGTTTCAGCTCCATGTTTACCTTAAATTCTCAGAGTATAAAACCTCTGAGGGGAAAACTGTGAAACTAAAACTCGTCCTCCTTCCTTCACTGACTCAGATCTGTTTTTTCTCTCTCGCCTTCATGAGTTTTTTTCTCTAAACCACAGACAGAAAATGGTTTTCCTCTTTGCCTCATTATTTCTCGTCTCTTTTGTCTCCTTGAACAATATCTTTGGTGTTTTGAGGCTCATCCTGAAAGACTTTCCTCTGGGGTCTCTTCTTCTAATAAAGGAAATGATTTATTTTGCAAAACAAAAGCCGCAGACGCCGACAGAGTGACAGAGTGACAGGCTTTTTATTTCACATTCAACTCCGAGCTGCAGCGTCCGGGAACCAAAACAACTCCTTATTCTTCTTCTTATTAAATAGTAAATCTGTGAGAGGAGAGATGAGCTCATTACTGTTTCATGGAGCTAATGAGACGGTTTCTCTTTCCTCATTCTGTGATTTTAATCTTTGCTCAGGACTAAAACCTGCTGCTGTCCACACTGGGTAAAGTCCTGACTGTGAACTTCAACCTGCCTTTTTATTTTCATTAAAGCTCCAGTGAGTAACTTTCTGTCTGTGTCGACTCTGGCGCCCCCTTGTGGACAAAGAGGAAACCCCTTTTATTTGATTATTAGCTCCTCTCACCTTTCTGACTCCCGAGCTGGTTGACGGGAACCACCTGAATGTCCAGGTGTCCAGAGGTGGAGCGCTCCATCCGGACCAGCCCCTGATCCACCAGGTCCTGGACCTTGACCTCCAGCTCCTTCAGGGCCTGGACGGACCGGTCCTGGTCTCTCTCTTTCTCTCTCTCCCTCTCTCGCTCCAGCTCTCTCTCTCGTTCTCTCTGCTGCAGCTGAGACACCTGAGAGCACGACTCCCGGAGACTCTCCTACGACAGAGCGAGGGAAACATCGGAAACTCATCATGTGGATAAACGACGACAATGAAACCAGCGCACAACTAAAGCCATGTCATGCCGCCACCTCTGTGGACCACCGCCCTGTCACACTGCCTGCCACCCCTATAGGGTAAGGGTTAAAATCACTGTCAAGGACCGATTTAGGTGCATGTTTCAGACCATGTCCGTTTTGGGGACAAAGTCGGCTGGATGGAGCTTCAAATTAACAGGAACAAAAGGTTAAAGTTAATAATTATATTAAAAAATAATTCCTGCAATTTCTCTAAGGCTTTGGCCCACAGCTTGCAGCGCCGGCTCAGACTCAATAAACCAAAAAACTGGACACAGAAGGACCTGAAGGAACCGTGGTCTGATGAATCTACATGACAGTCTCTTTGGAAACCATGGAAACCACATCCACACAGTCCAAAACCATCTGTGGAGACTCCACGGACGCTGAACAATATCAAAATCTTTAATATCTGAAATATGAACCAGAGACGCTGAAGGTCTAGATCAGGACCTGGTCTCCTCTGTTTCCAAACATGAAGGTGAACATGTCCAAACTTCTAAATCTGATAGGTTGTTGTTGTTGTTGTTGTTGTTGTTGTTGTTGTTGTTGTTGTTGTTGTTGTTGTTGAACTTCTCTCGATGAAACAAAGACCTAAAAATCTGTTTCTATCATACGTGGACGCCTGATAAGACCTTTTACCTTCAGCAGCTCCACCTCTTTGGTCATCTGAATCAGCTTCTTCTCCAGGCTGGAGCATTTCTCCGTCGCCTCCTTCTCGTTCTCCTGAATCCTGCAGGTCAGCTGTCACAGACACAAGATCACGATGCCGTGAGAACCTCATCGCTGTGAGAGCACGCCGAGTGTGTGTGCGTGTGCAGCGTCTGTACCTGGGCGTTGTGCTCCTGCAGCTCCTCCATGTGCTCCAGCAGAGCGTTCTTGGTCTCTGCGTCCTCCAGCAGAGCGCCAACATCAAACACGTTATCCAGGTAGGCCTGGATCTGCACCAGCAGCCTGTCGCTCTCCGTGAACTTCAACTTCTGCACAAAAACTCGGGTTACAGCACACTGACCTGTCAGGGTTCATGTTTTATTTCTGATTCTTCATCATCAGGGACTCGAGTCGTCCTGAGGTCAAAGGTCAGACTCACCTCTAAGTAGTCGTCCAGCCCGTGATGAGTGAACTCGTACTGCAGGTGAACTCTGAAGTTCATGTTTTCCACTGAGTGCACCACGATGTTGATGAACTGCATACAGGCCACCTGGTGGTCAGACAGAGAATTACATCATCTGTTTACAGAGCAGAGGATCAAACCTACTGAGAGAGACATCCACACAGAAACATTGATTATTGATCGTGTTATTTTCATGTGTTTAAGTTCAGCTGGTCCTGCGGCTTTACTCCAGGTTGAGGTTCATTTAAAGGGATATTCCGGATTAAAATTAATTTAGGGTCAAACACACCGTAACAGTTAGGCTGTGTAGCAGAATCTCTTCATACATTTAGGTTAATAAATATAGAGTAATTATCTTTTAATAAGGAGTTACAGATGATTTATGATCATGTCTTTATCATTTCCTTTAAGTAATAATCATCATATTAATCATTTTCTCTGCAGACGCAGTAGTTCTTCTGCCTTAACGTCTCGGTCTGATTGTATTTCCATGAAGAAATGATCATAAATGTTCTTCCTTGAGCTGCGTCACCCCGCTGTAGTCTGTAATGGACTGGCCTGAGGTCTCACTACAAACAAGCGGCTACTAGAAGAGAGTAGGTGAGTTGGAGCTGAGCATTATTTGTGGCTATAGAGTGGCGTTTTGGTTGGGGGCGTGGCTCTCTGTATTGCTATCCTGCGGTCGTTACTAAAGTTGGTAAAACTAGAGAAGCAAGAAGTCGGCAACATTCATCTCTGGAGGGGGGGTCTGACTCGGTGTAACTTAATTTTATACCGGAATATCCCTTTAAGGTTTTCTATCCACCTGTCCTCCCATCAACACAAAAACAAAAAGACTAAAACAGAAACCTTTACCATGAAGTCGATGTTGTTGTCTTCGTTGCAGAAATACTCCATGAGCTTCTCAAAGCGAGTTTTCTCTCCGCACACCTGAGAGACAAAAACAACGATTAAGATCCGTCATCAGCTGATACCTGGAAACACACCTGAGCTGCTCTGTTGTTCTCTTTATCGAGCTCCCAGATGATGAGCCGTGTGTGTGTGTGTGTGTGTGTGTGTGTGTGTGGACCTGATAAATGAACTCGTGTTTGTTCAGAGCTTCCCTGTGTTTACACACGGGGGCAGTGTTTGCACGCAGACAAACATCCTCACATCTATTATCTGCAGATCTCATCAGACGGCGTGTTGATGGTGCAGGAGGGGGACGGGTTTGGAGGTTTCTGTGGACTTTGTGGTTGTGGATTCAGTTTCAGGTTCATCTCGGTTCATTTTAGAGACACACAAAAACCTCGTCAATAACCAGAGCGGCGCTGAGTTTGTGTTTTGTGTTTGTTTTGTGTAGGATGATTGCTCTGCGTCTGTTGTTCTCTTTATTCTGCAGCTTTAAAATTAAATCAACAAACTCAGAGGAGGACGCCGTTCTTTAAAAACAAACCCAGTAATACCCGTGTTCGGCGTTTTATTCATCCTCCATTACTCTGTCAGCGCCCGCCTCCCCCCGGTTGCCCACTCATGTCCTCTAAATAATGCAGCACACCAACCTGACAGGCTGCACAACCCAAAACAAAAGCCCACGTTCTGCTGCCCAGGACTCTCCAGCAGCTCCTGGCCCAGAGCCTCCATCTCTCTCTCTCTCTTTCTTTCTCTCTCGCCCACACACACACAATGACGCCGCTGCAGCGCCAAAACAAACGCCACTCACTGTGATACTCGAGTCTCCGCCGTGGAAACTGATGCCACTCTCATCAGCAGACGAGATAAAGCTGCCAGAGGACTTCGTACCTGAGAACCGACGGGTTTTTAATCCGACGCTTCATCTTTTTTTTTTTTACTCTCAGCTGAAAGGAAAATCTAAAAATAATCTGACAGCAAAATAACCCTGAAAAAAAAAACTAAATCTGCACTTTAAAGAGATAAAACTGTTTAAGTTTCTCACTTTATCTGATAAAACACTTTTTTAAATTAGAGTCAAATAACAGAAACGCAAACAGAGATACGACTCTAAAGTTAGTTTCTACAAATATCAACTTCAGTATAAAATCAGGGTCTGATATTTGGATATTTAAGGTACATTAACTTTAAGAACACAATACAATCATTTTTTATTTTTTATTTTTTATTTTTTGCCTTTTTTTGAGTCAGACGCTCACAGTTAAAGACGGTTCAGAGGATCTGAGTGTCGTGTTTTAATCCAGTAAAATTAGTGCTGTGGATAATCAGAGCTGTCAATCATTATTAAGACCTTCTTTTTATGGGATTGAACGACTATTTTAGGCTGAACTTGTCAGAAAAATTAACATAAATCAGCCTGATGATGATGAGGACTTATTATACTGACAGGAAACATGTTTTTGTTTAGTATTTTTTTGATGATTTTTGCCTTTTTATTGAGATAGAGAGAGAGTGAGGAGGACATGCAGCACATGGTCAGGGCCGGACTCGAACCCACACCCCCTACAGGGACTGTGGTCCCCGTATACAGGGCGCACTAACCCACTCAGCCATCTGCACAGCAGTGGAGTTTACCAAAGAGCTGCAGAGTAAAATAAAGAGAACAAACAGAAAACATCAAGAGGAAATAAAGAAAAACAGGAAAAAAAATATTTAAAATTAAATAAAATAAAAACACAAAAGTATAAAAGAAATTAAAGTGATAAAAGGACAGAGAGCACACAACTCTCAGGGTCTGTGGAAATGAAAAAACGAGTCAATATTTTGTTTGTTTGTCTATATAACGAAAAAATAAAAGATCAGTGTTTGTTTTTGTATTTCCAATTCAAAACAGAAAATATAACAGAGAAGGAAACAAAAACAAAATAATAAATCTACTTTTCGTTTTCAGGTTATTGATGTCTCCATTCTCCACGGTGCCTTTTTACTGTTCGCACATTCGCAACAACGTGGACCAAAAACTCCAGACCAGAGCGGTGGAGAAAGGTTCACCTGTTGTCATGGAGATGGATGATTAGACTTTTTCATATTTATTATTTTGTTTTCATTTCTGTCTCTATTATATTTTCTGTTTTGAGCTGAAAATAGGAAAACAAACACTAATCTTTTATTTTTTGGTTATATGGAAAAACAAATAAGATTTAAGATTGAACGGAATAATTGAACAGACGGATTAAACACGGACCTCTCACGCTGAACTAAAAGCCGAGGAATAGAACACTTTAAACCTCTAAGAGTCAAAGTTTGTCCAGCAGGGGGAGCTCTGACTCCATAGATTACAGAACTCTCAGCACTGTCTGCACAACAGCATGATGTGTGTTTCTGCAGATTTAAAGCAGCCGCACATCAGAGCGAAGTATGAGTTTAATTCTAGATTAAAAAGTTCACTATTGAGACAGAAAAACATCTGAGAGTTTCACTCTGATATCACGTTTTTAAACCCATGACACAGACCTACAAAGAAGTGAAATGAAAGATAACTGATCTAAGATGTCAGACAGTGAAACATTCAGACAGAAGATAATCAACCAAACACACTTTAGAGACCTTTACTCTCAAACTCCAATAACTGGAGGAGTTAAAGCTCCTCGGAGCCTCTGCAGCAGCTGCTTCATTTAAACTGAAACTGTTTTAAGTGTTTCTGAAATTGGATCGTAAATTTCAGCGGCTGATAATGATCAGACTTCACAGAGGAGCAGCCGGAGCGTGAATCTAAAACCGCTGCAGCAGAGTTTGTCGTCGTAGGGCAGCTTCTAAAGATCCTGAAAATAGACCCTCCTGGTTCAGGTTCACGCCGCTCGATCTCCAAGAGCGGATCTGTTGGCAACAGTTGCTGCTTTCTGAGTCAAAGATGAGAGACGGGCCAAGGAGAGGTCAGAGGGACTCCACAAGTGTGGGACATTTTTACACCTCCTCACTCAGGTTCATCTGGCAGGGGGGACAACTGGACCCGGCAGCTGACGGGGGGACAGGAGGGTCTGGGGTTCCCCTTAACCCTGGTTTTCATGCATTAAAGGGCCTCTGGTATGCGGGTGCTGCTGGTCCACTAAGACCTCGTCTATGTGGAGCACATAACTGCTCTAAAATAAGTCTGAGTGGGCTGAGTCACGGTGAGATACGACCGAGCGGGAAAGGTGAAGAGTTTGTGGAAAAACGTGTGCGTGAATTCTTGGAATAAAGATCAGCTGACCTCTTTGAAGTTGTCGAAGGCGGAGAGGATGATGTCATGGCCTCCTCGCACCAAACACACGGCCGCCAGCAGCTCCAGGACCAGCGCCTTGGTCCTGACGAACACAAGAGTCACACACTTTGAGTTCAGAAGTTTCACATGAGTTTATCTACGTCAGTGAGAGCTTCAGAGCGCCGTACCGCGGGTTTCTGTTGTTCAGGCTGAGGGTGATCTCGTTCACGCAGCACGGGTGTTTCATCACCAGGTTGAACCCGAGCTGACGACAAAAACACAAAGACGTCAAATTAAAGCTTCAACACAAAGAGAGACACTTTTATTCTCATTATTCTCACTACTGTGACTTGAAATCAAACCTCAGGAGTCCAACTATAAGAAGGTGAAGATCTGCAGATACAGAAACATGTTCAAACTCTAAATATGAAGAAGTGAAAAACTCAAAAACAGAATCAGTGTCCTGAACACAGAGAGAGAGAAACAGGAAAACTCAACATTTAGACTTTTTATTACGAGTCGATAATGAATCTGAGAAATCTGACTTTTCTGACTCATAAAACTTTCCCATCAAACATCGGACGTCAAAGAGACGTGCAGATCGAGTCAGTATTGGGTCGATCCGTCAAAGACCACATCTAGACGTCAGTGCTACCAGCAGGTTAGAAATTTCGACATTCAAATTGGACCTTTTTTAGACATCGATCTGATGTTTAGAATTTGGATGTCACCTGAAGACCAAATCTAGACGTCGACACAACGTGCAACATGGATCCAAGATTAAGACGTCATTATTGGACCTCTTTTAGACGTTTAAATGTTGTCCACATTTGTACCTCACCGTCAAAAAATACGTTAAATCGATGTCTCAAAATTCTCTCAAAATCATTTTTTCAAAATCTAAATTTTAACTTTCGAGTAAAAAGCTGAATTTTTTTATTTCCTGTATTTATTTTCCTGTAACTGACCGACACCTGAGTGTGCTGTTTGACTGCACATGGAGACCCCTGTATATCTCCTATTTTCCTATTTAAAGCCAATATTTTAACTTTTTATTATCTAATAAACTCTAGTTTTAAAAGCTAAACAGAAGTCTCTGTTCTATGTCTAAATTTCTAACTCTAAATTACCTGATAGTTCATGATGGCACGTAAACACATGATGCAGAGGTGAACGTCGTCTGTCTGGCTCACGGGACGAGAGTTCCTCAGAGCTTTCCTGTTTTGGAGAGAGTTGAATCTGCCAGGTGAGAAACACGGAGGTCACAGATCTGTTTCTTTTACATCTACGTACAGTTTTCATTTTAATAACAGCTGTATGAACCGATCATTAGAGGAGGGGAGGAGGTCTTTCTGACACACATTATGACACAGAGCTGCAGGTGAACGGGTGACACAGACAGACTCGGACACGCCCACCTGTCCGTCAAAGTCTGTTGATGTTTCTCAGGGCGACATTTTTCACATTCACGCTCAAACAAGTCAAACTAAAACACGAACTATGAGAAGAACTCAGAGGATCAGAACACTCAGATCAGATGTCGAGGAATGTGTGTGTCTGTGTGAAGGCAGGTGTGTGTCTGCTCATGTACACCTGCATGTGCTCACTGTGATGGTTTACTGTCAGAGACGTTTAAAAGGCTCCAAATGTTGTGAAGAAGGAGGCGAGAGAGAGGAGCAGGGAGAGGAGAGGAGCAGGAGAAGGAGAGGAGAGCAGGGAGAGGAGCAGGTGTGTTTGTGAGCGTCTGAAAAGCCAAAGGACGGCGTGATCTCGATGAAAGAGAAGCTGCAGTGATAATAAGAGTGTTTTAGTGTTAACAGGTTACTGAGTGTGAGACTCAACATTGATTCATATCTCACTTAAATATGAAAATGATAAGAATAAAATAAATAAGAATAAAGATAAGATTTGATGTCTTCAGGTGATAAAAATAAAGTCTTAAAAAAAGTTGTTAAATCTGAAACTCGACGAGATCGACTCAAAGAATCAGTAAAAAAACCTCAGATTGGTAAATGTCCATTTAAATCAAATAACTCTAATTATTTTCTCTGAGTTATAATCAATGATATCAATATTTTAGGTTTTGTTTATCATGAATTTATCATCTTGATTCATACTTTATGTTTCGCATTTTTTTTTACAAACTACAAACTTTCAACACTTTTTACTGTTTCTCATAGATTTATTATCATATTTTTAGTCCCTTTTCCCTTTAAACTTTTGATTTACTGTAAAGTTTCCTATGATTTTAACCCAGTACATGTTATTCTATATTATTAATGTAAAAAAGCTGGAAAAAGTAAATCAGTTTAATTTATATTTCCTTTTTTATATTGAATCTATCACTGCTGTTAAAATGGTGTTTATATACATTTTTTTATATCTTTCTGTCATTTTACTGAATATTAAGTTTGAGGTTTTATTATTATTTTTTTATCATATACACACACATATTTATTATACAGTTTTGATGCCTTTAGTTGTATTTTTGAATAAAGTTAGATAAAGTTAGTCCCAGTTTTTTCACTGTCGGAGGTCTCTAAAGGTTTTGTGAATCAAGTTTATCTAAAGTCTGAAAACGAGAGTTTTGACCCTGAAGTTTTGTGAAGTAAAAAGTTTAATATTTTAGTTTAGATGGAGAAACATAATTACTTTAAAAGATTATAAAGAGCAGAGACACTGTCAGGTTTTTAGGATTTTCATAAATATCTAAAATAAGTTTAAATGAAAGAGGCGGCACGTCGACAGAAACATATTTGTGAGAAACTCTCGGTGGCGTCACTCTGAGTCAAGGTTAGAACATCAACACTCTGAGCGTGTGACTCCTCCCCTCCTCGCCCGTCCGTCGCTCTGACAGTACCTGACTGTGAAGGCCTTGCTGGCCTTGGAGGCACTGTGAGTCGGAGAGTTGCTGGCGCTTCGGCTCAGATCCTCCGCTGACTTCTCCAGAGTCTTGATTTTCTCCGTGGGCAGCGCGCCGTTGTCCAGATAGTCCACGTCATACCTGTGAGTCACACAGTTTACCGTCATACGAATGTGGCCTGTGGTGACACTCAGCTGATGTTTGATAGGCTGACAGGAAGAGTGAAGGAGATAAGGCGACACAGCGGAGCTGCGGCTGTTCCAGGAATGAGAAACGAGGTTGTTCGGGGCGGATACGTACGTGACGGCACTGTGAGTGAAGGACAGATAATCCACCAGAACATCTAAACCCTGATTTTCTTCGTTTAAGAACTCCTGAGCCCACCTGGAAGAGGAGAACAGAGCAGTAAACAGCAGAAGTGTTTCAGTCACATTTAAAGATTTCCTTCTTGTCTCTAAAATCAGATGTTATCAAAAGCTCATTTTCAGGTTCTGCCTTCAGCCCTCTGTCTCATAGATCAGGAGATGTTGGCGGTTTTTCCGATCAGATTAACGGACAAAACTCTGCACATCGATCTCAGACCAGGTCCTGCTTCACTGATCATCCATCAGAGGAAATAACAGACTAACACAGACGAGACGGGCGCTGTTAGCCGACTCTAACCCGCCTCCGTCTCAGCTCCTCCTGGTGGTCTTTGCTGCTGATCTACCTGCATAAGTTCATAAGTGCAGTTTCGAACTCCATTAATAGTTTAGCACATTAAACGTAATGTAGGTCACACTGTTATCTCATATAAATTAAATTAAGTCCGTCTGTTCTGGACTACAGACTGACACACTTGCTCAGTTTTGAGTTTTTGCTTGTTAACACTTGAATAAGAACCAGATTTCTATCTTTATCTTTCTAATAACAGAAACAACATTTACATTTCAGCTCTCTGCAGTTCTTCAGCTCACACTTCCTACTGTGCTGTCCTGCGGTTTAGGTTTCTCTTTAATGAGTCTCATCCTGAACCAGCGCCTCTCCTTAAACAAAGTTTCAACTCTATAAAGTTTTTTTTCTTTCTCTCAGTGACGTGAACCGAAGAGAGACTCACCCGATATAATTAGTCCTCAGGGAAATCTCCAACTCTCGGAGGATCTGGGTGGACTCCTGGACTCGTCTCTTAAACTGACAAATCAGAAGTGGAGATGTTAGGAGGTGAGGAAGAGCTTCATTATACACCCGAAAATTCTCTCTTCTTCTTTCTTTCTTCTTAATTTATCTCAAACTTTAAGAACAACAACAAAAATAAAAACAACTAGAAACAAAAACACAGAACAAAATAATATATATGTGAACCAAACAGCTGTACATGTCAAAGATAAATTTACACAAACATAAACAGTTTGAGAAGGAACAGAATGAAGCAAAGAGATGATCTAGTCCTGACCATTTCTTAAAAATTACAGATTAAAAAAAAAATCTGTATAAATAAATACATATTATACACAAAGATATCTGATCAACACTATATAGGTTACTTATTATAATAACTTGCATGTTTTAATAATAATAAGTAAAATAATAATAAAAATAATAATAATAATCCGTGAAATAATAATAATAATAATAATAATAATAAATAATAATAATAATAATAATAATAATAACAATAATAAAAAATAATAATAATTGAATAATAACAATAATAAAAATAATAACGATAATAACAATAATAATAATAATAATAATAATAAATAAAAAAGACTTCAGTTTAAAGCGATAAATGAAGGTCAGAGGAAAAGAGTTGGCAGAGCTTCTGGACATGATGAAAGTTAACTTTTATTTTTTTACCTTTTTTATTCTTTTGGCTGAATAAAAACAAATTTTCAATATAAAATTTCACTGTAATTTAATTTAGTCTATTTTTATCCAATCAGACCAAACTCTTCTCTTGACATCAGACTGTAAACATGTTTGATTCTGCTGTGAAAAACGTCAATTTAAACATCATTGTTTTAAAAAAGGACTCAAAACTTTCCTTTTTAGCAGAACTTTTGGTTCCTCATCATAAAAACCTTTTTTAAAGACCTGCTTATCTTGCTTTTACTCTCTATTCTTTTACTGTGATATGTCTTTGTTTTAAGATGTCCCCCTTTGAGGTCTCTTGATGTAAAGGGCACTACAAATAAAATGTAGTATTATTATTATGACTGCTATTTTAACATGATTGTTAATGGGGCTTCCTTAGCTTCTGAAGCAACCCCCTAGTGGACACTTGAGGAACTGCAGTTTTTTTCATACCTCTGCTTCTTCATGCAAAGTACCTCTGTGTCTGAAACGTATTGTATAAATGATTTTTAACTATTTTCCACATCAGAGTTTGAACTTTGACCCCAGCAGTGGGAGGTGGACTTTCTGCTTTCTTACCTTCCGACTGACGCCTCCGCCGTGATCCAGAAAACTCTTCAGCTTCTCCAGATACGCTGACGGAGGGTTCTTCACTTGAAACCGCTCCTGGAGATGCAGACACACACACACACACACACACACACACACACACACACATAGATCTTTAATTACATTTGATTGCTGTGCTGCAGTGAGGAGCAGTAGGAGGGGGACTCGGAGGGCAGAGGGTTTCACCCGGGCTCTTTGATTACTCAGCGTCTCTCATGCAAATGAGTCTGATCTTAAGTTTTCTGAAATGATTCCTCTGCAGCAGCGACACACACCCACTCCCACACACACCCACACACACCCACTCATCTCCTCTCTCACTCCTTCAGAGTAAAACGTTTTGACTCATACTAAAAGAACAGGGTCTGAGTGAACTGAAGCTGCGGTGTCCTCTGTCACTCTCTCATCATGACTCGGTTTGTTTCGGACCTCCCTGTGGTTACTACAGTGACGTACATAATTAATGAGCTTCCTCGTGTGAGCTGGACTGTGCTTGTGTTTGCATGATGATACTGTAAACTCACCTGGTCACAGATCAGGTCCCACTTCTTCTCGTTGTCGTACTGGCTGAGGATCTTCACCTTGTCTGGAGGAAGGTTCATGGTATTCTGAAAGGGAACAGTTAGGAGACGGTTTAAAGGGATAATCCGGCATAAAATTAATTTAGGGTCAAACACACCATAACACCAAGTTAGACAACCTCTCCAGAGATGAATGTTGCCGACCGCTTGCTTCTCTAGTTATACCAACTTTAGCAACGACCCAACACAACTCACCTACTCTCTTCCAGCAGCCACTTGTTTGTAGCGAGACCTCAGGCCAGTCCATTACGGACTACAGCGGGGTGCCACAGCTCAAGGAAGAACATTTATGATCATTTCTTTATCATTTCCTTGAAGTAATAATCATCATATTAATCATTTTACAGACACAGTAGTTCTTCTGTCTTAGCGTCTCGGTCTGATTGTATTTCCATGAAGAAATGATCATAAATGTTCTTCCTTGAGCTGCGGCACCCCGCTGTAGTCTGTAATGGACTGGCCTGAGGTCTCTGTACAAACAAGCGTCTGCTGGAAGAGAGTAGGTGAGTTGTGTTTAGTCTCTTTACTAAAGAAATGAGTCAAAGTTAAAAAGATGTTTGGTGTCTAGTACTATGTCTGTGACCCTATATGTCCTGTTGATGAAGTTAGGTGCTGTTCTGAGCATTATTTGTGGCTATAGAGTGGCGTTTTGGTTGAGGGCGTGGCTCTCTGTATTGCTATCCTGCGGTCGTTACTAAAGTTGGTATAACTAGAGAAGCAAGCACTTTACAGCATCTCTTCTACGTCGCCTTAAAGTCCACCTAGAAACCACCTGACCTTCCTAAACACCTGAACACAATCACACCTTCTTCTCTCACTCGTTATCGCAGACTCGACTCAGACTCAGCGGTCCGGTCCAAACTGAGTCACTCTGAGTCCGGTCAGCCCTTTCTCATTATCAGCTGTATGTTAGTGTCTGTTGTCACAACACAATAACACAGTAACACAATAACACAATAACACAATAACACAATAACAAGCCTCACTCACTCACTCACTCATCACTTTTTAATCAATGTCTCGCTGTCTTGTTACAATCACACAGTGGACAGAGTTTCTATCGGACAAGGAGGACCTGAAGTTTTAACGCTCCAAACCTTTACTGAGTTATTTCACATTCATTAAGACCCTGACCCTAAACAGACCGGGTCTTTCTTTATATTTATTTCTATGTAGTTTGATTCTATGAAACTACAACCACACAAACTTCAGCTGCACTCGTAACAAAACAAACACAAACTGGGCGACTCCACACTCGCCTCTCTTTGCTTAAATGTTTCATGTTCTCCTCATATCTGGGTTTTGTTTTCTTCTCGCCCTCCTCCCTCATTTTTCCATCTTAGTCGATAAAATTTAGTAACTTTTAGATTCATGTGAGGGTCAGGGTCGAGAGGGGTGTGTGCGGAGTCTTCAGAAGTGACTCAGTCGACCGGAAAGACTTTTTAGTTACTTCGCGGTGATGTGATGAAAGCTCCAGATGAACATGTCACCAGATTTTTAGGAGTTGAAGCAGGATACCAGCTGCTGCTCGAATCAGACTGACAGGTAGGGCGATAAACAGAATATTTGCAGATACAGAAATGTACGACAATAATGACGTCATTTTATTGAACACCCTGATCATCTCGGCGGGTTAGAGAAGCTCCAGGATGTCACAGAAACACACCCTCATTGAGTTTTTAGACGTATTTCAATGGAAAACTCAAAGTATCTGCGGTCAGCCCACAGAGTACACAGTCTACGAGGTACAAATATATGAACCTCATTATTCTTGAGCTGAACTTGAGGCTCTCCAAAAATCACACGCTGGTCTCTGTGGACATGATGTGAGGCATGCAGAAAAACAAGGCCACGGTAGATTTATCCGGCGCAGTAAATCAATGCTGCTGTGGGGCTGCATGTGGATCTGATAAATCAGGCTGATGAATGGAGCCGGTGGGTCAATACGAGCTGGTTATATGTGGACACTCTTGAAGCGGTTCCAACTCGGAGAGGAAATAACACCACGGGTTTGAGATGAGGGTGACCGTACGTCCTCCTCTACCAGGACATGTCCTCTTTTTGGGGGCTGATTATAAAATCCTCCAAATGTCTGCGGTTTGATATGGAAGTTTTGAGTTTGTGTCGTGTGGTCTTACTGAGTTATAAGCACGTAAAAATACTCAATCCGACTCTCAAAATTAACTACGCATGACTCTGTGACTCCGCCCCCGCGAAGTCGTGTCCTCTTTTTGGGGATCCAAAATATGGCCACCCTATTTAAGAAGACATCGATGAAAATGAAGACGGTCAAAGGAAGAGTTACCATCATCAGAAAAAAAGATCATCCTGTCAAAGTTTAATAAAAAGTTACAGAAACAAACAAACAACATCCTCCTCCATGTTAACAGACGGGACATGGGTTAAACTATTAACCTGAAACACAAGTCGAATGATTTCCTCAAAAACATGGTGTCATGGGATCACGCAGATGGCTGAGTGGGTTGGTGCGCCCCACGTGCTGCATGTCCTCCCCCCTCTCTCTTTATCTCCCCATATTTCCACTCTGTCCTATCCAAATCACTCAAAATAATACTATAAAAACAAACAAACAAACAAACAAACATGGTTCCTGTCACTATAATTCGTCCTCATCCCGCTAAATTAATGTCCAAGTGTTAATTTTCTGACAAGTTTAGCTTTAAATAATAATTTAATCCCATATAATCATGATTGACAGCTCTGATTATCCACAGCACTGTTTTCACTGGATTAAAACACAACACTCAGATCTACTGAACCGACTTAAACTGTGAGAGTCCGACTCTAAAATCTGTTCCCAACATTTTATCAGGAAGTTAGACGAGTGTTTGACGTCAACGCCGCGGCTCCACCGAACAGATGTGAAGAAGTACCGACCATCATGTTACAAAGGCTGGAGCAGAAATCTGCTCTGATCTGTGAACATGGAGAGACGAGGCAGGGAGAGCATCAGCAAAGACCCCAGAGAGGAAACTGCAGTGATGTTACATATGACAGAGGAAAAATCTGACTGTGTGTGAAAGAGGGAGGAGCTACGGTGGAAAAACAAAGGCAGGAAGAGGAGCAGCAAAGACCTCATGAAGGCCTCAGAAGAGAGCAGGTCAAAGGTCAAATAAAAAATAGTAGCTTAGAAATAAAGCAGTTTCAATAAAAGGGACCAAGGTTCAACGTTCACTTCTTCTAACCGTCAGTGAACTTAAATTTTCAAACACTTTTGTGTTTGTTTTTGCGTTTTTTAACATGTTTGTTAATTAAAGAGTTCATTTTAACTACTTTAGACGCTGCTGGTCCCTTTAATCTGCAGAAAAATCAACAGTTCCTGTCAGTAAAGCCTTAATTAGTCAGACCTGTGAGAGTCCAGACTTCACCAGGTGAGAACTTCATCTTCTACAGGGTCTCTTCTGAGGATGAGGCCCTCCTGCTGTGTCAGGGTCGGATGGTTTTTGGTCTGGAGGATCACGGGCGGGTAGTTTCAGTTTGAAACGAGTTGAATTTCTCTCGGTTGGTTTCACGAACACCACGACATGCTAAGTGTGAAAGCATGTGGCCGTTTTTGTCACACTCAAATTGGCTTTTTCTCTCTCTCTCCATGACAACCTGCACAGTAATTGCTGCAGTATTTTGCAGACTTGGAGATCTCCCTGGCTGCTCTTTAACTGTGCTGATTTAAGTGGTATTAAAAAGTGAGAGGAGTGACCTTCACAGCTGCTTTTAAACGAGCCGACAAAAGGAACCAAAGTCGAGGTTCATTTAAACGGCGCAGCATCAGATTGAAGCGTCTGTAATCCGTGTTTAACGTCGCACCGAATTGAAGAGTATGAGGCTCAAACTGGCAGCAGAGAGAAGAAGACAGTGTGTTGTTGTGTTCGGCAGACAGAAGTGGGTCATTGTTGTGTCGCTGATGCATTCCTGCATTTATAAAAGTGCTGACGGTCCCAAAAGGCAGGATCGATGGAATCATCATGTTCACAGAGACGAGCTGCAGCAGCAGCAGCAGCAGCAGAGGCTGAATAATGACTGTGAAATGATCGGCTCTCCTCCTGTCCAACACTAACCTGTGAGTCTCCAGCAGTCTGATCAGAAATCCATTTCAGGATTACACCAAACTGAATATTACCATGAGCTGAGTGAAACCTCAGATATGAGTCTCAGGAGGGGGCTTTTAAATAATTTAAAGACTCATAAAGACTCTTTTTACCTTTAACTAAAGTCCTGACTCACAAAACTGAAAATCTTGTAGAATCTCTCGTGATCAAATGTGACTTTAGAGAAAAAAAACATGGCTGACTACAGGGTCTAAATGTTGCTAGCCGCTCAGCTTTCCGATTCATGTTGTGTGTTTGACTGTTTTCAAAAAGTGGGTTCAATATTTCTGACATTTATCAAAGTTCATGCTTCGTGTTGACATGGCTGCACTTGTTCTGCTTCCTTCCTTGGTCAGCTTGCTTCCTGATCGGCTGTCATCGTTCCCTCGGACAACAGACAGAGTGTATATTGATTATGACACAGCATCTATGATTTCTAGTTCTTCGTTGAAAGGACAACTGGACATATGCACAACATCGTTTTCAGTGGTTTAATTTCGAGAGATGATGGAAAAACTTTTTATTTTTAAAGTGAAGTTTGGTGAATAAAAAATCAAAAATCGAGTTCTCTGAGAAAAAAAATTGGGATTTTATTTTTGGCCAAATTCGTTCAGCCCTAATGTGTAGATTTTTCTAATCGTAGGTTTTATTGATCACGTCTAATATTTATTATTAATTGGTGGGAGTAAAAATCACTCTGAACACACAGAACACCTCAGGATAGTCCAGGAAGACTCTATAATCAGGTCTTTGCTGACTTCAGTCATAAGTTGGGATCCAAGCTCAAAATCTGCACCGTTATTTATTAGTGTGTGGCGTGTTTTAGCCGCTACAGCAGGACGACAGCCTCGAGTAGAGAGTCAGAGACATGCATGTCAATATAGTTTTGGCAACCAAGTATCACAGAAGTACTTCTGCCAAACACAGTAAAGTTAAACCTGATAATGTGTTCTTCTAATCCTGCAGGTTTGTGACTAAAGAGACAAACTCAGAACAGAGGACTTCACTTAGCAGCTTCTTCACCTCCTAACAAGAGAGTAAACAACAACCTTTCATTTTTCCTTTTTGTCTTTGTCTCCGTCTGTAAATACTCTGCTCAAATCCACAGATGTACATTTACAATTCCACCCACTGCCGCATTCCCAGCTGGGAAATATGCAAAGTGTTATGTAAAACCCTGAAGAGAGAGCGCTCCCAGTAAAATTGGATAGATCCTTTCACTGGCAGAATCAGAGTCACGTCCTGTTTTCTGAGCAAATTTCTGTTTCTTTTGAGTCGATCCTCTCTGAATGAAAACCACGCAGTGACATCAGACACAACAGGCATCATGACACGAAGACAGCGTCAATACGAGCTGCTCACAAAGAGACCTGTAGGATTAAACTGCACACAAATACGGCAGGATGTCATGCAAATGTGCACACGAGCGCACACGCCCTGCAGACTCAAACACCTCTGAGGGACACTCTCCTCTGAGTCTCTGCAGAAAGAGGCCAGTGTCAGTCTGCAGCATCCTTCACTTCTATCTCTTCACTCCCAGTCAGCTGGTTTGTATGCAGACAGAGTTTCTTCTCCACTTAACAGAAGATTTGCTCTGCAGACTCAGCAGAAGACTGCGGGAGGAGGAGGAGGAGGAGGAGGAGGAGGAGCGGGGTTGTTGGGGGAGATGATCTATATTTGAGGGGGGATGCAAAAGTGATGGAGCAGAAATCCTTCTGTTATCACCCAGGGAGCGCTTTCAGCAGAGGATGGGAGGAGGAGGAGGAGGAGGAGGAGGAGGAGGAGGAGGAGGAGGAGGAGGAGGAGGAGTGATTTGAGATTCAGTTCATCTGCTGCAGAAACGATGCCTGAAATCTGCAAAATAACAAAATACCCAAAAAACTTACTGCAGCTTCACACACCTGCTTTAACACAAACGCTGCAGCTGTTGGCACACGGGGTGAAAACTGTTGGCACATGAAGTTGTTGCAGTGGTCATCCCACGACCCTGACACATCCTACACACACACAGACACACAAAAACCATCCTACAACAACTCAGACTGAGTCCAGGAGCGTCTGATCATGACTGAGTCGATCCACATGATTCATTTGATAAATAGAAGTAGGGCTGGGCGATAAAACGATAGTGATATATATCAAAAATTAATTTCCCTTAATATCAATATAAAACATGATCAATATGCTTTTTGATAGTCGTCTTTCTCACATGTTTTGGTAGATTATACGAATAGCCGATGAAAAGGGGAGTTGCTCCTGGTCTGAACCAATCATGTTCTGAATTAGAACAAAGTATCAACCAACTGCAAAGTCGTAGCAGACAGCAGCTACACCGAACCATAGCACTTTAACAGGTGAAGCCGACAGCACTGTTGGTGAGAAACAAAGAAAATGAGTGCTACCCCCGACAGAAATGACCATGAAGGCTCAACAGATGACCACATCAATGTCAACCACAACACTGGCGTTAGGAAAACGTTGGTGGTGTGGAGGTATTTTGGTTTTGGAGGTCGGACATGAAGCAGAGTAATGTGGACTGTAAATTATGTCGAGTACATGTTCTCACAAAGTCGGGGAAGTAAGTAAGTAAGAATGTGCAGTAAATAGAAAGAAGTTCTACAGGAAACTGGAGATATGTTGCAAGAAAAGCTACACATCTGCACAGAAACTGAACATTGCTGAACGTTCAGCAGTTGCCGCTCTGTTGTGGTGAATTATTATTGCATGTAAAGTCATCGGTGTTAGTTGGAGATGCTTCTCCATGCAGAGTATCTGCGGAGTGTAGGTTGATCTTTTCTATTTATACTCTGACAGTTTTGATGTCTTTGTCAATTCTGTGTTTTGATGCTCTTGGTGCAGATCCAGGTCCGCCTGAGGTCAATAAAGGTTCAGCCTCCTCGTGTTTTTGCATGTAGAGGACTGATCGATGCAGAAAAATGCATATTTATGATAAAACAACAGAGCAGATCTTTAAATTAGAGCTCTACGTATGATGATGACTGACTTATTTATGAAGCACTGAAGACCTCCTGTCTGAAATGAAGATTAAAAGTTCCCTCAGGAGGATTTTAAACATTTAAGTTATCAGTTAAACTCGACTCAAACTCCTCACCACCTCCATGAATCGTTCTGAACATCATCATTAGGTTTGATTTTTACTGATTTAGACGTTTATCTTTCCACCAAGTATCAAAGACTTCAGCTGAAGTGGATCATGGATCTCCTCTAAATGGAAAAGCTCTTCAGCAGAGGTAATAACAGTTTCAGATCGGCCCTCACAGGAGAGTTTAAAGCTCACACACATCGATTAAAACCGCCCCAGAAGGAGGGAGCGGCATCAATCAGAGCGCTCATTGATTACCGCTCACCTCCAGGAGGGAAGGAGGAGGTTCTGTTTCTGTACGTACGATGATCCTCCGGCCTGTTTGTTTATGTTTTAATACCAGAACATGACAGAGCAGCTGACAGGATGTCACTAATGATCCTCCTGAAGCTCAGAACCTCAGGTGATAACAATCAGAGCAGGAATGCAGCTCACGCCGTAAGCGGTCTGTCCACATATCGAACATGTCTGCGCTGTCAGACTCCGATCCGTCATCAGGCAGGCATGAGATCAGCCCGTCACAGCTCAAACCAGAGAAAAATAAGAGCAAGAAACGAGGACGAATCCACTGTCGAGGAATGCAGGTCGTGTGACGGCGAGAGTCTGAGAGGAAAACTCGGTGAAAACAAAAACAAAAAGTTTGACGTTCTAGAAAACTTAAAGATGACGTTAAAGCGGATTTTCTTGGATTCAGACGGAAAAGATGTGACAAAAGTACCACGATCACGACATGTTATCTTAGAGATCCTTTTTAATATTAAAAACGTTAAATTCAAGGAGACGTGCAAAAAAAATTAAATAGCAACTTAAATCTGATGAATCAAAGTCCTTCTTTTTGAAATTTTTCCTCTGCACTTTAACCTCCGACACATCGATCCCATTATAGAAACTGTTTCTCTGCGTTGAACTTGATCCTCTTAACACCTCCTCATACACCTAAAGCCTAATCCACAGATCATTTTTGTGGTTTTTACACCAACAGCCTCTAAATCATAAACATGTGCACAGAGTTAAAAGTCCCACAAACAAACAGCATCTCTGTGTGCTGCAGCTCTCAGCAGGACGTTAGGCCCCAACTCTGACCCATATTATGCAAATGAGCATTATTGCACAAACGTCTGATTTGCAAACACGAGCGCTTACAGTCACGCGCTGTTGGAGTGAAATTTGAGGAGCATTAGAGTCAGTGTTTTTATCAGAGAGGGGACGCTCAGACTTTACAGTTTATATGAAGCCTGTTAGTTTAACTTTGAATTTGATGTTAATATAATAGGAAGTCTGATCAGTCTGAAGCTGGTGGAGGTTTAACCTTTCCAAAGTTTGAGCCGTCGCACATTCAGGATAAGAGTGAAGGCTTCGCATCTGGACTCTTAGCTGTTCTCAGTGGATCCCTGCAGTTTAATCAGTAAAGTTTGTTTCAGATCTTTGAGCTGATCTAAGTGTCTCTTCTTTTCCAGATCATCAACCTAAACGTAAACACAACACCAGGATGGGAGCTCACTGATGCTGACAGTTCATCTCCAGAGTCAGACACAAAACACGAGCAAACTGCAACAAAACTCTGCAAACTTATGACAAGCCAGATCAAATACACAGGGCTTCTATTTTTGCTGGACGCCAGAACACGGCGCATCAATTCAGTGCAGCGCAGCACGAGCAGCAGCGGAAGATTTATGTGTCTACAGAGTAAAATATCCGGTTAATTTTCAAAATAAAATAAAGTCAATACGTTAAACTGTTCTTAGCTTGATAATAGGAGAGGCCAGGGTTGTGGGATGTGGGTGTTTATATACACTGATCGGCGGATCTCATTCTGGGACTCCCAGGGAAACACGTAAGATCTTGTAAGATCTCATCCAGTCTCTCGAGAAATAGTGGTAATCTTGCGAGTGCTTCTCCTCCGATTGCAGTGTTCTCTCTTGGCCATCTTTGATGAGTTTCTCCACCTCAGTGATGTTGACCAATAGGAGCGCAGTCAGGAGCGTAAACAGAAAAAAGTGCGACTTCAACATTAAATAGAGTGACCATATTCTGAATCTCCAGGAAGAGGACACGACTACATGAGGGTGGAGTTACACGTAGTTAATTTTGAGAGTTTTTCAGGTCGGATCGAGTGTCTTTTACGCGTTTCTAACTCAGTTTGTCCACGTGACACAAACTAGAAACTTCCGTATAAAACTCCATTTGACATTTGAAGGATTTTATAAACTCCCCCGGACAAAAAAAGAGGACATGTCCGGGTAAAAGAGGACAGATGGTCACCCTACATTAACGGTGTTGGATGGTGTTAGGGTCATGACCTCTGGTGGTGGGGAAACTTATTCTTGATGAAACCAGTTTGATGCACTTTAAAGTTTTTAAAGTTTGTGTAGATTTTACCTTCTTTTTCAGGTGAGTTCATGATTTTAAGTATTTAAATCTACAAAAAGTGACACATTAATAAAGTGCATTTTTTTTTTATCTGCACTTTTAATTAAACTGTAAACAGATCTGCCCCCCACCCTCACCACCACCCTCACCACCACCCTCACCACCACCCTCCCCTCCAGCAGAGCATGCAGTCAGCCTAATGCTGCAGTAAGCTCCAGCATAAAGGAGCTCTTATGTATCTCTCCACAGTGGTATTGTGTACCTGGCACAGTGATAAGCCGGTCCTGAGGTGGACGTGCACATTTCCTACATATTCAGCATTCTTTGTTTCTCGCCTGTTTGCCGTCTGCTCGCCTCTATTGTGTCAAAGTTGACACGACCTGACAGTCACTCACCAGCACGGCACCGAAGCGCTGCTCCAGCTCTTCCTCAGGTGGCATTGGGAGTTTCAGTCCTGCTGGTTGCTTCTGGGGTCCCGTGGAGACCGGAGGGGTGGACGTAGATTTGCCCTCCTTCCCCTGGGGTACCTCCATGCTTCCTGCAGCATTACCCATGATTCAATGCAGAATAAAGACACAAAAACCACTCTGCTCGTGAGATCCTCCCTCAAAAACAGCCTCAAAGGTCAATAATTAAGAGTGATTTGTTTCTAGTTATAAAAAGTTGAGTTTGAGTCTCTGAGAGCCACCGGCCTGTGACCTTTCCTTGTTTCCATGACCACAGTCTGTTGATTCATGCTGTTAAAGTCCTCAGTGCTCGTCCGTATCTTCAAAGCAGCAGGATGGACTCCAGCTCTGCCTCTGAACGAGCTCCTGATGCATTATGAAACCCTAGAAAGAGGGAAGGGGATATCCTGAGAGTGACAGACAGACAGAGTGACAGCTGAGCCAGTGAAAGAGAAAAGGGGAGGAGATAGAGCTCAGAGTCCGGAGCTCAAGAAGAAACTGACAAACAAATAAAACCTTTCACTTCTGAGTCTTTCTCACAACAAAACTCTGAGGGAAACTAGTCCAGGAGCTGCAGCGCCCTCTGGAACAGAGAGTTTCCTGGGCTTGTAGGTGGTCTGTGGAGGTCCTCCATCTGCTGCTGGATGCTGCGAGTCTCTGGGCCTCTGATCGGCACATACGGAGGAAAAAAAGAGGAAAAGAGGAAGAGAGGCAGGGATCCAGCAGGCAGCCGCTCTGTCTATCCGAAACAGGGACAGAGAGAAGCAGCAGAGGCTTGAGCTCCGACAGCAGAGAGCAGAGAGCTGAGCGCCGCCCACCTGGGTCCTAAAGCCTCCATGTACAAGAACACACACTGTTACTGTTGTGTTAATGAAGCTCCTTAAAGTGGGACTGTGTGTCTCTTTACTGACCGTCAAAATGAACATGTAGTCTTAGCTGATCCTCTCTATGGAGGTCATAAAGAGACGTCAGTATAAAATCAGTCTCAGTCATAACCTGATAAAACTCCAAACTGTTTTAGTTTTGGCTTAAAAACTGTTTAAAGATTGTTTTTCAATAGTTTTTTACACTTTTAATCAAGTTTAAAATCAAGTTAAATCACATTTTAAAACAGCTTTTAAAAATGTTTAAATAGTGACTTAATTAAATGCACTTTTATGATTTTGACTTTTACATTTATTCTCCAAAAGAAAGCTGCACTAGAGCTCCAGTTTGTCCTCAAACCAAATCACGAGAAGAGACAATTTTCACACCATAAAAAAGTGTCATAAATGGACAACAGTTTAAGTCATTCCCTGCTAAAACTCTTATTTCTGACTGTTTTAGTTTTAGCTTAAAAACTGTTAAAAGACTGTTTTTGATAGTTTTTCACACGTTCTAATAAGTTAAATTACATTTTTAAACAGCTTTTAAAAATGCTAAAGTAGTGTCTTAATTAAATACACTTTTATGATCCTGACTTTGACATTTATTCTCCAAATAAAAGCTGCACTAGAGCTCCAGTTTGTTCTCAAACCAAATCATAAAATAAGACAACTTTTACACCATGAGAAGTATTTTTTTCTTCTTTATCTATTCAAAATATGACACTGTCACTCTATAACTTATTTTATTTTACTAAGTTAGTTACTGAGGTGTATTTTCATGACCACATTTACTTAAACCTCTGTGTTTGTAGTTGATATTTTTATATTTCATAAACTTCGCCTGACAGTCTGAGCTCTGCACCTATGACAGGGAAAAGTTACAGAAAACAGGACATAACTGAACTTTTTCTTTATTAATTTTTACTTTTTAAAACTCTTTTTTAAACAGACTTTATAAGAAACCAAGAGTTTGAGCTGAGAGTTAAAAACAGGGTGAGAAAATCTGAAAATATTCAGTGACAGACATTCCTGTTTGATAATCACAGCTTCATCGTTCAGTATAAACAGGAATGATGGAGGAGATTCTCTGAACAAAACTCTGTATTCCTGTTGTCTTGTTTATTTGCTGCTTCGGTGTAAATGACTGTTTGTCACCATCATCAGTGACATCGGTGACATTCTTCTGGACGCTGTGAGACATTCCTGCGTTTGTTTTTCTCAGACTTTTAAAGGTTTAAATGACACACCTGACCTGCCGTTTCCTGTCACTCTGAGTTTTAAAGAAGAACGTAAAGATATCAGCAGGAGGACAAAAACTCCATCACAGATCAGCTGTTCTTATATCATAGAAAAGGACCTTTCATTTTTCATTTCTGTTTCTGTGGGGAGGCTGCCTACTGTTCTGACACTAACAGAGGACGTCCTAAACTAACAGATTGTTGGGATTCTGTTTCAGGTTAATTTAATCAAACTGGAGAAACGACAAACTTTGTATCGACGTCATTTTTAACATTTATTCTTGGGGCTTTATTTATAAGAGAGTGGATAATTCTGCAAACATAGAAGTCATTTTAGTCAGAGTCATAGCATTTATCTGTTAAAGCGAAAATCTCCAAGGTCATTGTTTTGGTCTCTTTGGTGCCACCTATGGTAAAAGGTTGTAACTGCAGTCGTTCACCCTTCACGTAAAATTGGTAAAATTGCCTAAATCCTTAGTTGAAAGGATCATGTCTAAGGATTAAGGCAATTGTACCAGAGATGGCCATCATTATCAACAGATGAATTAGGCCAGAAACTCATTTTCGTCAAAAATGACTTAGGCCGTTATTTTTAACAGGGTGACGATATCGCTGATACCAAACTTTACGATATTCAGTGGATTAAGACAACCCTCTGCTGCCTTCATAAACTTTCTCTCTCTCTGCGTGGATTCACAGAAACTTCTTCGTCTGTTCTCCTCAACTTTGACTGAAAATTCATTTTGTTTGGAAAGTTTTCTCTAAAAACTTCAACTTCGGGTTGTTGTTTGCTTTTTCTCATCATGCTTTATAACGCAAAAACCTTTCCTTCAAACTCGACTTTAAGAAGATTATTTAGTCCAGTTTTTGTTGGCCTGCTGTGAATGAGGCCTTTTGTGTTTACAGCATGTGCAGACAGACAGTTACTGTAGTAGAAACTGTGATTTCATGTTCTCACTGAGACACCAGCGCTGAAAAAACTGAAACATCCAGAATAAACATGGTAGAAAAATATTAACCGCCTAAAATAAAAGGTGTTATTGAACTAAAGACATGAGAAAGTGAGAACAGAAAAATCTCCTAACAAACAAACACACAGAGCAGCAGCAGCAGCAGCAGCAGTGTGACTGTTAAAGAGGATCAGAGTTAATCACAATCATAAGCCGGGAGGCAGCGCTGACATAACTGTGAGTAAAACTAGCTGCTGCTGCTGCTGCCCTATCAGAGGCTGGAGGTCAATAAATAATGAGGGTCACACTGATACCTGTGAGTCTGGACACACCTGGTCTGCTGCTGCTCACATGACCTAATGAGGTGTGACACAGTCAGGGGGTGGAGTTTGATCAGGGGGGGTTACAGTCAGTCAGAAACAACAGAAAAGTGACGAAAGGGGAGATCTATGAGAGTGAGACTAACGTTTGACTTTAATAAAACTGCTGCACACCTTTATCAGAGTCAAGTTATGAAAAAAGTGAGTGTATATGTGTATGTAGATGTAAAAAGGCTCGGTCACCCCAGTGTTTGGGTTTTGACCTCGGCACCTCCAGCAGAAGTTGGTTTGACGACCTCAGAGCTCTACCAGGCTCCCGGATGGTTGAAAGCTCAGTTAAACAGATGGGGGCGAGGCCGTTAAGAGCTTTAAAAACAAACATTAAAAGTTTAAAATCAATCCTAAAAGAGACAGGAAGCTAATGAAGGGAGCTGAGGACAAGAGTGATGTTCTCACGTCTGTTAGTGTTGGTTAAAAGACGGGCAGCAGCATTTTGGACAAGTTGAAGGCGACTAAGAGATGATTGGGAGATGCCGACATAAAGTTCATTACAATAGTCTAATCTTGAACTATATGAGTTTATATATGAGTTTATGGGTTTAGAAAGTTTGCCTTTATACAGTAATTCAATATGTTTGAATATTTTTTACTTAGCTGTAAAAACGACCAATCATGTCTGTTCAAACTAAAGTCACAGGTCCTGGTTTGTTATCGAGTCTCTGAGTGCGAACAGATGAATAGAAAATGAAGATTAACAGCGGGGTCAAAAAGGAAATAATGTAAAACAAAAAGGCCACAAAAACCCTGAACCAGCATAAACACGAACAAACTAAATATACATGACGATACAAACACTCACATTCAGTTCATACACAACCTTTTCAGGAGAGTGTTCAAAGAGCCTCTGCATCAGGCTGCCATCTAGTGGTCAAGACTGCACATTACTGCTCACAGTCCCTTAATACCTTTATATATTATAAAATTCACAGTAAGAAAACATGTCAAATATTCATTTAAAAAAACACAAGTCACTGGAGCGGATAAATGATTAATACTTTTTCTTTTTTTAAAGTTTCAATCAGCAAAAACTCAAAGAAGTAAATCTGCTGAGTCACTCTTTATCTGAGGAACTGAGTCTGAAATGAAGCTTAAAGATTACAGAGGAAAGTCTCCTGAACACAAAAGCGGTGAGAGCGTCTAATAGGATTTCACTTCCTCAAACAGAAATATGCCTCTGCCAGCTCTGAGCGTGTGTGTGTGTGTGTGTGTGTGTGTGTGTGTGTGTGTGTGTGTGTGTGTGTGTGACCGACTGCTTTTGTCACCTGATGGCTGAGAAGAAAAACCCCAGACCAAACAAACAGTGTGACCAAAACCTCAAGACTTTTTGAGCAACAGATGAAGTGTGTCGACAACAAAGTGTTAAAACAAAAAAACTCATGACGGCTGAAAGAAAAAGAGCGACTTTATTGAATCATAAGCAGAAAAATGTAAAGAGCACAAGATGTACAGAACGTACCGTGAACGTTTGACAGGAAGGTGAAACGACTTTGAACAACCCAGAAACAGACGATACTTCCTCCTTTTAGAGAAAAATGATAAAACCACCGAACACTACTGCTTTATAAATGAAACCCTCAGTGGAGTTTGGTGCTTTAAGACGAAATGTACCTTTACAATAACCACCTGAGTTTAAACTACACTAACTTTAAGACAGATCAGCAACTGAAAAGACAAAAAACTCCAGAGAGAAATCAGGTTAGTTTTTCAAAATAAAACGACACCTTACTAAATCCATACATCGCTACTTAAAAGTCCTCGGTACTAAAAACCGGATTCAAGAACACGAAACATTTGTATCTTCACGAAACGCCAATCAATCATGAACTGCAATCGGCTTTAATCCCCGCCCATGAAGAGACAGTGAGCACCATATAAGGAGGTGTGCTTCCTGTGGGCAGGTCAGCAAAGCGCAGAGAAAGAAAAACTACGTTCACACTGCAGGTTATGATGCACAATTCCGATTTTTCGAAATGGCGTCACACCTGAGTGACCAGCATTTCAGTTACCAAGTCGGAAAAAAGCAAAATCAGAGGCGGAAACAAGATGGCTACATCTACGAAAGTTATTTTAGCGCTTTCCTTGTCCGAACAAGTGTTAAGCGTGTCAAAATAACTTGACTTGAATGCAGCAACAAACCACGCCTTCAGTGGGTAACCCTGTCTCCTATGAATATGTCAGACATCTACAGCAACATATAAACGAAGTCATGAGAACCATTTAATTTAGCAACCAGGATCGCACACTGCACAGCCGAGGGTCTGTGGTTCAAAGATCGCAAAAATCAGATTTGCACCGATGAACCTAAATCACGGTAACACTTTCTGCAGCGTTAAACACTTCTTTAAAATGACATGCAGGGCTCGACTTCACGCAAAGGGGGTCTTCTTATGCCGGTCCAGATCGACACTGATGCAGCATGAGTAAAAACAGCTTTTTAAAGCAGTAAAAGCCACTTACAAACACATTCAGCCTGTGTAAACCAGCAAGTCGGTGCATAACTGAGCCTGAAACGCTCCCATGAGACACATAATGATGCGTCTTAAAGGTACATCCACATAAACTGCCCAGCGAGGGTCCGCCTCTGTACATACAGAGCGTGTGACGATGAAGATACTCACAGAATTGTCTTATTTAACTTGTTGAAATAACATTTACTGTCGACTAACCTTTATTAATATTTACAACCTGAGGTTCAGCAGCACAGCAGCGCTTCAGTTTCCCACCCTGAGCCTGAAGACGACCAAAACTACTGTCCGATTTTTACTGCCTGTCTGAGAGACTTTATTGCTTACATTTTTAGATAAAACTTTTAAAAGTAAATAGAGTACGTGCAAAAGCATTTCAAAGTTTTTGGTTTGTTGTAAAATTTATTTGGATCCTGGAAAGTGAAACTTGTCGTCGCTCTGGTAACTGCGTTCAGGAGAAGTTGGAGAGCAAACTGTGAGCACAGGTAAAGAGGGGGACATGGAGGTGGAGCTGACGGTCTGCGGCACCAGCTGGAACCCACAGCGGCAGCACGTATCTTGAAGGAGCCTCATCACGTCTTTGCGGAAGCGCACGCCCACCAAGGCGTACAGGACGGGGTTGAGGCAGCAGCGGGTGTACGCCAACGTGCAGGTGATGTACTCCAGCAGGAGGCCGCAGAACTGACCCGACATCTTCTGAGAGAGCACCACCGTGTACGGCAGCTGGAACACCAGGAACACCAGCACCAGAGCGACCATCAGCTTCAGAGTGCGCTGACGAGGCCACTGTTTCCCTCGCCGATGTGCGTGCCCCTCCCACAGCACGTGAGCGATCAGGGAGTAGCAGGTGACCATGACAAAGAAGGACAGGCAGAAAACGGCGATGATGGTGCCGTTGGTCGCCATCTTGACTCCTCCACTGTTGATCATGCCGCAGTAGTAGTCACCCTCAGACCCCAACACTCCAGAGTAGATGATCTCAGGCAGGCTGAGGAGTCCCGCTGCGATCCAGACGCCTCCAGCGGCGACTTTTCCTCCTCTTAAAATCTTACTGCGCAGCCTGAGAACATCCTGCGCCCAAGCCACCACCATGTAGCGGTCAACGCTGATGCAGGCTAGCAACAGGAGGCCGCTGTACGTATTGATAGCATAACAGGCGCGCATGGCCTTGCAGAGGAAAATGGGGAAGATCCAGCCCAGGTGAGTGTAGACCGCCTGTAGAGGGAGCGTGAGGAGCAGGAGGAGGTCAGCCATCGCCAGGTTAAACAGGAAGATGTCGGTCATGGACCGATGGTGAAAACGGCGGTAGTGGGCATAGGTGGCCATCACCAGGCCGTTTCCCATGAAGCCCAGCGGGAAGATAAGACAGAAAACACACGTCTGGAAGGTTTTGATGATGAACTCCTGCTCAGCGTCCGCCATACACCAGTAAGAGGAAAGGTCGTAGTCAGAGGCGTTGGTTAAATTCCCCTGAGAGTAGTTAGAGTAATCATAGTCATCGTCTTCGTCGTCAATGAAGTCAGAGATGTAATCCATCGCTGCTGAGGAAAACAAAGAGTGAGAATCATTTGGCGTAAAAGAAGAAGTAGACACGGGGCTTTTCTTTCATCTGGAGGATAAACAGTTATATAAACAGGCTGGAGACTCACTGATAAGTCAGTCAGAGGGAAGTTGCCATGCGTCTACAAAGCCACAACATTGAGCAACCAGTACTGTGATAATCTTAAACAACCTCATCTGCAGTTTTAATCTTCTTATTGTCAAATCATTTTACCAAATATGTTTTATATTCATCTTTTTTAAAAGGTATCAGCCACAAGTTGACAACATGAATTAAAATTTGTTTATTTACTCTATTCATTTTCTATTTTTTGTACATATTATGTTAATATGTTGGAGAAACTGACTGTTAACTGAGTAGTGGAGAAGGTGTAGGTTTAAATCATAGACTGTATTTACTCTGGATGACTTGGTTCCGCCCTCCGCCAGTATACGGATTTGAAGCGAAAAGTACTCGGTATTTCTGCGATCTTTCTTCATTTCCTGAAACCAACATTGCGCAGTAGCGTTGTACGCATTCTGCGCGAGAGTCGCTGTGATGATGCTCGGCTCAGACAGCGTATCCCCCAGGTGAGCTACGCAGTCTTCGTAAACATGAACCCCCCTGATAACTTTTAAAAACGGAGCTGTACAGAAAAAAAGAGGACTTGAGCACAAACCAGTCTGACAGTAACTACATGTCAACATCACAACCAGGGGGGAGAAACATTTATGTTCTGTCATTAATTTTTAAACCCCATAAGGAGGCGGGATTTATGACCTATACTGCAGCCCGTCACCAGAGGGTGCTGTTCTCTGAGTGGCCTCACCCAGTGAGGAGGCAGACGGCGTCCATTAAGTCTATGGTTTAAATAAGCATAACGCTTCATCCTACTCCTTTTCGGACATTTTGGGTTCACATTATTATTACTAGTATTTATTTTACTTCTTTATTTTTTTGCTTTGATTGTTGTTTTTGATGTTTTGAATATTCTCATCGGTTTTGTTTGATTGTTTGTTTTCAGTTTACTTTCTTGTGTTGCACACACATGTTCGAAAAAATAAAATAAAATTTAAAAAATAATTTCTGATTATGATAAGCAGAATTCTTCACTGATACAAACTCGTAGGTCTGGATTTTGTTCATATCTGCGAACAAATGGAGTCAGTTATCAGATTAGTCTTAAAACTACAAAAGAGTGTGTAGTCCTGTGACATTAAGAGTAAAATGACTCTTACTTCATCTGTGTTATTAAACAGTTAGACTCTGCATGACAGACTTAATACTATGAATCTAGAAACCAATGTGTCGACTAAATATCGTCTCAAACATGCAGTGTTACTACTGTATAAAACAGGATATCTGGAAACACCGACTCCTCCACCTTCAGGCTGAAAGTGAGAGACGAGCAGCCCCGTTCTTCAGTTTAGTAAGCAGCTGTCATATTTGAGTCATTTTGAAGCAGGTTGCGTGACACCGGCCTCAGGTCGTTGGCACAGGGGAAATGGTGGGTAGCATCGAGGTTTACAGATCAGTCAGTGTCGCGTGCCAGCAGTCCTTAAAAGCAGTTTCCACAATCATCATTTACCACTTTACTGTGAGACACTGACAAGTCTGTGCTCCGTGTAATCAGGCTATTAAACTGGATTTTTGGTGGACTCGGACACTAAGGTAAGAGGAACATCAGAGCATCAGAGGGGGGTGTTTTATGGAAATCCTACAAATGAAGAGCGAGTTAGGAGTGACTGTCTGACGTTTTAAACTGTAAACTTCACATTTAGAGAAAGAGTTTTCACCACAAACAGTGAAGATGTATGACTAAAAGCTTCTGTAAATCCTTCCAATGAACGGTGTTATCAAATACTTTGTTACAGTTGGCGTTAGAAGTAAGGTTATACAGTTTAAAACACAAAAATACTGCATTAATTTTAAAATCAGACGATTCGGACCACAGCAGCTGAACACAGAAGTTCTGTGAAGCAGTTCTGTGTTCGGCTTGTTAGTCTGACTTCTTTATAACTTACAGATTTCCAGACTGACAAACTTCGACATAAGGGGTTTGAGACGGGAAGACATCGAACATAAAAAGTCATTTTATGATCGTAGTTTACAGAGCAGCAGCTTTTATTGAACCTATTCGATCTCTGAGCTGATTTTTTTCTCTGTTTGACAGCCGTAGTTATATGAAGCTTCTTTTACAACATCACACTAACAAAGAGAGTCAAACTTAGAAACTGTAACCTGAAACTTCCTCTAAACCTGCTGCTTCAAATCAATAATGGAGTTCCACCTGGTTCGGTTCTCAGCCTGCTCTTATTTTAATTCATTTGTTCTGATCATTTATTCTTTTTTTATGTCACTGGCACTGCCAAGCCTACCGTCAGCGGCTCTAATCTGCTCTGAGTCTGACTCATCAGTCACTTTAAGATATTTCCTGTCAACAATATGTGTGTGTGTGTGTGTGTGTGTGTGTGTGTGTGTGTGTGTGAGTGTGAGTGTGAGTGTCAGACATGCAAAGACACAATTTTAGGAAGTCTTTATGACTCACCGCAACATTAAAACTTTGATGAATGTTTTTTTTAAACTAAAGGTGTAGAGCTTTTATAAATCTACTTTTAACACTTTTTAATTTTTATTTTATTTATTTTATCTGGCGCAAAAAACTTCGATACGGTTAAATCTAAATTTAACAATTAATAATAATTGACAACCTGATACGGTTAGTGACAATGATTGAATAATCTTCAATTTATTTATGTTTCAAAAAGTGAAAAATTGTGTTCAAATTACATCAAGCTGTTTATTTATTGCAGTTTAAATTAGAGTCTAAGTTAAATTCACTCAGTTTGGCGTGTATATTTTTTGCAACGGATTCAAAAACTCAAATTTCTCAACTATTTCTCTTTTTTTAATTATAACTAACTCTGGTCAAACTGGAATCAAATCTTGTGCACTTTTTATTTTTTATTAACTTTCTATTTATTTTATACTTGATATAAATTGCCCTGGGGGGTCTATGTGGTGTTTTCAGATTGGACAGCTGAGATAGAAAAGGTCGAGGGAAAAGTCAGTCAGGAGTCACTAACACGCCTCTATCCAGTCTGTCTGTTGTGTCCTTGGGTAAGACACTTAACCCACCTTGCTCCCAGTGTGTGTCCTCCACTGGTGTGTGATTGTGAGTGTTGTGTGGGGGTGGTCGGAGAGGCCGTAGGCGCAAAATGGCAGCCACGTTTCCGTCAGTCTGCCTGAGAGCAGCTGTGACTACGAAGGTAGTTTACCACCACCAAAGTGTGACTGTGTGAGTGGATGAATGAATGATGGATCCAATGTAAAGCGCTTTGAGGGTCTCTGATAGAGCGCTATATGAAATCTGATGCATTATTATTATTATTATTATTATTATTATTATTATTATTATTATTATAATTATTATTAATGGGCTGAGGCTGGAAACTGAGCTAATTACCTCTGCAACACGGACTACAGCTTCTGGATTCATGGCTTACCGCCAAGCTCACCTGGTACCTCATTTAACTTAAATATGACATGGAACTTTTACATGGAAAATTATTATTCCATTAGAGGTCCTTTTGTTAGGAAATCTTTGCTGAAAAATCACTTTTCTTTGCTCTGTAGAGAAAGCTTTTTTTGCTTGAAGACGAGGACTTAAATTTGTGGGTGCCGTGTCAAAAATAAGAAGTGTGCAAATCTGTGTGTACGGCTCTTTATTCGTGTGTAGGACTTGAAATTATGGGGACAGATTCTTTCATTTGTAGGATATGATTTGTGACCCATGTGCATCAGTTTGTAAACTGTTCACCCAGTTTTAAGTCTGTGGGAGCAGATTTGTAGCCGTGGAAACAAATCACAAATTTGTCCTCGTTTAATACAAATTCATACATGTGACTATGCACCCACTAAGGCTTCCTGAATATCTAAACAGTTTGTTTCTGATTTTTTTTTTGCCTAACTGGTTGTTGTTTAACTGATTTTAGTAAAGTTTTAAGTCACTTTCACTCGCAGGTTTATTCTTTCTCATCAGGGCGAGATTTCAGTCAGATCAGATATGAAATAAATCACTTTGAGTTCTACTGTACATCGTTTCCACTGCAGCACTTCCCCTCAGTGTCCTTTTGTCACAGCTGACCTTTGCAAAATATGTGGCAACATCACAGAAATTAGGTTATTTTCCTCCGCTGTATGAGACACACCGACCGTCAGGGTTCTGGCGTGTGCGAACCCATGAGCGGTTTTGAGATGACAGGTGTCACATGTCGCTCCTGATTCATTTCTGCTTTTCTTGTAAAGGGTCAACAGCAATATTTTGAGTGGCGGGGGGACAAACACACACTAACCTTTTTTCCTAGAAAGTTTGAAAAAGTTTTTTAACCAGCATGTTCAGTTTAATTTACATCAATCCTTTTCTGTTTCTTATTAATTTGGACATTTTTTAATTAACATTTCATGATTTTCTCACTTTGCCCGATACTGAGATCTATTTCTGAGTATGAAAAGTGAAAACCACAGGAGATATTAGATATTTTAATTAACCTGTTGATAAGTTTTTGTGCAGATGACATAATCCTGTTAAAAATACAAAGATTCATCAAACTTGTGAATCTGAGTCATAAAACCAAAAACCACAGCGCACGTCGTTCCCTCAGATTCAGTTAAGAAGTCACTCTAATGATCTAAACAGAATAAAACGGTTTAAAGTATTGAAGAAACATATTTTCGGGGAGTTTGTAGGACATGATGTATTTCTCATATTAAAGTTTGTTAATGCCCCTTTTTCATCCACTCACGTAAAAACATTAAATCCTGTTTTTTAGAGATTTAAATCTGTATTAAAAATCTTTCTCGATCCTCCTAAAGTGATCTTACCTGAGCTGTTTGAGGTGTTCAGCATGTCCTGATCCTCCTCTGGTGTCTTTGAGTCTGTGACACAGATTTCAAGAGGCTGGCACTCTTAAAAAAAAACCACTCTGAGGGTAAAAAACATAACCACTCCCAACCAATGAAACCCGCTCTGAGCTCTGCTGACCTTACCATACCCCTGTGTTTTTTCCTTTATCACCAGGAGTGGGTACAGGATGTGAGCATGAAACTTCAGCTTTCTTATAAATGAGATAAAGTCTTTCTTATAGTCAGATCTGACCTAGAAAGTTTGGGCATCATTATCATCACGATTGGCAAAATGCTACTCGACTGAAAATTATCTCATCATTTCTGCAACCACAACGTACGAAGAGTTGCAGCACCGCTCGAGATTATCCCTGATCAATATCACGACAATCCTCGTTTTTATTGGCTGAACGACCAGAAATAATCTGTTTCAAAATAACAAGACAGTCTCAAACAAAAGGACACGGACTGAGAAACGTGCGTGAAGCCTTGTGAGGGTTCAACAGCTGGACAAACACGTGCAAAAGCACAGCAGGGTGTGTCCTGTGATGGTGCTGAAACGTTCACAACCTCTCTTTGACATCTTTGAGGTTACACTGAAGTTAGAGCGTGTTAGAGCTCCACACACTGCAGAGCATCAGATCCACTGAGGGGGGCGAAAATACAAAGCTGATGGAGAGACTGTGAGCACATTTATAAAAAAAGGTTATTAAAATATCTTTAGAGTCACAGCAGCTCTTATTTTAGATTAAACTAGTCATTTTCTAATGTGGATCTGTAGCTTTCAAGAAGTTCAAGAAACTAAACTCAGTCCCTGAACATGAACGGTTAAAATAAAACGATCAAACTGAAACGTTTGTCCCGTTCGATCGGCTCCCGGTGAGAATCAACAAAAGCCTGAGTGTAGCAGCGTCACTCTCTCACCGCCTCCTTATTGTCCAGGACTAATTCATATCATTTTAATGCAGACTCTTCACTATAAGAGAGAACGACCATGTGACACACGACTTTAAGATGTAAACATGTAGCCCTGCGCCTCACCGCCAGCGACACAGATACTGCAGCGAGATAGATTATTGCAGAGTGTTTTTTCCGCTCGTAAGTGTGGGCACACGAACACGTGACGAACAGGACCACAGTGTGTTTACTTTTAGAGTCTCTACCTGAAGTAAACAAACGATGAACAAACAAACAAAACCAGTTCAGAACTGAAGACATCGCAACATTTAACAGTCAGCAGAAATGACGAACAGAGACATTAGATAATATTTGATAATAAAAGAATTGATCGTCTGCATAAAAAAACACACTGTGTTAGTGAGAAGGAAATTACTCAAGTGCATAAATGTTGAAAAAACAAAAATTGCAGGGAGCCTAATTTAGATCCTTGTGGGACACCGTTATTAATTAACCAATAAGAGCAGCTCATTGAATCAGTCCATTAGAATAGAATAGAATTCAACTTTATTGTCATTGCACATGTCACAAGTACAGAGCAATGAAATGCAGTTTGCATCCATCCAAAGATGCCCCAGAAGGCCAGCAAGTTTGTACTAAAACAAACAAATATTCAGAACCAGAACCAGAATATTTGATCCATCCCTGAGGAAATCTGGTAGTCCTACGACTGCACCATTGCGCCCTTGTGCATCTTATTCTTATGCTCTGACAAAATAACAAACTTTATAGGAAACTCACAAATTCAACCACAACACCAGGTTAAAACTCGTACCACAATAATACACTAATTCACACTGCATGCATGTTGTCTGCAAACAGCTCGGCATTAAACCACAATGTTTGCTTTGTGCACCGGTACCAGACTAAGAGAAAATAAAAAAAACTTTAAAAGCCTGAACTGGTTCTGTTCTGAGAAGTGTTTGTCAGGTCGACAGCGGGGCTGGGATGTTGACAGGCTGTAATAAGTCGTGTGGTTCACCTGTGATTGGGTTGTTTATGAGTGCGGTTCCCCTGAATGATGTGAAACTGCTGACCTACTGTTCAACTTCATCAGCCTGAGAACGCGGCAGGAGGGTTAAAGGATGATTAGCTTCTCTTAAACGTGTTCATCTCACCTTTAAAAACTACAAAATACATCTATCACACCTTCAGTTTAGTAAATCAGTTTCCTTAAACTGCAGATTAAATCTAAGATTATTAATGTGCTCAAGAACGTTTTTTCTGCCTCAGTGCTTTGTTGGTGTTACTGTTGTATTTAGTCATTTTGTTGACAGACTATGATTCACATTTTTGTTTTGCCTCTTCAAAATAACAAACCTGCATTTTCGTCGGTTTTCTAAGTTCTTTGTAACGACTATTTTGACACACCAAAAGCAGGTTTTTAATGGCCGATACTGATGATACTGATACAGAGGAGGCCCGCTAAGCACGTCATCATTTTTTCGTATTTTATAAATCCATAATTTAACATTTCAACCGAACAAGCACGTTTGTTTTGGCCAGAAAACCGATACTGAATTGATTCATAAAACAGAAAAACACACTGAGCCAGACGTCGACTGATCGGAGATTTACAGGCCCTGATACTGATAATGAGAGAGCAGGTTAACAGATATACATCATGTTTTTATTGGTTTTATTTGATTTCAGGGTTTCCCCTACATGCAACTGATCATGGCGCACCGCCACAGCTAAATAAAAGTAGTTTTTATCTCACATAGTTCTACCTCTGACTCATATGTATCAGCAGTGTTTCCCCTACATTCATTCAACAGCGGCGCCACTACTGAAATTTCACATGTTCAATAATATCAATGCAGCACTAATGATTTCTACTCGCACTGTGTGAGCACAACAACAACACACGGTGTTATTTCCGACTTGTTTTGAGTCATCAACATCGAATCCTGACAGACCCTCTTCCACTAATGTGAAGGGTAACGTTCAAGCTTATACACGGTCTGTATAGGGAGTATCGCGTGTAACGTAACATGAATGTAACAGCATAGCTGCTGGAGCGGCAAGAGAGTGAGGGTAACAACGACCCCCCCAACACACACACACACACACACACACACACACACACACACACACACACACACACACAAACACACACACACACACACCGCCACAGCTGCAAAAATTTTTCGGGGAAACAATGGATTTATTTATTTATTTAATTTTGCATTTAAAAATTAAAAATACCAACTAATGAGAAATAAAGCTGCTAAACATGAACATTTATTAAATAAGTGTAGACAGAGGAATATTTTTCCAAGTTAAACATTGCCATTGGATATCCGTCTAACCATCTTAAATCATTAAAAAAAGAGAAAATTTGAGTAAAAATATAAAATAATTCCATTCCTATTTATTTATAAAGAACATTTAAGAGAAAACAACCACACAGAGTTGATCTGTTCGTTAAAATTAAAGTTGAGATCTGTCTGAAACATGTCACTGACTCGGAAAACCTAGGATATTAGATTATGATGTGCAAAGAATCATGGAAGTGATTATAAAAAAATATATTTTTTAGGACAACTACAACATCCTGGTATTGGCCTTGAATATTGGCTGTAGGTCGATGTTGATCACCACTATGTAAAAACTTTGAACAGCATAATAAGTTAGCATAATGTGTTTTTTAAAAAGATTAATCACTGTAATCAATAAGCAAATTAAACAATAACTTTTAGTTTTATTCAATGTGTAGTTTGCTCATAAATCCACAGCATTATAAACGTTAGGAAGATAAAGGCAGAGGCAGGTAAACTGTGGATTAAAGCTTTTCTCTCTTGTCTGACTGAATGTGTGATTTTCAGAAGGTGTGTAAAGAGACTCTGGGCAGAAACGCAAACACAGACCAGAATTTTAAAAAATCTGTTTCAGATCAGGAAAAGCTCAAACCCCCAGCTGCTCGGTTTAACCACTGGAGGGTGGATTGAAACCTGCGTGAGAGGTTTTTTTTTTTTTAAATCTGCAGCACAACTGAAACACTGACACTAGAACAGTTATTGGAGTGTTGGCGATATAAATCAATAAAAAGCTGTTTTCACCTCCTGAGGAGAAAATCCTCTTTGATTTTAGTATTTGTAGTCTGAGTTCAAACCCCGACAGCTGTCTGAGGTTTAACTCAGAGGGAGTGTGTATGACTAAAACTTTTTTACAGAAAAGTTTTGTTTTCTATTTGACAAAAAAAGTTTAAATTCTTGATTAATAAGCGTTAAATGAAAAGTGTCAGCCAGTTTTGTACTTTTTTTATCCAAAGATTTTGTTCAAAATTCTGATTTAAATCAAGACTAAAGCTCTGTTTTACTAAACTTGACAATTAAGTCCAATAAAGCTGCAAATAACACAGAATTTACAAAAGACAGTTACAACATTATCTATCTTCTCTCTGTCTTCTTCAGTTTAGTTCAATCTACTATGATTTTGCTGCAGTTTTACCTCATTTATATAAGCTAAGATAAGGTAAGATATTCTTTTACGAGTCCAGCGAGGGGAAATTCAGTATATAGTGACAGTTTTTAATCTCAGTGCTGCAGGTGTGGAGATTTTAGTTCTCTGTGTCGGTTTGATGTGTGGGAATCTAACAGGTAAAGTGACGCAGAGTCTCAGTTTCATACCCTCACTCTCCTGTTATGACTCACTCATGATCACAAGTCTGTAATTTATCCTCCAGTTTCTCTAAAACTAGATCGCTGAAAAAATGTGGTTTCATGCAAATACAGCTCAGAGTTCTCAGAGATAAAATAAACAGAGCTGTACCTCCGGTTAAAAGCTGCTGACATGATGCTGTAAAGCTGGACTACCTGGATGTAAACAAGCACAGATGACGAAAACTTGAGTATTTATCATTTGTCGGTATTTTGATCTGCAAAATGGAGATAAAATTAAATGTCGCAGTGTTTCCCCGAGAATTTTTTTCAGCTGCGGCGGTGTGTGTGTGTGTGTGTGTGTGTGTGTGTGTGTGTGTGTGTGTGTGTGTGTGTGTGTGTGTGTTGGGTAAGAGGGTCCAAGAGGATTTGATGCGCTCATTGAAGACTCAAAACAAGTCGGAAATAACGTTGTGTGTTGTTGTGCTCACGCCGACAGAAGACCGACTGATCAAACTGGGACCAGAAAAGCATTTTCAACTTTAACTTTATAAATGAGATAAAGTCTTTAACTCTAACTTTAGCTTCATATTACATGGTGCTTCACCGTTAACACAGTTTTGGCCGATTACCAATTAGTCTCTAACGGGCTAACCTGCGATGATTGTGGCTCTGCTACTGTCAGATCCAGCAAACCAAACTCGGTCGTCCTAAGTTTAGCCGTATTTAATCAATTTTCTTCAATTTTGACTTTTTTTTAAGTTTTTCTAACTCTGAGATGATTCAGCTTGTTGGAATTTAAATTTTGGTTTACTTGCCTCAGAAATGAGTCACTTTAAAAAAAGACGGAGTTTAATAAATCATGATGCAGACTTGTACGGTATCCTGATTTGTGCTTTTCTTTGTGCTTTTCTTTCACATGTAAACTATTTTAGGAGCTGCAGATGAACTTGTTTTGATGCATCCTCAGAGATCACATTTTTTATGACACTTTTTTTTCTTACCTAACTTGCAGTCTGATGATGGTCTAACAGAGTATTCATGCTGTTACAAAGAAATCTTCATGTAAGGCACGTTTGTTCGGGTTAGTTCTGCACACTTAGAATAAAAATATACTTTAAGAGCCTCTAACAAGCTGATGCACAAATTTTCAGTCATCACATGAAAGTGAGAGCCGAAAAAAAAGCCTGAAACCAGATTTATAGATTTTCATCTCCTTGTTTTAGTTCTGCATCCTCTTGAAATCATCCCTGATTTATGATGTGGTTTCAGCACAGCCTGGATTCGTGCCTCTCGTTTCCAAAAACTGTCCGTAAAGCTTTTCAAACGTGCAGCAGAGTCCTAAAAGCCAGAACAGTTTCCTGTATGTGTGTGTGTGTGTGTGTGTGAGCCGAGGTGCAGACCGAAGCCATTAGAAAGAGCTCAGACATCCTGCACGCTGAAAAAAAAAAAACCCACAAAGCACAGGAAACTGCTGCTTTAACATATAGTAGTTGGTGTTAGAGGGCACGAGCACGCTTACTCTGATATATTATTTTTCCTCTGAAATCGACATAAATCAACGATTGTTGGCTCACATCACAATCACATTTCAGAGAGTATTGTGAGTGAATCATTCCTGCCTCCTTTATTAACGCGTCAAAGCTCTGTGAGCCGTCTCACTGCACTGTCTAAAGGTTTTGGTTATCTTTCCTGCTGCACCAGCTTCCTGAGTCCACCCTGTCTCTGTCCGGCAGCCACATTCCCTGCCACTAAGTGAAGGAGGAAATCCCTTAAGAGTGTTTTCACCAACTATCTGAGGAAGAGCAGGAAGCGACACCGTGCCGACTCCCTTTACCCACTTCACCACCCACATCAGGACGACGACGAGGAGAAGACGTATCAGCCTGGTATTGTGTGTGATCGTGTGTTTATGTTAGAAAAAAACCCTCAGGAGTAAGAGAGGACATGACAAGAGTCACTGATAAACAGAAAACTAAACTGCAAACTACAGCATACATGTGATAAACAAGAAGAAACTAAAGGAGCAGGCTGGGATTTTTCTAAGTCGATCTTTAAATCAGTTTAAAACTAAAGAGGGGGAATAACTCTGTTCACAGCAGGGGTTCTCAACTGGTGGGTCCTGACACCAAAGTGGGTCGCGGACACGTTCTGGAAGGTTCGCAAACAGCTGGTCAAAAAAGTAAATATTTTATACGCCCCTGATGTTTGACACATCTTTTATTTTGAAAAACAGCTTCTTTTGAAAGGCACGCATTATGTCGTGGTTATTATTGTGGCCTGAATGCAGTAAAATGAAACTTTTTTTGGTTTTTATTTTTTTTAATTTCATATTTATTCACTTTTGTCCTCCTCAGGTTCTTCTGAATATGCTCTAAATGCAGAGATCCAAATAAGTCAAATTTTTCATTTTTCTGGTCTCCATTTTGTGTGATTTGATATTTTCTGCATACGAAACTTCAGTAGTTGTCATCCTCGGTTCATGTGTTCTGTAAATGCACTTTACCCAATAAAAATAGGTGTATCAAAGATTTCAGTATTTAGAGTTTTTTTTTTTTTTTATGAGAAATCAATTTTCTTGGTTTGAATTTTATAAAAGAGGGTCGTGACTGAAGGACCAAGGGAAAATGTGGGTCCCAGAGTGAGACCAGTTGAGAACCACTGGTTTACAGCATCCAGCTCTCGTACTGCAGGAACATCCAATCAAGTCATTTTTCCAGAGACGCTAAAATCCACTTTAGGGACCCAGTCCTCTAAAGAGTTTATCCTCCATCCACAGATTACACAGCCAATAAAACGAAGTCAAAGAGGGGAAATAATGTCAGTATGTCAGTGATAACAATTCAAAAATGTGAATAAAAGGAACCAGAAAGACCGTCCTCTGAAACTAATACTCCACTCTGACTTATTACCAACTATAATGACCCTGAAACACAACTGTACAAACATTTCACCACATTTTAAAACTCAAAAATATTCTTCAAATTACAAAAATATTTAATCAAATTTTTTAAAAAAAGTTTTTGTTTTTAATGAAATATTTTTTTGTCAATGTTGATTTAAATATCCTTTTACAGAATGTGTAGTATTTAATAAACTCATATTTCATGTAGTATTTTGTGTTGATTATTTTAATGACACGTTTTTGTATCTGATTCAATACCTTCTTATAAAAACATATTTTGACTTTCCTGTTTGATCAAATGTTTCTGAATCAGTGATTTTTTTATTTATTTAATTGTTTGTACTTTAATTCTGCAACACATGAAACTTAAACATGCGGGGGAAATGTTTTGGATTTTATTAAAAGAGTTTTGTGACATGTTTTTATACTCTTGGGTGATTTTTTGAGGGGGTGAAGTTGTTGTTCTGCCTGGTTTTAAATGCTGCTGTCAGCGCAGTGAGGCCAAAAGCACTTCCTGCTGGACACGCCACATGACGACAACGCCACGGCTAGATCACAGAAGCATTTCTTTGTGCTGTTTGGTAAAAATGTTTTACACCAAGACAAGAAAATTTTAATTTATCCCTGAGAGAAAATTCGATATATTATTAGAGACGGGCAGAAATCTGTGCCGGTCTTTGTTTGTCTACTTCAGGATAGACCATAAAGTCCCACTGACACCAACGTTAAAACGCCCATTTAACAGTAACAGTAAATTAAACCAGTTCACAGCTTGGCGTTAAGAAACGGTCATGGACTGAGGAGTTATTCCTCTAATCATGTGAATTATTTTATCCTTTAAAATCATCTCATCTCAGGTGTGTTTTTACTCTTTTATTATCTTTTTAATTCAATCTGAACATGAAAAACTTTAAACGTAACTGACTGTTGATTCTTCAGTTTGTTTGGGAGGCACATTTTCTCACACACACACACACACCCATCACAGAGAGTCATCAGCGCTGAGATAAAGAGGGCTGGGCCTCTTCCTTCACGCGCTCTGCTCTCAGACCTTCAGCCTCATAATGACACCTCAGGTCAGCGAGCGGCCTCATAGGTTAGCGCTGATCCCTTCCTCGCTCCGCACCATGATCCTGAACCTGCTCATCCCCGCTCTCATCCTCGGTACGTCTCACCTACACTCAAACACGGCTTTTATTTCACACACACAAGTCTGAGTTTTACTCTCGAGGAATTTCCTGTTTTCTGGCTTTGCTGCTTGTTTCTATAAGTGTCCATTGTTCTCTCTGTGTGTGTGTGTGTGTGTGTGTGTGTGTGTGTGTGTGTGTGTGTGCCCGATGAAGGAAAGAGGGCAAACAAACTGCTGCTGTGAGAGCCTCAAAAACTCCTTCATATCATGTTCATATAATTCACTGAATCTTTGTCTGCAGGTGTGGTGGAGGCACAAACAGCCAACAGGACAGAGGGAGAGCTGAGCGGAGGTCATGAGAACCAAACTTTCATCACATCCACGGCAGACTACAGTAAGATAATTCACTTTTACAACATCTACTCTGAAACGTCTGAGTTATCAGAGAGTCGTTTACATTAATTAAGTCCTTAGTTTAGAAAATATCTGATCCTTAAAAGGCTTAGAAACATCTTTTAAATAATTATAAACTAACTCAAAGTGAAGAAACAGAAAATTTCACGTTTGAAACTGAGGCTGTAAGCTGTCAATTTTGGAGCATTTTGTGATTCATAAATGATTTAAATGCCATTTTATATCAATGTGCCAATTAATTTAGAGCACAACTTACTTTACCAAAAATGAGAAAAACAAAACTGTAATTTCTGGGAGGTTTTAAGTATCAAACAATTTCCCGTTTTTGCAGAAAAATACTCACTGAAGCTTTAGCTCCATTCGACCTTTTTAAGATTTTAAACTATGAACTTATGTTGAATATATCCGCTTGAATGATCATTAAAAATGCGTCTCCAGGTACACTAAAGCCTGGAAATCTCACCACTACTTCGTACAAAGATGAGCTTCACCGTATTGAGGAAGAACTGCAGAACAACCAGACCACTGCTGTGATCACTGAGGAGGACGGTGAGTATTTGAGAGGAAACTTTCGCTTTTATCACGTCTATATTTCCTGGAATTCTTTAGCTGTTTACAGTAAGTGGGTCTGCATGACAATGAAAAAAACATTACTGTGATTATAGGTATTGCATAATGACAAAAACAGGTATTCAAACAAAAGCTTTGAAACACAATGAGACATTTGAATAAAACAATTGTTCTATTCTGAGCTCTGTTCTCGGCCTTCAAATCAAATCTCACTCCCACATAAATCAGGCTGAGTGAGCTGGGCTGTTAATTTTCAATTGTTAATATGGCTTCAAACAATCATATACGATTAATAATCAAGACTGTTATTGTGCCGACTATTGTGTTACCCCGACTACATCCTCTACTTTAAATGAAGCGCACCCTTCCTCTCTTCCTTTAAGGCAGAGCTTGAGTGTGGCCCCTCCCCTCGAGCAACTCAGGTCAAAGTGAGGCAAACAGAGCTCCTGCTGAGATTAATGATGGAGAGAGGAGAGCAGGGAGAGGAGCAGGAGGAGGATGAGAGCAGGGAGAGGAGCAGGTGTATAAGTGTGTCTGAAAAGCCGAGGGACAGAATGAGTACAACAAGAGAGGCTTAAAGGGATATTGCAGCGTAAAATTACTTTAAAGTCAAACACAACGTAACACCAAGTTAGATACCCCGGCGAGAGATGAATGTTGTCGACCGCTTGCTTCTCTAGTTATACCAACTTTAGTAACGACCGCAGGATAGCAATACAGAGTGCCACACGCTCAACCAAAACGCCACTCTATAGCCACAAATAATGCTTGGAACAGCACCTAACTTCATCAACAGGATATAAAGGGCCAAACATCTTTTTAACTTTGACTCATTTCTTTAGCAAAGAGACTAAACACAACTCACCTACTCTCTCCCAGCAGCCGCTTGTTTGTACAGAGACCTCAGGCCAGTCCATTACGGACTACAGCGGGGTGCCTCAGCTCAAGGAAGAACATTTATGATCATTTCTTTATCATTTCCTTGAAGTAATAATCACCATATTAATCATTTTTTACTGCAGACGCAGTGGTTCTTCTGCCTTAGCGTCTCGGTCTGATTGCATTTCCATGAAGAAATGAACGTAAATGTTCTTCCTTGAGCTGCGTCACCCCGCTGTAGTTCATACTGGACTCGCCCAGAGGTCTCCATACAAACAAGCGGCTTTGCCATTATTGAGCAGGTTTACATTAAGCTAAAGACACAGGTACTATCAGCTTCAAATTAGAATTTAAATATTTGAAAATTCAAATATTCTGATGTAGGGTATCACAGGGAGCCAATGAGCTTTGCATGCTTACCATATACTGTAGAGTTACAATAAAATGCCCTTGTTGCACTTATATACTTGCATGTTTCTGTATTTTTGTGTATTAATGATTTTTTTTCTCCTGACTCTGCAGAGGACTTTCAAGACCAGGAGATTATGTTTCCAGGCAAACACTGCCAACAGGACATGCTGGTAGACCTCGGCCACATGTACTGTGGTGACCCTTTTCACCAGGAAATGAAGTCAATCAGCGCAGAAAACTGGTGTGATCTCGAGAAAATAATCAGGTGAGGAGCGGCAAAAGACCGACAGGCCAGGATAATTGGGATGACTAAGTAGTCAGGGCTTGACACTAACTTTTTTCACATGAGCGCCTACGTTGAAAAAGTCAGGAGCCCACAGAACTTTAGGGACACAATGAAAATTGATCAAATAATGTGTGTCTTTTTAGTTGATTAAGTACTATTATCTGAAATCAATTTTAGGTCTTTTGGTCACATGACATGGAAGCTATTGAAGATAACAGCCTTTTCTGAATACATCAACCGGTAATTTATTGACGGTCCCTTATTTAACACCCGACGTTGACAGTGAGGGTGTCGAGTAGATTTAACCGCGCTGCTGTTGTTATTCCCGGTTATGGAGAGTGAGGAGACACCGGTAGATCCACAGCAAATGTCCGTCGAATATCCAACCTAAAACTAACCTCGCCGCGGTATTTACGGGAAAAAACATTTGTGGCCTTGACTGATTTTTTTTTTTTAGCGCACATGTGACCCTAAGTACATTTTACAATTCGCACACATCTATTTTTAGTCACACTGTGGAGCCCTGGTAGCTTATTATTGACATTTTCAATAAACAATAATGGAGGGACTGACTGAAAATGAACAAACATTATATGTAGACGCTGCCAGAGAGAGAGCCGTTGGCATGCGCATGCGCAGATAAGTTGAGAACCGCTATGTTCGGTAGCACAATTTGTCAAACCACCTGTGCCAAAACCAGCCAGAAGAAAACAGGAGACAAAAGATTATATTTTACTCACGTTGTTTGACGTAGAAATGCAGGAGTGCATTTTCTGACTTTGTCTTGTAGGCCAAATCGTCAAAATCCAGCATTAGTTTATGGAAATTCCTCCTTCTTCCTCCGCAAGCTAGTCAACATTAGCTAGCCGCCGTTGTCATCCACTTCGACATGCTAGCTGGTTATCAACAAACTTACTACTTCCTTTGTTTAATTAATTTCTAAGTGGAAAAAAGTAAGACTCAAATTTCAATTTAGCTTTAAAGAATCTGCTTCTGTCGAATAACAGCGTCACAACGTCGCAAAAACGACTGACACACGTTTGTTATCTTCTGAAAGTTAACTTTCCTCCTCCCGGTTACCTGCCATAACCGTCTTAGAGTGCAGTACCCATGTTTGACCACTCATACAAGGAGTTGAATTTAGGGGGGCGCTGTTTCACTAATTTCAGCATCATTAAATGGCTTCAACAACCAATAGCCGGCAAAGTGTTGGTGATTATAATAATATTAAATTTAATAAAAATTATATATATATATATATATATATATATATATATATATATATATATATATATAGAAAATTCATTTTATGCCCCTTTGATTCACAAATACAGAAAAGTATCTTCCTGTAAAAACCAACCTTTCTCTCTATTTGCAAACAGGGACAATATAAACATTACTATTTTTAAAAATTGGGTGTAAATTTTCAGCGTTATCAGAGTAATATTAATCACCAAAGTAGTTAAGTTTAGTTGGAGTATCAACATATATATGTTTTGTGATTACTGAAACTTTTAATCATTTTCTCTATTTCTAATCAATTACTCTGACTCGGTCGATACATTATTAACATTGACATAGAAAGTTCGGTGTAGTCTAGATGTTAAATATTTTTAATTCATAATAGTTGGCTGATAACTTTGGGATTTTCTGCTTTTGAAAAGTCATAAAATGCTGTAAAAAATTAAGTTGTCCCCTAACTGTTATCATAATTAATACAAGGCTTTCTCTTTCTGTATCGCTGTTGCAGGCCGTACCACGAAATGACATTGTGCCTGGAGAAGCTGTCTAATTTGGTCAACTGTTATTACCCAAACTCCAACATTCAGGACTTCTTCCTTGAAATCCACTCCTTCTACTTCCACAACTGTTCCAACGAGGAGCTCCTGGTGGATGCTCCTCAGGGTCTGGTGATCGCCCTCACCGTCATCCCTGTCAGCCTCATCCCTGTGCTGGTTTACCTGGTGGTGTGGAAAAGTAAAGTCCAGGAATGACACCTGAGAAAACATGTTTTATATGAAGATACGCTGCTTAGGTTTAGAGATACATTTTTAAAGTAAGTCTGGTTTGAACGGTTGGTAAGTTATGCGGACAGCAACCTAAACTAGTGTGAAAAATATAAATGTTTATCTCTTTTTATGTGTTTTTATATATGTTTCATTTATTCTATATTAAAGGTTTCAAACTTGGGGAAATGTGTTTGTTTGTTCCTAATGAAGACTTGGAAAAATTAGACCTCCATCAGGTCAGTCCATAAAAGTCACATGCTGCAGAGATCTATGTTCCTGTTAGTCTTTACTGTAAATTGGCAGTCATACAGAGGCTTCACTCTGGTTTATTTCAGGGGTTTGAACTTAAGAAGTAAAAAAAAGATTTTCTTTTGGAGGTAGCCCTTTATTGCCTTTTGTATCATATTTGATACATACTTTTATAATACCTCTATCAATCAATATGATCAACAAATGACTAAAAAAACACAGTCCGATAAATGATTAAAATGTCCTCTTGTGGTTTATCAGATTCCAAAAACATCTGATGTATCAAACGAGATAAATATATTTGTAAAAGTTTTTAGGACATTTCAGCTGCAAAAAAATTGAATTTTTTGGCCATAATTTTTGGTTTCAGGCATTAAAAGGTTAAAGGTTTTCCATAAAACAGCATCATGATGCAGATTTCTTAAAAGTAAAAATTCAAGCTTTGTCAAGTCTGTCCCCAAGAGGAAAAAATATATATTATTATTATTATTATTGGTTAGAATTATAATTTCTGACTCATATCAGGATTGACACTGATTAGCAATTACAATAATCTAAAGCTGATTTGCGCAAAAGTTGAAATTTGTTATCCAAAAAAAAAGCCTATGCCCTACAATGAAGATTTAACTTTTTTATTTTGTCACCAAGACCTGAGATCAGGGAAAAGTCAGGCTAGCTCTTTTAGTAATTGATTCATAAAGTCAATTTTTCTACCCAGAGGAAACTCATTGGTATTCCCACGAGGTTTGGAAAACACAGAAACAAAAGAGGATAAAAAGTTTGAAGGAATGATAACAGGAAAAAAATAAACTGGTAAAAGTGTAAATCCAACATTTTTGAGGAATTAACCTTGTAGTGAGTAGAAATAATGCTGGTCTAACAAGGTTAACTGTGGGTGCAAATAGCTGATCCCCCGAGGTGGCGCCACCCTGTGGCACTATTTGGTACTGCAGAAGTTTAGACCGACTGTTACAAACTCATGTGACTCCATAGCTGCATTTTCAGGCTTAATAAATAACTATAGATAAATAAAAGTAGTATAATTTGCTCATAAAAGGTCATATAGAGGAATCTGTATTAATTTTAGCATGTTTATTTAACATAAAAAAAAAAACCTTATAGGAGCTTTAAAATTTCCAGTTTCTGCCTAAAAATAGTAAAAGTACTAAAAGTACCAGACTATCGTTGCTCAGTTGGGACCATGAGAGGTCAGCTTTAATACAGACAAAAATACACAGTAAACTGTCCGCACTGACCTAAAGCAGCAAACTTCTGCACACAGGAGTGAAAAGAAATTCAGCATCATGAAGTCTTTGCTCCTGAAATGAGGAGGTGTTACATTTCTAACAGAGATGGCAGCTCTGGTTCCTGTTCGCTCTGTTTGGGTTTGTTAACGTCTGTGCAAACTTTGCAGGATGAGGCTTTGTTTCAGGATAAGAGACTCTGACACAGAGAGTCCTCACAGGTCCAGATCTCACCTGGGCTGATTTGACGTGATAAAGACTCTGTGATGCTGTTGGTTCCTGATGGGTCGTAAAGGCCTCTGCAGATAAGAAGGAGATGAATCATTAGCAAAGAGACTCACTAACACCATCTCTGACGGTCCTCTGTATGCACTGGAACGAGCTGTGAACACACACGGATACACAAACGGGTTATTAGCATCAACCAGAATGACTGTTTCCTTCTCCACCCTCGGTCACACTCTCCATCAGCTCTTACAGACAGAGAAAACCTGCTTTAGTGGGATGATATAAAGGTTTTTTAAGGATAACTTTAGAGTCCTGTTATAAGGATTTAGACTGAAGTAAAGAGTCACGAGGATCCACTGAAACAATGCCAGTTTCACAGGCTGTTAAAACAAACAGTTTCCTTTCCTTTCTCGCACGTATCGCTCTCACATGTTTGTTGATTCTCCGAGCACAGAAAGAGCATTGTCTCTCTTATCTCTCAGCCCCTCTTCTCACTCAGTGTCCTGCTGGTTTGCAGCATGTTCCTACGTCTTCAAATCAAACAGTTTTCAGACCAGGGGGTGTCTAAATTTCAGAGTGCACATCATGTAACCTGCAAAATATATCTACACGTGCAACGTCGCTGTTCTCTGTATTAGCATCATAATAATCTGAGTTTTCTGGGAGTTTCATTCAGCTTTAAAACCTTCAGGTGTCCTCAGATACTCTCCAGGGCTCAGGTGTGTTATTGTGTCTGATTTTACGCCCTCAAAGTCAGCGATAGATCTTACATTTTTATCGATTAATGCCCTAACTTCAAGATTTAGCCTCACTGGTGTTTAATAACCTCTCAAAAGTGACTAATTAGTCCATTCCTGATCTTAACACTCTCACGAGAGCTCATCCAACAAACCATTCAGAGTCAGAGTTTCCTGTGAAGTTCATTCATATCCTGTTTGACATCCTGAATAAGAGGTTTGGTGTTGACAGTACTGTCTGGTCACAGCCAGGTGGAAACATGTGGTTTTATCTTCTCCTGTGATTTGGATGAAGATGTAGCAGTAAAATAAATCATAAACTGAGAGTGAGGAGTTTCAGTTTCACGTGAAATCAGAATCAGGGTCATCGTCTGGGAAGTTTGGACTCGTGTTGGAGCCGGGTCGATAAACTCAGGATGACAAAAACAGAAATATAGAAAAGTAAAGCAGCTGTAGACATATACAGATGAGTACAGAGCTGTATAAACAGGACCTGAACAGAATATGTAAACACACAGGGATCTGTGCATTTGTGCAGGAAGCTACAGGATGATATGAGCACAAAAACAACAAAGAGAGAAATATGACAGACTCTGTTCAGTGTGCAGAAATGTCTGACTATTACTGTGATTTTACATTAGAGCATGAGAGAGAGAGGTTATTGCCTTTTGTATTATTATTATTATTACTGTTGTTGTTGTTGTTGTTGTTGCTCCCCCTGTTGGACTGTTGCAGCTCACAAACTTACTTTGTGCGAGAATAAAAACGAGGAACACCCGGACGATTAAAAATGACAAATGTACCAAAACACCCAAAACCCAGAGATATTTTTGAGGGGACATATATTCCAACCATCGCCCTGACAGCTGTCTCATCCTGATTATTGTATTGTAACGAAGGAACCAGAGAAAGTGTCCATTTACTTTCATCCATATTGTAAAAAAGACAAACTGCTGGATACTTAGAGACCGTTACCACATGGTGATTCTGGACAACAGAGGCTAACAGAGGTCTCTTTAGGCCCCATTGTCAGGTGAGAGATAAGGTGTCCTCGGATAAAAGCGTCTGTTATTAGAGTTTCTCCTCCTGTGAGGTGTAAAGTCTTTTAAAGGGGGTGAGGGGCTTTAAATGAGCGGTGGGTTTACACACGGAGGTCAGTCACCTCTGGACCTCTACAGGACGAACTACCAGGATCCACACAGTTAACAAACACAGACTGAGGTGAGTTTGTTTGATATCAGTTTGTGCTGCTAAAATAACGCTCTGCAGGAAGATTTTTACTTTTTTGTAAAGTAGAGGAGCTCAGATTACACTCCAACCCTTTATTGATATTATTATACTGTAAATAACAATTAAAAAAGATATCTGATTTCGAGTGCTCTAAAGATTAATGATGTGAGATCAGCACTTTTTTAGCGCTGAAGAATGTGGAGTGAAAAGTTTTGTAACCTTACATGACTTTGCACTGAAGTAAACTTGTTTATGTTGTAGATATTTATCATCTGTAGATATGTAGAGACATGTTCGGTTATCGTTGATGATCCTGATCAGAAAAAACACAGAAACTCTCTGCTGGTAAACTTTAATCTGTCGAGGACCCGAGTCTCTGACAGATTAAGACTCGATTCAGACACGAATCTGAAGATTTTTGAGCAGATTACAGAGAAAAGGGTAATCTCAAATCACCGGATCATGATTTGACATCTGTGTGTCTGTCTGTGTGTCTGTCTGTGCAGGTAAAATGGTGGGTTATCACTGCATCCCCTGGATTAATACTCACACCTCCGGGTCGTACTCTGTGACTTCAGTCAAGCAGGAGCAGGAGAAGTGTGAGTCTTACATTCAGTTTTTATCACTTCATCATATATTTACTTCTATATCATGTTAATTCACACTCTGACTTTTACTAATAATGATTCATATTCTTGTTTTTTCTGTATTAATTTTAGAATGTTTTTTTAACATTAAAAAACCCTTACGTATAGGAGCTTTAAAATTTTAAAAAGCTCCAGTTTCTGACTAAAAATTTTATTTTTATTCTTCTTTGTTCTTTCAGCTTCATCCTGCCTCAGAAATAAAACCGCCTGTCATCGCCTCTGTCAGACCCTCGCTCTGTCGGCGCTCTGTTTGCTGCTCTTCGTGGTCTGTGTGGCTCTTTCTGTCCTGTGTGAGTAGATTCTCGGGTCATAAGAGGTGATATATCTGCAAATTTAAGATCTAAAATGAAATAAGACCTCTGTGGCTCACTATAACCCAGGACTGGGAACACTGGGAGAGTCCAGTATAAACACTGCTGATAAACTTTTATTATATGGAGGAGAGATCTGTAAGCAGCCAGCAGGGGGAGCTCTACATGTTTCAGCTCCTCTCTGTGAGAACTTTTTTTTTGCATTATAAAAGGAGTATCCTCTGACTTTAGAGTATTTCAAGCAGCATTAAAACCATGTTTGGGGTGCAATACTGCCACCTGCTGGACTGGAGTGACTGGACTGAAGTATCATCGTTTAAAAGGAAGGAGCAGTTTGTGATTGAACATCATGAAACCACATCCAGACGTTGATACTGATCATCTCATCTCAGCCTCAGACGGACAAAAATAATCACCTTTTACAAAATCTAAAGTTTGAACTCATTCTGAAGTCTCCTTTCTGTGTCCTTCTCTTTCAGATAACAGAGGATCAGACGGTAAACCAGAGAGGAAAAGCTTCATCCTTGAACTCCAGAACATCAGCGACAGTCAGCACACGCTCTCTAAAGCAAACACTGAACTGAGACGAGACAACGAGGCTCTAAAGGAGCAGAACAAGATCCTCAACAGGACTTCAGCCAAACTGCACTCTGTTACTCTCACTCTGAGTTTGGAAAGATCTGAGCTAACAGAGCAAATCCTGAATCTGACTTCCACAAACTTACAGCTTTCACAAGAGCTGGAGCGGCTGCTTCAGATCACAGCCGATCAGGAGGAAAAGGAGCTGAACATGAGCCAAACCATCCAACATCTGAGAGAGTCCAACACCCAGAGAGAGGAGGAGAAACGAGGACTGACCGAGGCCACGGACCTCCTGAGAGAGGAGCTGAAACAGGAGAAGGAGAAGAATCAGGAGCTCCTGGAGATAAACGACAAGATTCAGACAGATGTTAAAAATCTCAGTCAGAGGTTAGAGGATTCGTTAAACGACGACTGTGAGGAAAGAAACGCTCAGCTTCAGGAGAGAGTGATGGAGCTGCAGGAGAAAATCAAGAACCTGAGCGGGGTGTTGATGAAGGAGAGGCAGGAAGCAGCAGAGAGGGAGGAGCGGACCAACAAGATGGATCAGACTCTGATGAACATGAGGACACTGCAGGAGGACTTCAGATCCCTGGACTTGTACTGTCCTGTGGTTAATCCTCAAACTAAAGGTATGAATCAGCTTGTTTTTAATCTTTATCAGGGTGTGAAATGATGAATTTCTGATGCACAATATGATGTAATGTACACAAAACTAAATAAGTATTTATGCGAGTTCAAAAATTTCATCTCGGACATATTTTAACAAAGCTGTGTTATGAAAGCGAGTCAACATTTAGATTTCTTCAGCATCCTGAAATGGAATATATATATATATATATATATATATATATATATATATATATATATATATATATATATATATATATATATATATATATATATATATATATATATATATACAGTATATTTCTGAGAAAAAAAGTCAGAATTCTAACTTTAACCTCAGAATAATGATTTAAAAAATTTATATATGACCTTTTTTTGTTTTGTTTTTCCAGTGGCCCTAATCCTCAATAATATAATAATAATAATAATAATAATATACAAATATACAAATATAACTCACCTCACACTCATGACTCCTCCTCTTTGGCATACGTGGTCCTGACTGATCCAGCTTTGAGAGATTTCTCTATCTTCATCTGTTCCACAGAGCGGAGCTGTAAAAAGTGTCCAGACAGCTGGAAACTGTTCGACTCCAGCTGTTACTACATCTCTTCTCGCACGCTCACCTGGAGCTCCAGCAGAGCCTGGTGTCGGACACAAGGGGGCGACCTGCTCGTCATAAACAGTGAAAGAGAACAGGTAAGAAACAAAGAAGGGGATGTAAGATACTAAAACAGAAAAAGGCTGAAATGATATGATATGATATGCTATGATGTGACTGATCTTTGTCTTATGTCAGAGGTTTGTCTTCGAGAGCAGCAGAGCTGAGAAGCAGAGCGGCTCCAGGTTGTGGATCGGGATGACAGACGCAGAGGTGGAGGGTGAATGGAGCTGGGTGGACGGCAGCAGAGTCACGTCCAACATACAGTAAGTGAACATACAAGGACAGAGTGGACATAATGAGGGTGTTAAAACATTGTTGTGGGTGTTACTTTTTACACAGCTAAAAAGACATGAAACGAGCTGTAAAAGTGTGACTTAACTGAGAACAGCTGGTGGTCCTCCTGGAGGGTCTTTGAGTATGTGTTGGGGCAGGTGACATTGGAAGTAGCCTTGAGGTTAATCCAGAAGTTCTCCTGCCTCTCCTTGTAACACGGCTGCTCCTCCTGCTGTTTCTCCAGGTTCTGGCTGAGCAGAGCAGGAACAGGAACTGAGCCTGATAACTGGACACAGGACGACCCTGCAGGAGAAGACTGTGGACACATAGACAACAGTGAAAGTGTGCTGAGATCATGGATGGACGGATCCTGCAAGAACTCTTACAGATGGATCTGTGAGAAGAGTCTTTAACTTGTCGTTTGTCCATTTTGAACCATTTTTCGTGCTGTACATAAAATAAAGAGGAAGAAAAGAGGTTAATCGAAGTACTTGGACCACAGAGATTGTCAGCGATCTTTCGCAGGAAATAAACATCAAGAACTTTGTCTTTTCTGACTTTTTATTTATCTCAAGTACAACTTTAACAGACTGCATTCACTTTTTTTGTAAAACCATACATAACAAAGTCGAAGCATTGATTCAACATAACAATGCAGACATAAAACATGTAAAAAAAGAGGTAAATGTGAGTTTTCTCATCTTTTTGGGTTTGTGCATAAAACAAATGAAGTGAAAAAATAAAAACAAAAAATTATTATATTTTACAATGTGCTAATAGTGGCATTAAAAATAGATGTTCTGTCAATGTGGTGAAAGTCAGTACAGTAAACAGTGTAAATGTACTGTTGACCTGACAAATGTTTCTCGAGATTTTATGATTTTTTTCCATCAGAAGTCTAAAGTTGTTGCAGGTTATTCCCAGTTTGTTCTCAACACAATGTTACTGTACTCACAGTTAAATTTTATCTCCGGTAACTTAATTTTTCTGCTTCTCCGTGGACAAATGTCTAACTCTAGCTGCTGCCAGTCGACTGTTTATCAAGTTTACCAATTCAATTTTGCACCAAAGACAAAGAACTGATCTACAGAAGGGAAAAAAAAAAGATAAATTTTCTTTAATTCTTAATTTTCTCTCAGAAAATGACAATGATTATGTAATATCTCAGAGCACTTAAAAAATATCAAACTTCAATGAATAAAGAATAAAATCAGACTTCTAACTTCGATCTCAGAATTCTGCCTTTCATCTTAAAATTCAGTGAAAAATTTTCAACATTTCAGGTAAAAAAAAAAAAAATCAAAAGTTCAAAATTTGGTTTTGATGTTTTCTTTAAAAAACATTCTTTAAAACTTTATTCAGAAAATTTTGGCCTTAATTTCAGGATTATAATCTTTAAAAAGTCTTAATTCCAGGTTTAAAACAGAATTGAGACTTAAATTTCAGAATCTGATATAAAATCCAGAATTCTGAGAATAAAATCAGTTTTTAAAAAGTAATTCTGACATTCATAAAAACCTCAGAATACTGATTTAAATCTGAGAAGCCTGACAAAATTTTTGATAAAAATTCTGACCTCAACAAAAAATGTCATCACCAGAATTCAGACTTTAATCTGAGACTCCTGATTTTAATCTTAAAAATCTGATTTTATTCTCAGAATCTTGAGTTAAATTCGAGAAGTCTGACATAAACTTCAAAATTCTGATACAAGTAAAAAAAATTTAGAATATATTTCAGCCCCCGATAAAGAGGAAAAAAAACAGAATTCAGACTTTATGTCAGAATTATATATATTTCCAGTGACCCTAATCCTCTTCTGTATTCATTAAACCAAACTAGACACCAAACTGTCGGCGTCCACATTGTGACAGGGTTAAAGGAAGGATCACATTAACTCCTTCAGAACTTTAAGTCTACCATAAATTTGGTGCCAGTCCCTCCTCCAGATGTTGACCCTCTGGGAAGTAAAGCATTTATCAGAAGCACTCAAATTTTTCCTCTGGCCTCCTTGATCACCTGTTACTAATTTAACGACAATTATTTGTAAAAGTCATCAAGACATTTCATCGTCTTTTTGTTGACCCTGAATATGTTCACGAAATCCCGTAGTAGTCCGTTTTATTGATTGTTACTGCAGTTGTGATCCTGTCTGGGCCTGTGTCGGCCTCCTTGAAACAAAGCAAAGGACATAAATCCGGATCAGCCTGATCCTACAGGATGGTGTTCAGAGTCAGAATCTACTCCTGCTTTGGTTTCCTCCTTCTGCACAGTCTAGAGCAAATAAATCGGACTGTTCCGACCACAATGGCTGTCAGAACCAGCATGAGTGCCAGCAGAAAGACCATCACATCCACAGAATGGTAAACATACCAGGGCATCTTATAAGACTCAGTGCGTAAATGTGAAGCTCCTTTGTGCCTGATAACAAACTCAATCCAGTAGATGGCGGTATGTAGAGGATGTACCGGTGTATCGCGGTGGAGGGAGGAGAGTCGTTTCATGTTGTTACTGTAGGAAGGGTTGTGAAGAATTTCTCTTAAAGCTTCCAGAAAGCTCTGACTGGTGAGTGTGGACGCATCGACGGATTTGGCAGCTCCTCTTGCCTCCAGTCTTATAATGTTTTCAAACTGGTCAAACAGGAGGGGTATGCCTAAGATTGGCACTCCGTGGTAGATGGCTTCATAGATTCCGTTGGTGCCGCCATGAGCCACAAAGGCTCTGACCTTCGGATGACCCAGGAGGTCATTCTGGGGCATCCACTTCACCAGCAGGGTGTTGTTGCCCACAGTGCTGGGCCGCTCACCAAGATGCCTCCATATGACCTTTTGAGGGATTTGGGCGAAGGCAGCTGCGATTTCAGAGGTGATCTCTGTTGGCAGACCCTTAATTAGTGTACCGAGAGTCATTACGATGAATCCATGCTCTCCTGAACTTTGCACAAAGTCCTCCAGCTCTGAGGATAAACCCTCAGACGGTTTGCACTGAAAACCACCTATGTAGGCAATATTTGGCAGGGTAGGTCTAGGGAATTCAAAGACAAAGTCCACCCTCATGAGCCAGATGTCTACTCCTTGAAGAAGGTGATAGAAGTTCACATCTGGACCAAGGTACCTTTCCACCAGTCTGTCGTAGTGAGGGCACACTACAAACTTGTCGATGCACGTGTTGAGGAGATAAAACAGAACATTTTGGACTCTTTCCACAAAGGTCATCTTGTCCGTGGCAGCATGTCCAGGGACTGGGACGTAAGATATAGGAGTTGGAGCCACCACAAAGTGCCCCTCTCCACTGGTGATCCACTTCACATTGAAAACAACCGGGAGCTGAAGTTCATGAGCGACAATAACTCCAACAGGCAAACCTGGGTCAATCAGAACCATATCAAACTGAGTTTCATGAAGGCTCTGTAACAGAGCCTTGTTCTCAAGTATTTCTACCCCCACCATGCTGGCTTGTTCGTGAATTTTTGACAACCCAGTGATCATTTCCCAGAAGAACTCCATCAAAGCTAAAGGAGACCCTCCTGCTTTCTTGATCTCCAGCATCTTCCCCAGGAAGTTTATGAAGAAGTCCTCCTCCTCGATGTCGACGGCCTTTGGTAGAGTGATGGTAATGGAGCGGTAATGTGGCGCGTTTCCTTTGATGTACCAGCTCGTGGAAGTGTGGATCACAGTGACCTCGTGACCTCTGCTGTGGAGGTTCTGGATCAGCAGGTTCATGTTGACCCAGTGGCTGCCATCAACCGGGAACACCAGAATCTTTCCACCCTGGACACTGGGACTCATCAGGAGGGAGACGCTCAGGACTAGTGGGAGAAGAGAAACTGCTGGGATGCTCCCCATGGATGAAGTCTGAGAAAAGGAACAAGGACACATGAGTGAGCCACAAAAAGGAAAAAACAAGAAGAACATGGACGGCACCATGGACCAGAGCAGGAGTGTCTGTTTGTGGGCGGGGCTTGCTGGAGCAGACCGGGAGGGAAGAGGAGGAGCTGAGGGGAAAACTGGTTTGGAGGAGTAGAGTTTACATTCAAGATTTCTCCTAAAAACTGGAACTAACTCAGATCCTGACTACACCACCTTTAACTTTATGTGACTCCGTGACTCCACCCCCGCGTAGTCGCGTCCTCTTTTTGGGAAGTCTGAATAGGGTCACCCTAGTTTAGACTCACTTCATTCAAAATATATCCTGTGTATGATTCAAGGGTCACCTTTTTGGGTTCTGTATGAATGTGGGAAAATCACATTCCTGCTAAAGTAAAGAGTTGGACAGTAAATAGGATGTGAGACAATGGGTTAGATGATTCACACTGCAGCAGAAGGTCAGCTTCAGGTTATTTCCTGTGGAGTTTGACGACTGACTTTACTTAATTTCTGTAACATCTGTCATTAATTTTTGTGACTTTTAAAGATATTTAAAGAGAAAGTACACTGTGTTCATTCTTATTTCCATTCTGCAAACCCTTCAGTTTGACCCATGTCCCTCCTACTCTGAAACAAGCCGCTGCAAGTTTTTTTTTTCTTTTGCATGTGAGCATTTTTCATTGTCTTCATGGATTCATTTTTAAACCAGAGGATAATAAGCAAAAAAGAAGTGACTGAGACGTAGCTTAACAGATTAAAGTCCAGGGGAATGCAAGCTCAGACTAATTCCTGGTGGTATTCTTGTTTTCTAATCTCATCATCTGTGTTCAGTGGGGACTTCCTAGTAGACTCACAACATTTAGCACAATCTCCACTCATGACATGAGGTAAAAGCATGTGCTTAAGTGCCCTTTCCCTCTACATGTGTGTTGTTGAGAGTTAGACAGGGAATGCACGAGAGGAAGATCAACATGCAGCTGCTGAAACTGTGGAAAACTGAAGTGTTGCACAAGTCCAAAGATCAGACTCTCCTCTTTCTGCTGCTGTTGCAAAAGCATGAGTTTGCAGATGTAGGATAAACAGAGCTGCTGCCTACCTTTAGTTCCTGAAAGAGAGGAGAAATCTTGTCTCAGGTCTTGTGAACCCCGGTGTCTGCACTTCTAGAATTCAAACTCCAAACTTGATTTCTGGGTTACATAATGAAGTGAAGTAGACGAGGGAGGGAGTTCAACAAACGGCTGTCAGATGTATGTGTGTATTTTGAGAGGGGAGGGGAGGGAAGCTGTCCTCCCACCAAGCCCGCCCCTCTCTTTGTGTGTGCTGCACTCACACTTTGGACCACACACACACACTCTCACACACACACTCAGTACCGCAACCTAATACCCTCCCCCAAACAGTTTTGGTTGAGAAATTCTGGCCTCGCACAGAATTATTTGGTCTAAAAACGAGAAGTTGCGGTTTAAAAAATGTTTTCCTTTGGGACTTAAAATAAAGTGACCGTTAAACCTCCTAAAGATTTCACCACAAACCAGCCAGGAATCAGTCGCCTTTTCACACTTATATACAAAACAACAAGAATATCCAAGTTTGATTAAAGCCACAGTATGTGATGTTTAGCAAAACAGACTCAGTCCAAATGGAGTCTAATATTCATGAGTGTGAGCAAATTAATGTAGTCAACCCAGAATCTGACTACTAGACACTGCTAATTATTTTCATTTTTACACACTGGACCTGTAGACCTTTGGATCCCAACTGTGTGCAGCACCATCTGCTGGACAGGTAAGGTACGACAGCTTCCTCTATCTGAGGCTGTGTCTCATTTCAGAGACCGCATCGGGATAAGCGCGCTTAACGGCGCTTAGCTGAGTGCACTGCCGTTTTGTGCCGTTATGTGCCGTTTTGCGCCGTTATGTACCCTTCCTGTGTCCCATTTCAGAGACCGCAACCGTCGAACGGCGCATCTGAAGCGTGCGTGAGGTCATCACGCGGCACGAACGGTGTCCCTTTTGGCACAAAATACTAAGCGCTTCAAATTCGGTCTCAAAACCACACTACCCCCTCCTCTTTTTCAAGTGTGCATATATGCATATAAAATGAAGACTACAGATATTCAAAGAACTGCATTAGAAACAAAATGGCTTTTTAGGCAGGCACATCTGAAATTAAAGTGCATTTAAAAAAAGTAGCATGAAATTCACTGAAACAAAGTAACTAAACTGGTTAAACTTTTAACTCAATACATTTTGCCACTGAAAATCTTCACAAACCATCCTGTCTGTCATTGTTTTCCATTCATCTCCCTCCGAATTACTCTTTTTTTATCACTCAGAAAGAGGAGCTCGTGAGAAGCGGGCTCCATCTTTTCCAGCCAACTTTTTGAATCTGGGCTCGAAAGATGTCAGGGCCATCCTCAAACACATGTGGAGATGATCATTAGTGAGCCTGTTGCGATATTTGTCTTTGACGATGTTCATGGTCGAAAAAAAGTGTACAGAGCTATTTTACTCAGACCTGTGAAGCCTTTTCCAGGGACCATCTCCATCCAGAAGGTGGCAGATTCACTTCCTCCAAATTGCTCCTTCAGTGCCACGTCTGCCTGAAGATCAACCAGTTCCATCTGTAGAGGACCAGGTTCAGCTCATTTGAAGAGCTGTGTGACCTCCTTATATATAGACCCTACAAAATAAAAGTCAAGGAATGCACAGTGAGATGTGAGCTCGTGAAACGATGAGGGCGTCTCAGAATATGCGGGTACAGGACTCTGGACTCAGTGGAGGAAGGCGTGTGGAAGACATCTCATCTCTGGTGGAGGGACTACGACAGTATCTCGGCAGAATTCACACCACAAAATGCAAGTCGGGACGTGTAGGTTTGGAGGTTGAGTGTCTGTGGAGAGGTAGACGACGTACACAAGCACCTCAATTCCCTAAAAGCTTTTGTAGTATTTGCTCTACAGACCACGAGATTTCAAGAATGGCTTTCTGCTCTCATGTTTTGGTGCAGATCTCGTCCCATCGGACCCTGAGACATTTCTGCTGGATGTGATTTGAACAGTGCTCCTGTATAAACATCACTCACATTTCTAATCCCAAACTTGTCATTTTTCACCTGAAACCCTCACACGTCCAACACACTGATAGTCGTCACGCTGAAACCTGGACTGAAGCCTCCGCGGCAGACGCTGAAGAAGCTTTCTGGACGTTTAGTTTCGACCCTGGATGTCAAAGTTGTTTCACTCAGCTTCGCTCCTTTCAGACTCAGGAAGAGGCCGGCTGAATAGATAAAGTCCATGAATGAGATACTCTAAATACCTGCAAACTGCAGTCAAGGCTGCACAGTTGGGGCTCTGGATATCAGCGGAGTAGAGCCAAGAGTTCACAGATAACTCTCAGCCTGTGATGTGGGTGCAGACATGTGGTGACGAACTCATCAACTGTGCAGCCCTGACCACACCTGGGAGTGAAAAGCGAGAGTTAGTTGCAGAAGAAGTTGTCGACCTGGAATCTGAACGGTGCAGTGCATTCCTTCTGATGACCCAAAGAGACCTGAAACAGATCCTTTGTGCATCAAACTGAGAGAGAGAAAAAAACAAAAACATCAACCTAAAACTTTGCAGTCACTGTACAAGTCTAAGAGTTTGAAGAAAAACTGAGGTTCTGTGCAAAAAGTGCAGCTTCCCACGTTCAGTTCAATCAGACGGCGCTCCAGGATCCGCAGGTTTGTTTTATGTATCTGCAAATTAAAGCATAGTTCAACAATGCAGGAGATAGAAAGACCAAAAGGAAAGACAGAAGTATTTCAAAATAAAAGCATGGCAAGCAAATGTTCTGTGGTAATATCTCCTCTGAAAACATTGTTGGTTAAAAATCTGCTCATGGTTGCCATAAATTAGACATCAGGATGGTCTTGAGTTTGATTTTTTTTAATTGACAAAGAGCTGGTTAAATTAGTCAAATTACAGTTATTAAAATCATTAAAGATTAAAACTTGATAGATTCTGAATTTATTATTTTATTTTTAAATAAAAAAGGGAAAGTCTTTGTTTTAATCTAACTGATATTTTAAGATTTATTAAAGATATCAAACAATATTTGAGCCTGTGTCTCTTTGGGTTTCTTATCACATATTAAACTGTTATAATTTCTGACTGTTACTTCAAGTGTTTTCAGTCAGTTCTGTAACATTTGACATACAAGAAGTAGCTTTTACTTAAAAAAAAAGCATAGTTCAACGATCCAGGAGATAGGAAGACCTGAAGGAAAGACAGAAAATATTTCAAAATAAAAGCACAGGTTCTGTGGTAATATCTCCCCTAAAAACGTTTCAATATTTGATATTTTAAGTCTCTTCTGGTCGTCAGTTAAAAATCTGATCATGGTTGCCATAAATTGAACATCAGGGTGGACTTGAGTTTTTTTTTTACATTTGACAGAGACCTGGTTAAATTAGTCAAATTACAATTATTAAAATCAATAAAGATTAATTGATATATTCTGAATTGGTTATTTTATTTTTAAATAAAACAGGAGAGTCTTTTGTTTCACTTTAACTGATATGTCATGGATGCAAAAGCCAAAATAAGTAAATTCAGCAGATTTTCTTTCCTGAAGTCTGAAAAAAAGAAAAAGTTTCACTTCCGCATTGACTAAGATGAAGTGTCAGTCTAAAAAAGGAACATCTCTGAATGAACTCCTGCTCTGCTGCAGTTCACAGTCTCTGTGTGCAGATCTGACCCGGTTCATGCTCTGATATGTGGATCTAACCACACTTCATCATCATCATCATCGTCATGCCTCGTTGTTCCGCTCCGGTTCTGGTCGTCCTGCTCTGGGCTGCAGGATCCGCTCTCTGTGCAGCAGATGTCGGGGATTTCGCTCCGTGTCTTCAATTCTTCTACAAGTCCTGGCCTCCGAAAGGTCTGACCGGGACCCCGATCTGCCAGCGGTATTTTAACCAGTACCGCTTCGCCTCTCTGTACAGCAGAGCCCGCCGCTCACCGTGGTTCTCCGGGTACATGTACGCCGCACCGACCGGAAAGAGGCCCAGTGCATCCTGGAAGTTTGAGCCCCAGGTACCAGCGTGCATGAGAGCGTGTGTAGTCACTCATTTAAAGACAGTCTCATGCCTTAGATTAATCTGATATTTGCCTGTGTTTTAGTGATTCTCAGTTATAGACTTTTATCACTCAGAGTTCAGTGTAACGTGCTGAGTATGCAGGTGAGGAAATGAGACAAACAGAAGGAGAACTGTCTCGTCTGTTTGTTTACTTTAGATTAGCAGAGAGCAGAGTGTTTATACTTTAAAGCTTCAGAGCAAAATAAGACTATGAAGTTTGTAAAACTACTAATTTAATCTCTAGTTATACCAACTTTAGTAACGACCACTCTATAGCCACAAATAATGCTCAGAACAGCACCTAACTTCATCAACGGGACATATAGTGTCACAGCCGTAGTACTAGACACCAAACATCTTTTTAACTTTGACTGATTTCTTTAGCAAAGAGACTAAACACAACTCACCTACTCTCTTCCTGCAGTCGCTTGTTTGTAGCGAGACCTCAGGCCAGTCCATTACAGACTACAGCGGGGTGCCGCAGCTCAAGGAAGAACATTTATGATCATTTTTTTATCATTACCTTGAAGTAATAATCACCATATTAATCATTTTCTCTGCAGACGCGGTAGTTCTGCCTTAGCGTCTCGGTCTGACTGTATTTCCATGAAGAAATGATCGCTCCTAAATCAATTTTATGCCGGAATATCCCTTTAAGTCTGTGAAACTACTTTCATTTTAATATCCTTTTGTCGTATCTTCTCATAGTTTGACTATAACGGTGGTACAGTCTTTTTTTATTGGTTCCTGAAGAGGTGGTTGAGTAGGAAATGCTGACTCAACACTAAATTTTGGTCGACTTTGCACGAAACAAAGAGGCAAAGCTGAGATGGCACCAAATTTTAATCTTTTCAGTAAGTGTTATGAGAAATTATATCGTCTTATAAAGGTGAGAATAAAAACAGGGAAAAATAATTATTATCAATGTTTCCTGTTAGTTTTAGAGACAGTACGCAGTGAAGTCACCTTTAAAACTTTACCCCTTGTTCCCTCCCATAAACAGCTCGCCTACCCTGGAGCTGATGGCAACATGATCCCGTTCCCTCCAGGCCCCGTGGACCAGAACGTGGTGGAAAGCCAGGCGGTGGAGCTGGACTACATCAACTCCTCCTACACTCGAGGTCACCTGAACCCCAGCCTTCACCACCACAGCCGAGAGGACCGCTACGCCACCTTCACCCTCACCAACGTGGTTCCCCAGAAGACAGGCTCCAACGATGGGCCCTGGGAGGTCCTGGAGCAGACTGTGAACAAAACCCTGGATGCCTACTGTCTGGGAGAGGCTTACGTAGTCACGGGAATCATCCCCTATCAGAGCGACGAGCACTGGCTGAAGAATCACCGTGTGGCTGTGCCCGAGTACATGTGGTCGGCTTACTGCTGCCCAAAATACAACAACAGCATCCCAGAAGAACTGAAGCACACTTTCCCCACGTACGCCGCTGTGGGACGAAATGACCAAAACAGCACGGAGGAGATCGTACCTGTGGATACGACGGCTAAGAAGCAGTTCAGAGGGTACGATGTGAGGCAAATGTCACTGGAGACACTGGAGATGTATCTGACGGAGCGGTTTAGTACTGTGGTCTCTGTGTTTTATGAGCGGTGCTCCGGATAAGAATGATGAGGAGGAGGATATCTTAAAAACCTTTTATATTTACTTTAGTCTATAAGCCTGCAGTTTGTTCATTTTGAAGTACCCCATCAGGAAAATTGGGGTTTGGTCTTGAGAAAGTATATTTTAGGCATTTGGATAAGCTAATCACAGACTTTTCTTTTATGTGTAAAACATGCAGGATCTCCCAAAACAACCTTTGACGGCTAAAGATTTACTACAAAGTTGTTAAATGCAACAAACAACCTGAACCTCGCTAATGTGCTAACGCCAAGTGACATATTTTTACTGTTCTGAGACACTAGGCTTCATTGTGTGACACGTCTACTAATACTGTCTGCTTCTACGCCAGATACTTTTATTTTTTATGTTATTTTTCAAACAATACCTCAAGGTTTAGGAGCAACATCTGCCGCCATCCACACAAGGACTTTTTCCAGGGAAGACCTTCAAATGATCCCAAACCACATTCTAACAACAGGGATTACAACAGGAGAAGAGTCCTGGACTGATGCAGTCCCAACTTTTTTAAAAACAGGTGGATCATCATGACACCAAGAACAGGGCAAAGGAGACCCTGAACTGTTGAGCAACTGAAATCTTCTATCAGGTGAGAACCGAAACTCCAGAAACTGGTCTCCTCGGATGCCAAAGACGAGTTGATGCATCCCATCAAATTTAAGAGAATTGTGTTTTTCTGGAACAATAAAAATTTCTTTTCAGCATTTGATCTGTTGCCTTTGTGCTGTTTAGATCATGTATATGATTTAAATGATCTGCAAACAATCAGCTTTTGTTTTTGACAACATTTGACAAAGTTCCTTGACTACTCAGGAACTAGAATTGTACAGAAGTGTGTTGCATTTACCAAAATAAATGAATAAATAAATAAAGCTCTGTTTTTCAGGGTAATTTTTTATGTTCTGTTCTTGGGACTAATTTGTTTTCTATTTTTCAGAGTTTTTTCTTTTTTCTTTTCAGGGTTTTTATTTGGAATTTTTCTTTTCTGTTTTTCAAACTGATTTTTTGGACTAATTTTTAAAAATGTCTTTCCTGTTTTTCGGACATTTTTTTTTCTTTTCTGTTTTTTCAAACTAATTTTTTTTCATTTTTCTTTTTTTTTTAAACTAGTTTTTAAAAATTTTCTTTTTGATTTTCGGACATTTTTTTTTTCTTTTGTTTTTTTTTTCAGACTAATTTTTTAAATTTTCTTTTCTGTTTTTCAGACCAATTTTTTTTTCTTTTCTGCTTTTTGGAGTATTTTTCCCAGTTTTTTAGACTGTTTTTGTTTTGTTTTGTTTTTTTGGATTATTTTTTTGTTTCTTTTAGACTTATTGTTTTTCCATTTGAAGATTGCCCTCTATGCCCAGACTGAAAATCAGTCTGTGAATATCACTTGTAATTACCAAACTACCACTGCGAGTTGTAAAAATGTCTGCTGCTGCATGAACTCCTAATGAACACTAGATGGCGACCTTGTGCAGCATTAACGGTAAAGAGCTGCTGCGGCGGCTGCTTCAGTTCACTAGGCTGCAGGTGTAGGGATGGAATAATTACATGTTTTATTAATAATGCGCTTTACATCTAAGAAAACAGACCTCCCTAAAAACAACAAATTAAAAAAAAACAGCAAGGATATAAAATCAAGTTGGAAACAGACCTGGATGTTTGGCCTTCTCTGAGATTTTTTGCGATAAAAAGAGACTAAAGCTTGACTTAATGGTTTTATTAGTGATATTTTGACCACAGAGCGTTGATGCTCTTTTATCAAATCACTCTGAAACATAAAGATGACTCATAAACACAAAGCTTAACCCACTCCACTCGTTGGACTGGACTCCTCTGAGAAGCTGCCAACATCTCTAATGATCACAGAGACAGTTCTGGGTGTGTTTCAGGTTTGATTTATTGCATGAACAGGTGGTACAGTAGCACAGGTAGTATACAAAAAACTACTCACTCTTATTTCATTTCACTGAGTGACTCTGAGTGACTGGCTTAGTAAGGGCTTTGAGATATGGCAGGATGGAACAACTTCTCCCAGATCTCCACCTTCATAATCGACTTGCCCAGAGGGGACATGGTCCCCATGATATCCAGGGCAGGGTGCTGGAATGTGAGATTGCTGCCTGTGCCCTCCAGTCTTGCATATTCCTTCTCCGACTCTTTGTAGTACATCATCTCAAACATCGCCTTATTCACCTCCGTCTCTGTGCTGAAGACCCCGAAACCAAACCAGTTTTTGTACACGTTTCGGTCGTAGGGCACAGAGAACATTATGGCTAATTTTGCCATCTCCCTGTTGCTCCGCATTTCCACCACATTGTAGGCCAGGACGCCCACTGCACCGGAGGTTTTGGCACTGGTTTTAGAGAAGTTGCAGAGCTCGGTTGACGATGGCGCCAGAGTGGGTGTGGGTGGGATGTGACAATGGCCACTGTCCATGTGAATCCTTTCAGAGAAGGGGAAATAAAAGGAGACCAAAGTCAAAACCTGAACATGAAGGGGTGCATCTTTTTTAATATTTGATTTTGCACTCTTTGCTTTGAATCTTAGACTTAATCTTGAGGTTTTTGCACCTACTCTGGGTCGATGAGGACATAGTTGGTGGTGTTGTTGGTGATCTCGATCGTCACATTTCGTCGGCTGCCGAGTTGAGCCGCTATTGCTTCAGCTGATTCACTCATGTTGCCGAGAAAGTCTGCAAGAAAGCACAGAGCTGCTGACCGGAAAAATGACAGGTGTGCAGCTTTAAACGCAACCAAAGGTGATCGAATCTCAGCAAAGCACAAAAAAACAACAACAAACAGACTTACCTCAGGGGATCACAGGTGTGCTGCTCGCTCTGCAAAGTCAGATCTGAAACACTGAGCTCACTCTCTGGATCGCTCTCGTTTGAGAATGTTTGACACCTTAATCACACCCTGAAGTGCCTCCGCCCACAGAGCGCACACCCTCTTCACATCTCCTGATTTTAGTTATGAGGAATGGAGGAATCAGGACAGGGTGTGACCAACATCAACAACATAACTATGCGTTTTGATTTAAGTTCGTTGCCAAGCAAGGAGCCGGTTTGTTCAGCTTATAGTGTGACTCCGTCTAAGAGCACAGTGTGTCTTTATGTGCCACACCTTAGGACTGTTGTTTTTACCGTCTGCATCGGGAGGAAAACATACAGGACACACCTCCACACGACAGTCTGTGCAGCCTGACCCTCCAACAAGTCGATAAGTTATTAAGATCAAAACTGCGGTAGATCTAGATGCCAAAATGTAACGACAGAAGCCGAGAAAGACTGGTGCAGTACCATCAAAACCCGATGCACTAGGTCTTCTCGTTTATTCTCAAAGTGTTCTCTAGAGGTCTGATTGCGTGTGAGGGTGAAAACTCAAGACCGTAAATGAAGCTTCTGACACAGAAAATTCAGATGTCACTGTTTTTCTTTATTTCTTTAAACATGACATGAATAGCGTGTTTCTTTTACACTCATTGTGATCTTATTACATTACACACATACACTCATCGGCCGATCTTGTCGTAAAACTCCAGTTTCACGATCGCCCTCCCCTCGTCAGACATGCAGGCCCTCACATCCACCATGTCGCCCTTGAACACGATCCCCGAACCGTCGGCCTTGTAGTGCTTAAAGTGGGCTTCATCCGTATCGTTGTACATTTGATCAAACAGCTTTTCATCACAGGGCGTTTCTTTGTCGAAGATGCCGACCCCGAGCCAGTTCGCATAGAAGTTATAGTCGAATGGCACAGAGAACATGATGGCCATCATCTCAGTGCATTGGCGGGTGTGCATGTTGAAGAGGTCGTAGGTCATAACGCCGACAGCGCCTGAGGCCGTGTTGTCATCCTTGGTGAAGGAGCACACTTCAGTCTTGTTGCTGCCCAGGGTCGGTTGCGGAGGGCAGTAGGAGAAGCCGCTCTTCATGAACACGCTGAAGGGTAGAAGAAGAAGAACGTGAACACATGAATCACAGCTGAACGTTTTTTCTTTATAAGAGAGAGAGACCGGCTGCTCAGCTCTGTCAGGTTTGGTTGCATGTTGAGAAAGAAAATTCTAAAAACATCAAGCTCTAAAGATTGCTGGTCAAAGTCCTAGTTCTGCAGAAAATAGTCCCTCTATTTGATAAGTTGTTGCGTAAATCACAAGTGTAATCTCAGCTCTGATTCATGCACAAGATGCATCCTGCAAAGAGTGACATCTGAAACCTGCAGCTAATTCCAACCAAATAGTTTTTCTGCTTTTGTGAAGTATTTTACTCGTTCAAAGATTTGATTCAAAGATGCACATTTATGAGTTATGAGCTTGAAGGGTTTTTAAAGTGTCACTTTTAAAAAGCTGTTCATGTGATTCTTTTTTTGCAGACCTTAAAGATGAAACAACAGGAGTGCAGTGAGTGAGCTCGAGCTGCTGTGCGTCTCAATTCAGGTAACTTTCCCTAAACTGATGCACATTTCAGGATGTCAGACTAACTTCATACACACTGAAACGGTTAAACCATGGAGAACAGCAGCTCTGCACCGGAGGGTCGGGACACAGCAGGAGGGCTCACCTTGGTTGGTAGAAGCAGTAGACATTGCTGGCGTTTTTGATCTCGATAACACAGATGCGGTTGGTGGTGAGGGTCACCATGTGAGCCTCGGCGGTTTCAGGCATGTTGGCGGCTGCTGGAGAAGAAGGAAAAACAGAAACACTCTCAACCAAATATATAAACTCAGATCTGATGAATGATTTGATAATTTTATGCGTCTAGTCTCTTTAAAATCCTGGATCTCCTCCAGAGTTATTAAAGTAATCTCCACATGACTAAACTGCTGTTAACTCATTTAACCGTTTAAAATCTGCTTTCCTCGACACGTCTAGCTTTGTCCATTTCTGCGTTAAAACGTCAAAGTCGGAGCACTTACTGTTGTTTCAGGCACACACTCGGGATAGCAGAGAGTCCTCTGAAAACAGGTCTGAGGTTGATTTGGAGCCCGGTGTGAAGTCACACCCTCTCAGGTACAGTCACACCTCAAACCAGGACCGGAGCTGACACTGGGTGTGTCTGTGCAGATTTTTTGAGGAGACACCTGAACCGATATAACGAGTTTGATGTGCAAAAGTTCACAGCAGCCACACCTGTCAGTCCGTCAGTCAGCACATCGGATGATGCTGATGACTCATTTAGGATGAAGACCTCCCGAACAGGTTCACCTGAAGGCAGTTAGTGATTAATAGTGGACTTAAAATCATCTTTTACATGAATGACGGAGTATCTCTGCAAACTCAACTTTAAATCTTTATTTGTTAGGAGTTGGTGAACGGGCTGGGCTTATCGTCACAAAACAAAGACATTGTTCACCCCAGCTTTACTGGGAGTGATGGGAAATGTTTGAACAAGGCACGACAAAGAAAACAGCAAACGCCAAGATCACAAACACCTGCAGGGATTTTTAATGAGAGCAATCAGACACATGCAAGAAATCACAGAAGGACACACAAGATAACCGCAGATCTGCGAAATGTCTAGACAGATCTGCGAAAGGAAAACAAAAGGATAGAAAGTGAGCATGAAATAACGAGGGAGAGAGAGTCAACAAACAGACTTCAATGTTTTCAAAAGATAGAAAACTTTTATGTAACACTGGCAGAGTTTTATAATGTCTAAAAAGATATTCAAAACTTAGGCAAAGGGGATGCAAAATGTGCACAGACACACAAAAGATGGCAAAAAAAGTCAAATAAGAGACACAAAAGTTCACAGAGTTTCGAAGAAGCACCAGATAAAAAGAGATGTAAAAAGGTCAGAATATTGCTGCCAATGTTCACAAAAGGGGATGCAAAATGTCAACAGGGGAATTGGAAATATCCACAAAATGTCAAAAGCATGTATAACGAGAGGGGAGATGTTTGACAAGAAACGGAAAATGTTTTCAAATGTCAAGAAAAGGTTAAAAAAAAGGCCACATAGGGATGCAAAATGTCAAAAAAGTAATGAGATACGCATATGAATAGTTTGAAAATTCACAAACGAGCCAAAATGTGCAACAAGAGCAACAATTATCCACAGAGGAATGTGAAATTAAAGAGGGACAATACAAAATGTCCACAAAACAGTCACATATGGTCTGTAGTGAGACAAACAACTACGAAGGGATGCAAAATGTCCCAAAGCAATTCAGCAATTTGATAAAGGGGATGCACAATATCCAGAAAAATGTCCTGAGGTCAGAAAGACGTGCAACAATCTGATAAAAAAGAGGTGAAAAGTCCTCAGAAGTCAACAGCGAAACAAAAAAAGTTTAAAAAGACGAACAATAAATGCAAAAACCCACAACAATACTGAAGGGATGCAAAATGTTAACAAATGGACATGAAGTGACCAAAAACAGGGTCCAAACATGGAGAAAGAGAAGCAGATGTAACTGAAGGAGAGACACAGACTGTCCTCAGAAACAAAGACAAAGAAATTAAAAAAAAAAAACACTCATATAGGGACGCCAAATGTCAACAAATGGACATGACCTGCTGATCTTATTAACTGGAGGTTTTAGATCAGGTTCGATGGACTCTATTGAACGTTTTTAGGTGGTGTCTCTGACTAGTTGGAGCCTGCATGGTTTTAAAATCTTTACTGCATGTTATCTCCACCATGACTCTTACATAAACCACACCTGCTCCGTCAACCAACCGAGAACAAAGCAGGACAGTAACGTTTGTCTGTCGTCCAGCTGGTTAAACCACTCTGTGTCACTGCTGTGAAATGCTGAGACATGATCAGATTTATATAATATCATATCATCAGAGACAGAGAGGTTTAATCTGTGTTCACGGTAAACTCTGAAGTCTGTTAAAATTATCTTTATTACAGCAGCGACAACAACAAAAACACTCTTCTTTGAGATAACTGAGCTCTGAAATGATCAATCATTGCAGCATCTCTGTCCACCTGCTTCATCTGATCATCTTATAATGTGGAGCCCTCTGCTGGGAGGACAGAGGTACTGCGTCTCCTCGGACATATTCATCTTTGTTGTGCTGCAGTGAGAATAAAAACACGCTGTTAGGAGAATTAATCTGCTTTAATTCATCATGGCCGAGTGTCTCATCCTCCACGGGGCGGGGCTTAAAAATCCCCACCCCCTGGTGACGCTTGAATGACATTTTTAGACAAATATTAAAACAGAAAACAAATTTTAGGTGAAATTATTTATTGAAAGATGATAAAGAATTAAAACTGAACATTTACAAAACATCAGAATAGCTCTGCTCTCTCATTTAAAATGATAACAAATCAGAAATACTAACATTTACAAAATTCTCATCAAAGAAAGTCTCATTTTATGATGAGAAGAATGAGAAAAAAGTGGAATGAATAAGTTAGAGATAGTCCATTATAACCCAGATTTGACACGAGTAATGACACATTATTAAAAAAGCAACAATCCAGCGGTTTTCGTAGGTTTATCTTCGTTTAAACTCCACAGCTGTCCTCCACACGTCAGCCCCCTGTCCAAGAGTCAAGTCCTCAGGGAAAGACTCCAGTCCCAGCAGGGGTGGAAGGTCTTTCTGCTCCAAATGGACCTCTACAGTGGACTTGATGCTGAAGACAACAGAAAGACCTTTTTAAAGATGAGGTTATGTCTACACATACATCCAAAGTAAACTGAAATAAATCAATAACACAGATGATTTTAGCATCTCCAGGAGGAGTTATGATGTTTTAACCGCAGAGAGGTGGTGAAGGTTTTGCACTTACTCCCAGTGTGCTTGGTAACCCTCGTCCTGCACAGCGTCGCTCGTCTTCAGCAGAAGGATTTCATGCAGCTCCAAAGTGAAAGTGTGGACGTCTGCAGCGGCGAGGAAAACCTTCAGACCTCTCCTCTCCTCCTCAGACAGCTTCAGCTGGAACTTTGAGGGCAGCGTCTGAAAGGGGTCCTTCAACAAAACCAGGATTTAAGTCTTACCAAAATTTAATACGATAACAACGTTAACACTTAGTCCTCTGAGGCAACAATGTGCAGCGTAAATCCTAATCCAATCCAAGAGTTCCTCACTGGAGCCTTCATTTACTGGACTCAAGGATGTTTTTGATACTCACCTGCTTCCTGCTCAGCATAAGTTCAGATTTCCAGGAGGTGAGAAGCTGCCAGGTGAAAACGCTGTGCTCCAGTCTGCTCTCTCCAAGACCCTTCAAATACAAAATAAACAGATGTAATCCTGAAACAGCACATTCTAAAAAACCTGGTCTGAGGTCTACAGAGAGGTCCACGCTGCTTCCCTGATCTGGAGGTTCGTACCTTGGCTACGGAGCTTGAAATCTGCGGTTTCATCTGCAGTGAATCAGCGAGAAAGGACAGAAGCTGACACTGAGGATCTCCACCCGTCTTTCCAAGAATGCGGAGGCCGATCTCCACCACAAACACGGCGTCACAAACGTCGGTGAAGGAGCGCAGCGCCGTCTTCATGGAGCTGCTCACTGAACCCTTCAGAGGCTCCTGTGGTGCAGACACAGAAACCGTCAGCAGGATGAGGGGAGGAATTTGACCTCGGACTAAGTGGCCTCACAAAATCCTGCACCAGGAGCTACTGTGGAAAATCTCAGTCTGGCTTCAGTCCGTTCCAGATGAAGACTTTAGTGAAGTGGTCTTACCTGAGGAATCCTCCCTCTGACCTCATCCAGAACCACAGAGAAGTCCTGCAGGTGTCTGTTCAGGTACCTGGATGAGTCCTGAGTGGAAACAAAGACAACGACAGTGCTGATCAGCTGCAGGTTTGACATGAACTTCAGCTGCATGCTGCTCATCGGTATCTTTGATTTTTACCGCTTGGATGAGAGGTTTCCCCACAAAAAAGCGACGGGCCAGCTGAGTCTGGATGCCCTGCAGGTTGTAGCTGCTGCCGGTCTCTCCACCTTTCTTCAGGGTGTAGTGACAGTGGGCCAAAACCAAAGGCAGGAGCTCCCTCTCAGGGTGGCACAGGGTCAGCTGGGTCTCTGAAATCCTTTCTAAAGGGACGCTGTATTCACTGAGGAGAGAAAAAAACAGTTTTTACCTCAGATTAGGACAAAGACGCCTCTGATCGGTTGGTGGTTTTCTCTGGATCGGGTTTGCTGACCTGTCCTCTTGGCGGCTCACTCTGCGGGCCTCTCTCACCAGGCTGTTGTGAGTCTTTACCAGAAAATCCACCAGAATCTGGAGACATGATCCCGGTCCGTGTCGACTCGGTGTCAGAAACTCTCCGGAGCTCTCGGCCGTCAGCTCCTCTTCACACAACTTCACGTCCACACCGAGGTCTCCGGCTGGAATTATAGATACGAACACACAAGATCAACAAAGACCACCACAGCTGACCCTGAACTCTATCGGACCCTTCACTCCAACATAGATGCTGCACACTCAGACTGAACTCTTACAGTTATTCGCCACCTCCGCTCTCAGACCGTTCCACACGCTGAAGAACCTCTCCACCCTCTCCTGCAGCTTCTTCTTCTGGTATCCTGAAGAAGAAGAAGCTCAGACTGTGAGCTGTCAGGTGTTTGGTTGTTCCTCATGTGATAAAACTGTGATGATGAAGACGTACCTGCTGGTATCTTCTCGAACACCTGAGCAACAGTCTGAGGTGTGGTGTAGGACTTGAGAGGAAACACTCTCAGCAGGTCTGACTGAAGAGCAACCAGCTCAGGTAGGTGGTGTACCTGCCTCACACAGCGTACCTGAGAGACACACACAGAGTTAGAGATGAATCCTCCTCGTCTCTCGCTCAGAAAAAAGGACGACACATGAGACAAAGACCTTTCTGAGGAACGTGACCAGCAGAGGAAGAGCGTTCTCCTCGGCTTGTCCCACCAACTGAAAGAGACGCTCCACCGTCATCGTCTCGGGGAGAGTCCAGAAAGAGGAGCGATGAGTGGGACAGTCAGAGGGGAGGGGCAACATGCTTCCCGGATCCCCGAAGAGGAGACACATGAGGGGACTTCCAGAGAGGCCGTCACTGTCGTTGATTCTCTCCTGAGCTTCAGACAGTTTCTTCTGCAGATTCTAGAAAAGGAAAATTTAAGGATCGATACACAAAAGGTGAATCTGTCTCTTCTTTCCTCTTGATTACAATCTACTGCTTATATGTCTATGTGTCTGTCTATATAGAGACAACTCGTTATCGCGTGATTGAACGTGAATCCGCTGGTTCTTGTAAGTTCTTGTGATTCCCGATGTCTAAAATCTGCCATGAAACATGCCTCACAAACGCATCTGGTAGGACATGGCGTATGGCGAAAATCGGCGCCTTTTTTCGCAGTGGAGTCATTCCGGATGCGGTGAAAATTGGGGGTCAGTAAACCTTTATTATTTATCAAAATTAAATAAAAGACTTTTTTAGGATCCTCAAACTCAAACACTGAACACCCATGAAGTGCTGCAGTTTGCTCTGGTTTTGCAGCTGATTGTGGAAATGAGCTGTTAGCATCTCTGCTCTCTGCTGCACAGAACTGCACTCTAATCCTGACAGTGAAATTCATATCCAGCTTTTTCTAGGGGTTGAGCCTGATTTAATGCCAAATTATTACAACAATAGTAATGTCAGAGTGATAACAGACTAAATGTACGGGTAAATTATTTCAAGATTCTGTGATCACTGTAAAGTTTGAGCTTGATTTCCCTCTTAAAGGGATATTCCGGCGTTTTCTTCATGGAAATACAATCAGACCGAGACGCTAAGGCAGAAGAACTACCACGTCTGTAAAATGATTAATATGGTGATTGTTACTTAAAAGAAATTATAAAGAACTGATCATAAATGTTCTTCCTTGAGCTGCGGCACTCCGCTGTAGTCCGTAATGGACTGGCCTGAGGTCTCTCTACAAACAAGCGGCTGCTGGAAGAGAGTAGGTGAGTTGTGTTTAGTCTCTTTGCTAAAGAAATGAGTCAACTCTATCCTGCAGTCGTTACTAAAGTTGATTTAACAAGAGAAGCAAGCGGTCGGCAATATTTATCTCTTAAAAGGGTGTCTAACTGGTGTGATTGACCCTAAATTAATTTTACGCCGGAATATCCCTTTAAGTAAAGCTCGTCTGCACAGACAACAGTCAATAGTACTTTCAGAAGTCTGTTACATCATCCAGAGTGTCAGGACGCTGACTCTGAAACTCAGAGAGACGCCAGGTTCCCCTTTCATCATGTTTGACTTCTTTGTCATAAATCAATCACAGCGATGACACAGTGAATTTTCTGTCTGTACAAATGTTGTTCTAACGCTCTCAGGCACAAACTGTCACACAGTCTGTTGTTGTGATCTAGTATTAGATAACAATGCTAACAACATCAGGAGCCAAGTGTCTGACTCATATTTGGAACGTGGCCATCTTGATTGTGATGTCATTGACCCAGCTCTCTAAATGGAACGCAGCGTAAAAACGCTCAAACTCGAAGCACAGTAACACAGTTTGTTCTGAGTCTGTCTTCTAAAAGCATCACTTGGACTGTTTCCAGTTTAAAGCGGGTTAAAGACGTCCCTGCTCTGCTGTACCTGAACGACTGGGTTGATGGCAGATTGACAGACGAGCTTCTCCCACTGCTGTCGTCCTTCTCTGGAGGACAGGTCCTGTCCTGCAGCGTGGGAACCTGCATTAACATGCAGCAGAGTTAATTATACAGCTACTGTAAACAAAACTAGCTTATATGAAGAGTTGATGAGTCACCTGCACAGGTATTCAGGATCAGGTGAACTGTCACTGCAGTGTTTTCCGGGTTCTGGTCCAAAGTTTGTCCTAGTACTTTTAAGTCCACTTCAAGGTGGCTCCACAGGAAGGTGAGGACATTAGCTGGTCTGGGGTGGATCATGTCACCGACTCCCTACAGACAAAAACAGCTGATTTTAAATCTTGTCAAAAAGAGCGCTCGGTTTATTGGATGGATCTGGTTCAGGTTTTACTCTTTGGTTTCTCAGAGCTCCTTGGAGCATGGCGAGGTGTGTCAGCAGCCTCAGGACGCAGGACTGAGCGTAGGTCATCTGCCTCTCAGGGGCCTCTGACCTCCGTCTAGCCTCTCCCAGGATATGTCCCGTTCGAGTTTGATCTCGGATGCTAAAACGCACAAACAGACTCGATGATGAAACACGTTTTTGACCGTATATAGGAGAGTTATCGACATTAAAGTTTGGACATGCACATTTACTCTGTTAACTTTACATTTATTTGTGATAAATTGTCCATAAATTTCACATTTTATCCGCGTTAGAGAGCACAAATGGACCTGCTGTTGCATGGAGTTCATCTAAATAACATAATTTGATTTCATACAGTCTTATCTATGACGGAGTATTAAGGCCACATTAAGGAAAAAAAAATTAGACTTCAAGATTAAAGTCGTTAAATTACGAGAATAAATTAGGAATAAAATCATTATGATACTGCTTCTGTTACTGAGCTGGTTACAGAGTTTGGTACCTGGATCCGGTGTGTTTGGTGAATCCTTGGACTGGTTTATGATTCTGTCCTCCGATTGGAAGTCCACAAAAACATTTTGATTCAACCACCGGTCTACCACACTGCAGGACGACACAGAAGCACATGATGTGAAATTTGTTTTTCTTTCTGAAGGAGCACTCACAACAAAATCAGACCATACCTCTCCGACGAAACACGGATGTCCGTTCGCACAAACTGGAAAAAATGAAGACATCATTAACATCCTGACTGGCAGAGATTTACTGACACAGAGTCGGATACTTACAGTACATCTCCACTTTCCTCTCTCCAGTTAACCACTGGCTGACCTCACTGGTGTGATCATCCGGCATGGTCGGCAGAAAGGAGTTCTTGAAGGAAAAGCAGAAACAGTACGGTTTAGTTTTAACGTATTTGGACGCGGTCTTTGTTTGTGTATTTAGACCTCGAGTTTGTGATCCTTGGATCAAGAAAACCGAAGTATCTCACCATCACGTTCTGAGGCTGGAAGGCAATCCGGTGAAGAGGAACCAGCAGAGGATTCCCACCGAGGAGCACCGAGTCCAGATGGACCAGCAGCTCCAGGAGGGTCCGTCTCTGGGCAGGAAGATTTGCACTGACGCTCAGGCCTGAACCCGGTCCACTGATCTGGTTTGACAGAAGTCCTGAACAGAAACTCTTGAACTCTTGAACTTGGATGTTTTTGAGGAGCTCCTCTAGTCTTCTTCTCTCCTGTGGGTTCACAAAGGATCACATGTTAGAAAAAACTGACGTAACTTTACAATAAACACAATTCACATGAGAAAACGAGCGCTGAGTGACCTCTGGCCTGGGATGGATGTTGACGTCAGGTGATCTGTAGCGGCAGGTGACCTGTCTGAACAAGGCGAGGGGCAGGAGGCTGATCTGAGGAGCTCTGAGCTTCTGCAGAGGAGATAAAACAGCAGAAATGAAAAACAGAAACAGAAGCCAGTGTCTTTTCCTCTTTTACAACTGCAAATGTTGAGTTTTTAAAACTTATTCAAGTGTTTAAAAGAAACTAAAGGGGCATTACACTAAACTTTTAAAAGAAATTACCCCACGTTTCATTGACTGCCCGAGTGCAATATGCATTTATTTAACCACAGTGACCTCTAGTGGTCATAAAAAGCCACAACAGTGTAGAAAATGATCCTTATTTTATATTTGTGTCTGATGTAAATAAATTGGAGGTTATCTGACCTGTAATTTAGTCTTGAAGGTGTCAGATCTGTTTTCCACCAAAACCTGGACTACAGCATTTCTCAAGTCCCGGTAAGACGTCCCACAGCAGAGGAAGGTGTCCATGTTGGTCGGTATCGTCCTCTTTCAGGGTAAAAACATAATTTTAGTTTTAATTTTCCTTTCACAACATTTTAAACTGATTCAATAAACGTTTTTAATAAAGCTCACATTATTAATTCTTTAGCTGTAATAATTTTTCATTATTTCTCAGGAAAAAACTAAAAACTTTCCAGGTTTCAGGTTTCATCCAAATCAGGAGCTCTGCATCTCTTCTTACCTGAAGTCGAAGGAGTTCTGCAGGAAAGATCCACCTCCAGGCCAGACTGTTCATCAGGGACATGATGGACTCCACACCTGAGACCCTGTTCAGAGCTCGCAGCAGGTAGACCCTGATCCAGTCGTTCCCGCTGTACTCACACAGCGCCCTCACCTGCTGCAGGTATTTCGCCTCCACCTCTCCGACTCTGCCTGCGTTTCATCCACAGACACACACATCAGTACAGAAGACCGTCTCAGGGCATTCTCACTAATACATGCATATATGGAGCTCAGTATCAGAAACCTTCTGCAGCTCTCTTCAGCAGCTGTGCAGCAGCGCTCAGACAGATCCTCAGCCGCGCCGTGTTGAGCAGGAACTCTGTCGGGTCTTCTCGTCTCTCTGGAGTCTGTTTTCTCGCAGCTCTGCTCAGGAACTTGGTGTCTGCTTCCATCTGCTGCTCCTGACTTTGTTCTGCGTTGTTTCTGGCCTCTGAGCAGAGCAGAGAGTCCTGAGAAAACAGAAAAAACTCTGTCGTCAGATGGTCCAGAGGAGTCCAGGATTATGACTTTTATTAGTTTTATGGTTTCTTACCTGGAAACAGTTGACGAACAGCAGGTAGAGTTCAGTCTGGTCCTCTTTGCTCAGCAGGTTCTCCTCCAGATTTCTCAGGTAGGTCTGGATGTGGATCTTCACCTGCTCAAAACTAAAAGATCAAACAAAATTTTTACTACATTGAAGAAGCTCCTCGTGTTTTACGGCTTTTCCCTCGTCTTCATTCACAACGATACAGTGCCGATCTCAGACTCAAGACACCCTTATTATTCTCAAATACACGCAGAAACAGACACACAGACACTTCACTGGTATCTTCAAATACTTACACAGATGTATAAAAAGACTCAACAGAATCTGTCTGTAAGTCAGAATACAAAGATTTGATCCAGCAGCAAAAATTTGGTTCATATTCTGAGACTCAAAACACTCAATATCGAAGCAACACCACAACTTTTCAGACACATTTCACAGAAAAAGGAGCATTTCATGATGTTTTATTAGCTAAAGACAGATGTAAGAGGGCGATTTAACGGCGTTTATTTAGACATACGGGCACCAGGGGGCGACTCTTACACAATTGTTTACATTTGAGGGAAATTTATGCTTCTCTTTCACTGCTGCAATAAACTGCTTTTGAAACGAAATTATTCCATTATTCTTTCTGATGCAACGCTGATATGAGACCATAAAAAAAGACTAAATGTGACCTGATGAATTACTCCTCTTGCAAAACTAATTCAGTTTAGTTTTTCCTTCTCCAAAGTGCTGAACTTGAACATGACATCTGAAAACACGGAGGAATCTTGTGTTTTTCCGCCTCTTAGTAAATCTCCTGTGCACGCTCACTTCATTCACACCCTCACCTGTGTTGCAGCAGCAGTTTTGGAAGCACAGATCGAACCACCGGACTGTTATCCACACACTCCAGGAAGGGGGTGAGCTCTCTGGTCCTGTACACGTCACCTGCATCACGCCAAGAAATAAGGTGGTCAGTACTTTCTAACCAAGGCGTTAACACTTCCCCGGTTATCATCAGTAACTTTTTTCTCTTTCCTGACCGTTGGCAGAAACAAGCAAGGAGAAGAGCAGCTCCACCAGCTCCTCTGCAGGCGTCTGCCCCTCTGACAGGCAGAACCTGGACACCACCTCCAGGAAGAAGGAGTTACAGCAGTCCCTGATCCCCGCCTGCTGCTGGAGTGAAGCCCTGAAACAGTTGAGAAAGAGTCACAGATAAATAAATATTTCAGACGACATTATCTTTATTTCTATGAGTTACTTTTCTAAACTAACCTGACTGTGAGGGAAACAGTCGGCGTGAAGTCAGACGGCAGCTCTGCCCTGCATTTGGGACAAGACCGTCTGTCTGGGTGGACGCATTTTTGGAGACACGGCAAACAGAAGACATGCTGGCAGGGCAGGACGGTCGGCTCGGTGAGCTCCATGAGACAAACTGGGCAGGAAATACCGAACCTTTACAGAAATACATACCAGGAGAGATTCATTAGCGATTCATTATCATTAAAAGGTGAGCTGAAAAACAGGTGAGAGATCCTGACCTGAGATCCCTGCTGATACACTCATCATGAAAACCGTTCAGGATGCGGATCAGCTGCTGCAGAGTCTCTACGTTCCTCACATCAGGTGATTCCTGCATCAGCTGATTAGAAAAACAAAACAAAACACAAAAATCTGACCCAGGACAGTCACATGGGTTACAGGAACAAACAGGCTTTGGTCCCAAGAACTCGCTGCTTTTCTGGATCGTGTGTCACCTTCCCCCGGCATTAATACCCGGTCACATCTGAATCATAAATTTAGTCTAACCACACTAAACTCCGGCTCCTGAACTGGTTTGACTCACACTCAGGTGAAGGTTGCAGTGTTTCAGAGACAGCTCTTTCAGTCTCGAGTCGCTCTGTTGGATTTTAAATACGACGTTCTGGATGAAAGATGCGACCACCAGCATCCCTCGCCACAGTGACCTGAAAAAGAAACAAGGAGGTCAATAATTGATTTTATAAACATTATAGTTTCTGTCTTTAACCTTACTGCTCTCACCTGATGGAGTCCAGATGCTGCAGACAGCTGGAGCCGCACAGGCTGGTGTACTTCTGAGCAAAGACTCGGTCCAGACACGGCTGCACAAACTCCACTCTGCTCACGAAGGACTCGCACTCCTGCTGAGTCGTCAGAGTCAGGAGTTTGGTCTGTTCGACACAGACCCCGAGAGCGAGAATATCCTCAACCTGTCAAAATAAAAGACACTCTTCTCTTCAAGAGGGAATCCAAAGAGTGGACATCAAACCGACCCATCCTTCAAACAAAACCAGTCCTCACCATTTCCTGCTGGTCTCTCTTTGACCCCTGCTGGAGGACTTCAGACGCCAGCTGAGGCTGCAGCAGGAACAAATGGCCTAGAGCGTCCAGTCTGGGGGCGAAATGTTTGGCGGCAGCATGAATCCAAGCAGGTGAGAGCTCAGCGACAACACCTGTGGTCCTCTGGAGGTCAGACACGCAGCCCAGCATGGCTCTGGTGAAGACCTGTGACGAGGAAAGTCAGATGGTTCACTCATTTGTTCCTCAAGTATGTTTCATGTGAATTTGAGGCTCACGCTGCTCGTACCCTGAGCTCGTCCTTTGACTTGATCTTTAAAGACAGCAGCAGAAAGTCTTGGAGGTAGAGGTGTCCGTACTCCAGTCTCTCCTCCTCTGAGAGTTTCTGGAAGTGAGCGCCCAGCCGGCTGTTGTTGAAAGTGTTCACGAACGGGAGAAACCTCTCTGTGCCGCTCTCTGAACTCACTGATGATCGATTTGAAGAGCAAAAAACAATCATAAAAAAGACCACAGCGTAAAATAATAAAGTGAAAGGTTTGGTCACAAAGACAAACCTGGCATGAACTCCGACTCTTCCCAAAGACTCTCCAGGTGAACTCTGAGGAGCCAGCTGAACGCAGCAGCACACGGCTGCTCTTCACCATCCAACATGAAGTAGTGCTGCACCAGAACCTCCTGATCGGACTCACTGGAAACAGGAATACTAGGATCAAATGAAGCCTTTTGGTTGTTTAAATCACAGTGGGAATAACAAGGAGGAAATCATCCTCAGTACCTTTGGTTCTGGACGGGTCTAAGGTCCAAAACCTGTGAATCAGCAAAGATGTCCAACCAGAGCGTTTTCAGGCCCTGGCTGAAACGCTCATCACAGAGCAGGTCCAAGTTCGCATATCTGTCCACCACTTCCAACATGCTGGCCAAGACCGGGGTCACAGTGGACTGAAGACAGCGCCAGAGGGTGTGTCTGTAAGTTTATAACACAAAAGAAGGCAGAACATGATTGAAACCGTTACTCCAAACCATTTTCTCCTGACTTCAAACTCATCCTGCCGAGCACCTTTACCTCAGAGTCCCCCCTTCCTGCAGAGCCTGGCGTTTCTTCGCCTCTCTGGTCATCCATTCTTTGGGAGAGCCCATCATCTCTTCTCTCTGAGCCAGGGCTTTTGCCAGTCTACCCAAGAGCACCTCCTGGAAGTGGGCTTTAAAAAAATATATATATAAAGCTTGTATCAACCAGAAACTCGCAAAAACGATCCATTGAATGGATTCGCTGCAGGCTGTCTTTAGAGGAATCCCAACAAACCTCATAGGACCCCGTCAGTTTAAAAGTATCATTACAGAGACTAAACACAGCACTCAGAAGATGGTTATTACCTCCGATTTGGCTTCCACCAGCTCCCAGAAGAGTCAGGAGGATGTGCATCCGCTGCATGCTTCGAGACGTTTTCCCATCGGGGTCTCTCAGCAAACCCACGGCTTTTTGGACACATGATCTCACCAAAGACAGCCTGTGTAGGTGAGCTCCATCCCCCTGTCAAAAGACATCAGAAAAGCTCAAGCATCACACATACACATCAACAGGAACAAAAGTCTGAAATCCCTGTTTATATCTACCTGAGCATCTTGAGTTTTTCTTGTTTCCCCGTCCTCTGGGTGTTCTGTGACAGACCAAGAATAAGGTTTTATAATGTGCATGTAAAGACCAACACACAAAATGCTCATGTTTTTCTTGTAGCATCGATTGATCCTGGAACTGGACTTGGAAATTATGCTGCGTTCCATTTGTACTTGGACGTTAGATTTCCAAGTTCCCAGTTAGAAATTCATCTGGAACCCCCCCCTGAAGTCGGATATCTGACCCAGAAACTCCGACAATCCTCACCAACCCCGACTTGAGACAGTGCAGTGCATCAACAGTAAAGAGTAACAGTGAAAGCTCTCGTGACGTATTATTTATTAGCACTTCTGTTTTGTTTATGTTGTACCGCCCAACGCCTAACTGTGAACACGGTGCTATGGTGTTTGTGAGAGTACAATACTAGCTAACAACAATTGACAACGGCGAATGACAGCTAACAAAGGCTAACAGAATGCGTCTGTCTTGGTTTTTTGACTTGTTTACGAGGTAACTAGAACTCAGCATTAGCAGCTTTAGATCCCCCCAACTTAGACAGTGACAAAACCATTTAAAATTCTTCTTGTAACACAACACAGTATTTGATGCTCTTTAGATTCCGTACCTGAAGGTTCAGGGTTGAGCAGGTTGCTTATTAGAGTCCCACAGAAAACCATCAGATTCATACTCATGTCCTCTGAATCCCTTAGGTCATCAATATGAAACGATTCCCAGACACCTTAGAGATAAAAAACAAAGAAAAAACAAATCATGACTTCAAACCAGTAAATAACTCAGCTGTAATAATGACACCACTTTATTACCCACCTCCTTGGAAACCGGTGTACTGAGAGTGACTTGAGATCCTGGAAACCTTGACGATGAAAATCACCCAACAGCTTGGATCCTTCAGCGACATCAGATAATTCATGGTGCAATACCTGGAAGGCAGTTTAACCACAGACGCGTGTGAAATATCCGAAATGTTCTTTGTAGCACCAAGCATGCATAAAATCAACATAAGACCCACTTTGCTGATGCTATGAGCTCATCGCTGCATTGGGACTCTTCAAGGTCCATCTGGATTAACAAGATCTGAAGAGATTGTCCTGCACTCTGAAGGAATCCTCTGAGGCAGAAAAGGAAGACAGTGAATTTTTATAACAATGACTAAAAATAGAATTTTATACCATGATCTGAATCATTTGTACCGGATCTTGTTGCAGAAGGAGACCTCAGTGTCAAACTGGTGGAGCGAGAGCAGGAGGATTCTGTCGGTTTGCAGTCCAAGGGCGTGAGCCACCTGTCTGACATCTGATCTGGTCAACAAGCTGGAGAATGTTGTTATCTGTGCAGAAACACAAAGGTGTCAGGTATCTTTGTGATGCTGCTCAGTTATAGTTAAAGTCAAGATAGAGTCATGGTTTGAGAGTTACCTCCAGAAACTTCCTGGACCCTGCATGCTTGTTCAAGTAATACCCCAGGAAATCTCGGAGGGAGTGGTGATGCTGGTGCTTGAAGTACATTCTCTGGAGTTCTTCCTTCTCCTGGTTTCCTAAATCGGAATACTTGAGCCTCACCACGGCGTCAGGGGTAGCACAGTTCAGTAGGAAACATTTAGCCAGATTGAGGACTTCCTCTTCTTCTTGGTTTTTCCCAGCAGACTGAGCAGTGCTTTCTGTCGCCATCATTTCTTCGCTTTCAGACATCTCTACGTTTTCCTCCTCTTGTACCTTGACAGATTCATTGTCATTCTCACCCAGTGACTCACTCGCTTGTCCTTTCACAGCGGTCTCTGCTGTGTCCATTGCATCCTGAAGCTGACCATCCTCCTTATCAGTCACCTCCATTGGTTCTTCCGGATTTGTGTCATTTGGTTCTTCCTCTTCACTGTGATGAGGAAGTCCTTCTGCAATCTCGTCCACTCCTTGTGCTTTCCTTTCAAGTGCTTGCAGGAGAGCACTGGCACAGGCGTCACCATGGTAGCCCACAAAAATGTCAGACAGCTTGAAATCCTCTGACGCCTCACCTGAGAACTCTTTCACCCACTCCTTCAGTTTGTAGAGAGCCCTTTGCTGCCATGGCTCCAGATCAGTACTCCTGTCTACCCTGTGCTTCTCAAGTCTGTTGATGAGGGGCACAGGAAAGTGCTCATAGACCTTCTTCTGGTCCTCCACTACCACCAATCTGAAGTTTGCATGGACCCGACATTTTACCCTGTGGGAGCCAAGACCAAGATCAACATACTGCTGCTTACTGAGGTAGACATAGTACTGGTTCAAGGCATCGTAAAGGCTTTCATAAAGGTTTTGCATGTTGAGGAGGATGACGGTGCGCCCTGTTTCCATGCATGTTTTCACTCGGTTGACATTTCGACAGATCTGGGCATATTCCTGGTCTTTGGGGAATCCTGAACCAAAGATAATCTCAGGTGTTGGGTAGTCTCCTTTGCCGAAGACCTGTTGCTGGAGGATGTGGAGAGCTGCATTGTTGGTGGTCAGCAGGAGTAGGTAACGGCTCTCCTGGTTGGTGTCATGATCGAGACTCTTTTTCACCATTTGCAAAGTGCTTGGTCTGGGAACTTGTGTAAAGTTTTGAAGAATATCTTGGAAAAACGTGACAGGGTCAAAAACCTCTGGCTGTCCACTGAAGTTGCGCAAGATGGCCTCCACCAGCTGTCCTCCATCGGGTTCTTGCTGTGTTGACTTGACTGCAGCAAAGAGCATTTTGACAAGGCTGTAATAATCCCTCAGTCCAAAGAACTGGTTCTTTGAGGTTTCATTACAGATGCTCAAGAAGGCCTTGGCCAAAGATGGAAAGAGGTGTTTGATTTTCAAGAGGATTTGGTTGGAGGATGAGCAAATACCCTTGGCGGTTTCAACAAGTTCCTCTTCACTTGGATCCCACCTGGACACAAATATCCCTCTGTTCATCTTTGCTGGGTCAAGAGCCCAGTTGGAAATGCCAACAAAGCCAACCTTCATGTGTGGATCTGGCTTGTCATTGTCGATGCAACCATCCTCCAAGAGAGGATGAAGTGTCTTCAGGGGCATCTGTGGAGAATCCTCTGCAAGGCCTATCTCATCAAGCACCACCACTGACACGTACTCATCCATGTTTTTGTCCTTTTGGAAGCGGGCACAGTTCCTGAATGTCCCTATGATCCCCTCAGGACTCGAGTGAGGACTGCACTGAAAGGATACCATGTGGACTTGCTTCAATTTCTTGAACAGATCACAATGGGAGGTCTGGCCTTGCATGGCATCAGCAACCACCGTTTTTGCAAGGGACTTAGAGCTGCCTGGCTTGCCAACCAGAAAGAGAGGGATCCTGAGCTCAATGCAAACCACCATGAGGAACACGTTCTCTTTGAGTGCCACATTTTTGGCTATGGTCTCCCTGGTCTTGATGTTTTGGAGGAAGAAATCTTGACAGGATGAAATCACTTCCTGCAATGCTTCAGAAGAGCGTAGAGGGTCAGGGAAGTACCTACAGATCACAGAGAGGTACTCATCCTTGGAAACCAGAGACGGGTAGTAGCAGACCCCAACTGCCAGAATCAAGCACTTAAGTGTTTTATGAGCCTCACTGAGATGTGAGCAGTTGTGCAACAGGATGTCACTGTGCTGGTAAAACCAAATCAGCACTTTCATGGACCTCTCTACATCTCTCAGACTCACAAAGCTGCATTCATTTTTGCGACTTCGCATGTACTTCTGTGAGGCTCCCAGCACGTTTGAAATGATCTCCTTGCAGGTCATTGGCAGGTGATGATCTCTGACTTTCTTCTCGACAATCTGTTTGATGTAGGAAAGCTCAGTTGAATCACTCAGCTGACCAAAATCCCACACCAAAGACGCCATGCTTGGAGGCAGAGGATGAACTCTGTAGACCAGCTGCCTAAGAGGAACTTTGCCGAGACGGTCTTCAGTTTCATCTGCCTTCACTCTGTATCCCAGACCCGCTCGCTCCAAACGTTCGACCATTTCAGGTGAGTGCTTCCTGTAAGGATTGCAGGCAGCTATTATTTTCAAACCACTGCCTGTTTTTAGGGGTTCTCCTTTCATGGACCGGTCACAAAGGACTTCTTTGATTGCAAAGATCGCCTCTGTGGTGTTGGCCTCATCAAAGAACAAAATAGTGTCCAGCTTGTGCCTTTGATGGTTAATCTCAGCGAGACTCTCTGCCTCCCTCACCTTTCTGTAGATCATCTCTGCGGTGGTTCCGCCATGTACCTTGACCAGTACCATGTTCTGTACAGGTCTCTCCTCTCTCTGTAGGGCACAAAGGAAACTGACCAATCTGGTTTTCCCACAGCCAGTTTCTCCCATGATGACAACTGGTATCCCACACCTGAATCTCATGTGGATGGCCAACATCTTCATCACGTTGTCAGCAGTGAGCTCATATGTTGGGTCTGGATCAAAGTCTGTGGACATCATTCCTCTTTTTGCACCGACCACACTTGAGATCCTTTTGATTTTTTTTGGCCGGGGCAAGAGATCGAAGTTCTCAGCCAGAGGGATCCTTTGCCGTTCCAAACCCTGAAAAAGGTTTTCTGACATCACGTCCTCTATCAGGATCTTGTGACTGTGGGGATCAACTGCACTACACATGTTTCTTCTTGGACCAGTCTTCACATTAAAGCCGAGGAATGACATTGAGAACCTGTCGGCGTTGAAGAAAATGTATGGATGAGGCTCGTTTTCCCAACGCTTACGAAGTGTTAATTGGGCCAAGAGATTGTCTTCTTGGCTGTTCTCAATATGCAGCGTGGGACTTTCATCAGACGTGTCCAGAGATGGGGAGGCAAAATCTTGAGCCATCTGTATCAAAAACTTCACGATGAAGCTCTTGAAACCTGGCAGCTCATTAGTCAAAAACTCACGGTCACAGAAAATTGAGTTCTCACAGTCTTTCAGTTGCACATTGAGGAACCAGGAGAAGTTTTTCAGCTCAGCCCAAGAAGGGTCTTTCATCCCACAGTAAGATAGAAGGACATTGATACAATCAATGGGACCCTCAAGCCTAGATCCTGCTGTGTATTTGAAAGGATCCAGATTCTGGTTGTTTTTGTATAGTGTCAGGTATTGATAGGGTCTTTGGATCCCTTCACTGCAAAACTCTTGCTCATCCATGAGTGGATCAAAGCTGTGTTTTGACCGGACCCCTCGACTGGCCATAACTTCCTTTGGAGGTCTACAGTGGATGGTAGGCAGAACATCCAGAAGTCCAAGGTGTGTCTGTGTCAGCACATTGAATCCATGAGAAGATTTCATTAGTTATATTTCAAGGCTAGGACTGATATGTTTGTCTTAAGACACTTTACTGTTATTGGAATTTGAAGAGATAATAAGTGAAAATGAATGAAATTTAAAGACATTTTCTGCCTCAAAAGAAGCCTGAAGAAAATAAAATACAAAAGAAGAAAAGACAGTAACCTGTCTTGGTTGGTTTTGAATGGATGGGTTTGATCTCAGGACTTCAACAGTGATCAGGTGAGCATTATTCCTTCTCCATAGCATGCCATGGCTGTCACTTAAACAGCCAAGGACTAACAGATGGAACAGGAGCTCCTCCAGACCTGAGCGAACCTGGTAAGCAACAAAAGTGATAAAATACTCATCTCCTGTCGGACCAACAGAAGAAAAAGGCATCTGCAGAAACATATGATTGAATACTTACTCCAGCAGTGTCAATGTGCAGGAGGACAGGGTCTTGCTCTCTCAGGGGTTCCAGTTTCTCAGTTAGAGTCTTTATCAAAGAGTCTACGTCCACAGAAGGCTCTATGAGTCTAACGGTGATGTGCTCTGCTCTGGGAGACTTCAGCTGAAGCTTCTCAAACAAACGATCCACGTAGAGGGATTTACCTGTCAAAAGAAAGAAGATGTCTCCAGATGTTTTGACTGAATCTTGTCCTGAAAGGCACTACAAATCAAATGTACCAGATTTTACATGATAGCATTTAACCACAGGCTATAGTTTTGTTATTTAATCAAGGGCTGCAATAATCCTTACCTACTGCAGGGCGTGAAGATGACACCATCCAGACTGAGAGCTGATGTGGGGACACCAGTGAGACCAGGTTCTGGTCGACTGTGTTTTGTCTGAAGTGATGATAAAGGTATTTTCTTGCTGACTCTGGCCTAACACTCGCACAGGCCTGCACTTTGTCGTTGCTGAAGAATGAGGGTACATATCTGTGCTGGTGGATAACTGGACTGACTATTACCAAACGGTAATGTGGGCTGGCACTTCTCTCAAGACCCTCAAAAAGTTCCCCTAATGCCACACTGACATCATACCCCAGCAGTCCTGGATTTACAAGAGAGTAAATCTTCCGCAAATTTGGATCAGTGCCTTGGCCGAGGGCTCTGTGGAGAAAGATCTCCACCTCCTCTTCAGCGGTGTCCTCTTTGCAGACTAGAATCTCATCAGAAGAAGGCAGAGGCTGCTCTGGACTCTCCATGTAGAAGGACAGGACCGTGGTGAAAACTTCGGCACTAGGACAAAGCACAAGGTTGGGTTTCCCCTCTTGAAGAATCGGTGGAAGGTTCCTGATCAGGTGCTGCTCATTCATTTCAGAAAGGCACGAGAGGAAGTGGGCCAAAGACGAGATGTCCAAGCACTCATGAAGGTACTGGGGCATGTTGGCCTTAAATTGGCACCACAGCTTTTCAAGACTGTCGTTATTTGGCTTCCTGATGCCAACTGCTTCGCACTCTTCGTCAACTTCATCTTCATCCTCTGAGGAAAACTGCATCAAATCATTAACCTCTTCCATGTCTTTGTCAGCTGGTATTTCATCTCTAGATGGATTGTGCAACTCATCTTCATCGTGCTTTGACTTCATTCTCGCTGCGTTTGTGTAAGCTGCTCTGACATCACTCAGCGTGCACTGAGGCTTTATGGGGAAAAGTAAATGCCAGAACTGTGCAGGGACTGCCGCCTTTCCTTTGCCCACTTTGTGTATGCAGTGGCACAAGTAGACCATCTGTTCTGAGGTGAAGTGGTTCAACAAGTTGAAGCTGGAGCGCATCTCACCGATGAAGGAACACCATTCTTTGTGGCAGGTATCCATGGAGTGGGCAAGCTCCTGTAGCTGCTCGGTCACCTGCCCGTAGAACAACATCTCCTTACCCATCAGGGACCAAAAGGTGACTTTGATACATGGCTGCTGTTGTGGGGAACACTGGACCTCAGCACGCCATTCTCTGAAGAGCATGTTCCCGGATATTTGCATCTGAAGAAGGATGGCGCCCAGTCTCTGCACGCCTTCAAAAACCTAAAGTGAATGTAAGTAGGGTAGAGATTCAAGCAGCTGATTACAACAGGTGATTTCATCTAACCACTCCTATGGGTTAATATGAATATATAATAGGGGTATTGTATCATATCATATCATATATCATATCATACAGTATATTATCCTTTCATACCATATCGTATCATATCATATCACTACATTTCATATTATATCAAATCGTATCATATAATATCATGTCATATCGCACATATCATGTATCATTTTGTATCATATTGTATCATATATCGCACAAATCATATCATAGCATAACAGATCATATCATATCATGTATCATTACATATCTCACATATCGTATCATATATTATATTATATATTGTATCCTATTGTATCTTATCATATATCATATCACACATATTGTATCATATCATATGTCATATTGTATCGTATCTTTTTGTATCATATTGTATATCTTATCATATCTCACATATAGAATCATATATCATATCTTATCATATCGCTCATATATCGTATCATATTGCATATATTGTATCATATCAAATTGAATCATGTTGCACAAATTCATATCATATCGAATCGTTTTATGCTGTATTATATCATATCATATAACATGTATCATGTTGTATCATATCGTATTGTATTGTGACATTTTGCTAGGTCCAGGAGAAAATTAAAGAATATTCTATGGTACAAAAGTTTAGAAAAAGGACAGTGACGGTAGAACCAAGATATGAAGTTCAGCTTTAAAGATGATGATGTCTCTTAATAAAAAACACTGACCTCCATGAACCTGTTCACCTGTTCCCTGCCGTGCTCTCCTTTGGAGGACATGAGCATGAGTTTGTTCTGGAGCTCCAGCAGCTCCTCCAGCTTGTAGCTCTTCTGCTCTCGGCCTTTTTTAACCGTGACATGTACCATGTTTTGGAGACATCTCTGCTCACAAGAGGAAAGAGAAAAACTCCAGAAACTTATGTCGTTTTCTTATCTGTAATGATCTTTGAATGGGAGATAGTACTCTCACCTTCTCTGTGTTTTTATCCGACCAGCCCACATGATAAACTCCATTAGCGTTAATAGAAGAAGCCAGTGAGAGAGAGGACTGCTCCACAGAGCCGTGGGTCTCCTTCAGAGCTTTCAGCCAGCTCAGCAGTCGAGTCGACTCTCTCTGGAAAACAAACCTGGTAGCATTATTGTCACATTGCCACAGTAACAGGACTTTTAATTAATAAAAGTTAATAAAGGAGGAGTAAATACCAGTTTGTCAGGTAGCTTCTCATCTCTACTTTGGGTGTCCCACACCTGCTGAGCACACCTCATGAACTCCTCAAAGCCGGCATGAGGAGAGAGGGAGTAGAGCAGAGGGCCGTAACCCATCACTGCATCGTGGAAACAGGCTACCTGATCGATCTCTGCGTCGTTCTCTCCAGCAGAAATAGAGGCCAGGTCGACGTAGACCTTCACATCGCTCATATCTGAGAGAGGGGGGCAAAGAGATCAACGTCAGGATCTGCAAAACTCAAGACAATCAGTCTTTTCAATGATGAGCAGATATTTCATTACAGCAAGTGTCTCACTTCTGAGGTTTTCTTTGACCCAGTTGACCAGAGTCTGACTCTCCAGAAACTCCTGCAGACAGGCAGTGTTCAGTTTGGAGACTGAGGAGAGCTGCTGTTTGGCCCGAAACAGGTCCTCACTGAGGGACCCCAGAGTCCTCTGCTTGAAGATGTCTTCTTCCTGTCGAAAATCAGGCATGGATATTTGTAAAAGTCGCTATTTTTATTTAGGTTAAAGTATATTTGAGGGAAACTCAAAGCTACGATGGCTCAGAGGGTCAAAATAATATATAATAATGGATAATAATAGCTAATCAGCTCCAGCTGCAGATCATCAGTGAAAAAATGTCCAGATTGGCTTCATTAAATTGACCTTTCTGTGTTTTTTTAAATAAACCGTGTGTTTCGACCACCCTTTAAACACAGCTATCTTAACTTGATCATTTTAAAGTCTTAATTACCAGCTGGCCCAGATTCTGGATCTCTGTAAAGTCCCCGGAAAGCTTCAGCTCCTCTGCGATCTTCAGCACAGCGCAGGCTGCAGCCGCCGCCTCGTGGAGCTGTCGATACTCCTGAATCTGGGCGAGTCTGTTCTCCACCCAGTTGAGCCTCCCGGACTCACTGAAAGTCTCTGACATCAGACTCAGCTCTGATCTCATGAGCTTCCCGTTTCCTTCGTCACCAGACTCCAGTAAAACCTGGTCCAGCTGCCTGAAGGTGATAGTTGCGTCTGCGATGCTGACCCCAATCTGGCAGAACTCTGTCACCAGAGGCTTCCAGATGTTCTCCCAGATCTGTGGTAGGCTGACTGTAACGGGGGCTGAGGCGGGTTGTCTCATTGATGCCAAAGACGCAGCGCCCTTGACCCAGGAGGACAGAATCAGGTTGCTGTTCTGCAGTTTGTGCATCTCACTGGCCATCTTTAACACGTTCAGACTGGTGTTGTACCAGAGGATCTGTGGAGGACCCATCTTCCCCAGCTTCCCGTTAGAATCGAAGGACTGAACCAGCACCAGTTTGTTCAGGGTCACGTTCTGAAGATCTGTGGTGTGCTGCACCTCGAGGGGCGACACCTCAGGAGCTGTTGAAATCAGAGTCATGAAGATAAAACTGGACCAAACTCTTTAGCAAAGTTCTCCAACTTTGACGTCTCATGTTGAACTTACCTTTGATGCTTTCTGTAACCTTTGCTATCATCTTTATCAGCGTGTCCATCTGCTGTTTCCGCAGCAGGAAAGAGTTCAAATCCTTCTCTCTCTGAGTCAAAACGACCTCAGCGTCAACAGGAACGACCTCGGAGTCAGCATTTTTCTTATCTGTGGACCATAAAGTCATTATTTTTCCATTCAAGAGAAATTAAACGTTATAACACAGGTGCTTTTTAGGTTCATACACTGCTGGTGAAGTCTCTTAAACTGCTCCTTGTATTTCAGACAGGCCTGCAGGTGTCCCAGAGAAATGTTTCCTATAAGCAGAGAGTCCACCAGGGATTTAACTGAAGTCAAGGAGCTGTGGACGACCAGCCCTGCAGCATCATCCACACGGATGGACTTCCAGTCACCTGGACAAAAAACAGAGACGTTACAACCCTCACTAAGTAAAAATATATATTAGATATATTTATGCTCCAATGAAATGAAGCACCTTGAGTCAGAAGGTGGTTGACAGCAGACTGTGGATGGAGCAGCTGGAGGACGGAGTCGTCTCTGAACCGTGAGGCTGACTCGACAACAACAGCAGACATGACGACCTCAGGGAGATCCTTCACCTTAGACCCGAGGAACCGAAGCAGGTCTCCCTCCTGTTCTCTCTAAAACATAAAAACACATTAAACTCAAACTCAAGGATCTAGGACGAAAACTGTCCAAGTATTGAGGGGAGGTAGAGCGTCCAGCCCAAACAAGCTCCACCCCCTCGCTCTCTGCTCTGTACCTGGCAGACTGTCTTGATTGCAGACTGACACAGCTCACTGAAACAGCTCTGCACAGCGTCATGGCTCTTCCTGATAGATTCTAAAGTCGACTCCAGACAGCAGAGCAGAACTCGGTCCTCCTCACTAACCTGCAGAAGAAGCAGAAACACGTTCAAGACTCCCGTTTCAATGTTCCTCTGATCTGAAAAGACCCAGAAAAACCTGCACTGACTTTGGAGATCCTCTTCTTCAGGTCTTTTTTCAGGCTCAGAGTCCAACTGGATGGACCTTCTTCAGAAGAGCTTGCTACTTTCAGGAGAGCATCCCACATCTGTGAGTTTAAAAGAGGACTTAAGATGAAGTTTCACAGCAGAGTTACAGGAAATAGATTTGACTTCTTGTGCTTCTTTCATTTCTGCAAAACAACTTAGTAAAAATTCAATAAAAACCAAATCCAACTGAGAAATGACCGAGCTTGACGTGCAGATATTCTCAGAGCACTAACTTCGATTTCTTTTAGGTAGCTGAGTGTTTTGGACGGAGTCACAAGAGGTTTTTGCAGAAGTTCGTCTCTCCACTGGTTGATTCTCAGCTGCACGGCACAGAGCTCATCCTGGAGTTTCTGCTTCACGGTCTCAAACTCGTCTTCTGAGGACTGAAAAGTACAGAAGGGAAACAGTTGGTAATCATCTCAGCGCTTCTGCATGTGTATGCATGAAGAACCAAGGCGGGGAGAGCAGCAGCAAAGACCACCAGAGTGCTGAAGAGCAGACATAATACTGCAAAGCAGTTTTCAGAGGAAGCAGGAAGGCTAACGCAGTTTTAAAGGTGCTGCTAATTTGACATGGATTGGATGCTGAGCTGACTGAACTAACACTGTGTTCACTTCAATGCTGCAAAATAAAAGGATTATCACCTCGTCCTTCAGTTTAGCCTCTAAACTCTTTGCTAACTTCAGCAGCAGCTGGTAGGACAGAATCACAGTCTGGTATCCAGAGACGAGCCGCACAGCTCTGCAGGTGTTCTTCGCCACACCGACGCTGCTCAGGAAAGCCGGTTGTATCCGTCCGGACTGGCCCAGTCTGTTTTGACAAAGTAAAAATCAGAAACAGCAAAAAACACTCAGAGTATCAGAGATGTTCCTCTCTTTACCTCTCCTTCTCTTGGTCGATCTTCGGCAGGATGAACGTCAAAGTTTTCTGTAAAAGTCAAAAATACAAACAGGATTAAAAAAGCTCAGATGAGGATTAATCCTGTTCAATATTATTATACGCAGGTTATCCCACCTTCACCGTCTCTTGTGTTCTGCTGTTGTCTTTCTCCTCTCCGCTTTTCCTGAGTCTGTACATCAGACTCTGGATCAGGTGCTCCACAGGGACTCCTGCCAGGTCTGAAAATTCAGGAAGATCCTCGAATGCGAGGAGAGAAGACCAGCTGAGCTGCAGCAAAGGCGTCTCTTTAACCAGAGGTAACTGAGTCTGAATCAAAGTCAGCATCCTCCTGTGAGAAAAGCAGGATTACACTTCATCATGACACGATCCACGCTTTAGAAAAACCTGGGTGTAGCTGCTCTGACGTGGACTCACTTCTTTTTGTCAGGGTAGGACTTCACATTCTCCCTGAACCTGCTGAAGTCGACATTTTCAAGTCCTGACCAGTTCTCCTCCTCCACAGTTGGACCCACTTTTGCCGCGTTGGCCCCCGGCTGTCTGAGCCTGAAGAGCAGAGGGATGAGCAGGATGAGCTCGGACACCGTCTGCTGGGCACAGAGGTTCGCCAGACCCAGGACGATGCTGAAAGAGAGAGAGAGGAGTCAGTGTCAGAGATCAGAACCTCTGTGAAGGTTTAGGAAACAGACGATCCAGATTTAGCATCAAGAGGAGGAGCTGGGGTGGAGGCGGGTTGAGTGTTGCGCTGTTAGCTGGTATGGACTGGAGTTAGGACCACTCACGGCCTGCCTGAACTAACTCTATGCAGCACAAAAACCAGAGTAAACTCCGCCCCCTTCAGAAAAACAAACTTACTACTGTGCGTTCTGGAGCGAACTGATCAACCCGTCCAGGTTTTTCTTCTCCATCGCGGTCTCTGAGCTCACCAGCTGACACAGATCCCCCCAGCCTTTCACCCCGAGGTTGACCTTACAATGTCTGGTCACCATGAACACAGAAAGTCCCAGAACCAGAGGATTGCTGTTCCTCCAACCGCCTGGAACTTTCTCATCTGGGTCTGCTTTCAGGATCTGAACCAGAGTCTCTGAGACCAGCTCCGGAGTCTTTAAATGACAAGTTCATTTAGTGACAAATAAAGTCAGTAAATTAATCATAAAAATGACTTGATGGTTGTTTTTGCACCGACCTTGACGACAGGAGGTCGTGAGTTATCTGGGAATGCCATCCTCTCATGTGCAGTGCCCAGACTCCACATGAAATGTCCTAACTTTTCACACAAGCTGTCAGTGCTCTGTTTGTCTGCTGGGGTCCACTTTTGGAAGATTCTGCTCAACAGCTCTCTGGCTGAGTTCTGCCAGGCGTCTGATATCTCCACACCTTTTAATTTCTTCAAGCCGACCATCTGCAGACCGGTCTGAAACAGACTCTGCTCCTGGCGGCTGATGAAGCCTTCGTACAGGTGCAGCTCTGAGACACAGAGACACTCTGTGTGAGACAGAGACAAACCTGCAGCAGTGATGTTAGTAAACGCTTCACTTGTCTTACCTTTAATGTTTAAGTTGTACGGGATTTGAATGTGTCTGGTTGCAGTTCCTGAAATCTCTTTGTGCCGCTGCTTCACACCGTACAAGTAAGTCAACCAGCTCCCTCTTCGTAACCTTCGCTCTTCAACGGAGAGACTCGCCTCCACCAGATAACCTTCTTGTTTGAGTCCCCTGAACAGACAATCATGGACGTGCTTTAAAATGACTGAACCTACACTTATCATGTCAGAGGTCTGCTCCTTTAGATGCACTCAGAGTCTAGATTTATACAATCTTAGTAAGCCTTAATAGCTTTAAACTGTGTATTCTGCCATTACTCAAAGTGGCCACACGGAAATGCCAAAGTGCATGAGCATTCAGCTCCTGATCAGACTCAGACATGAGCTGTAACAGGTTTAAATCCTCCATCTGTGAATTACAGTATATATAATCAGTATTCATACTCACAAAAACCGAGTCATTTTCAGAAGAGAATATCCTCCGTCAGCATAAAGAACGAGCTGGTCATGCTCTGTGTTGAATCTGAATTTTTTGTCCAGTATGGCGTAGATGTAGAAGGTGAACATGGGAACATCAGGTGGAGGTCTGACTGGACTTCGATCCCTGTGGGGAGAGTTGAAAATATCACTTTTCTACATATTTTGATTCTTTCTCCAACTTTTTTTTTTCTGAATCGTTCACATCTTTAAAATCCTTTAACTTGGCTTGTTTTTAATCTTTAACCTACCGTGTGTTTTGGGATGTTTCTGTAGATTTTTCTGCAGCTCTTCGGGTTTCCACACCAGCCCGGTTCTGTCCAGAAACAGCTGAAGCATAAGACTGCGGTTTCTCATCGCTTCCAGTTTGAGTGGTTGAAGGAGGCGCTGAGGATCCTGCAGGAGGTTGATCCTCTTTAGACTCGGTCTCTGATGAGGGTTTGTGATCGTGTGGAGTTTTCTGTTCGGGTTCAGGTGTGTGTTTGTCTGGTGCCGGCTCGGCTTCATTAACGTTTGGTCCAGTCTTATCATCTTTTTCGAGGTCCGTCTGTGTTTCCTGATGGCTCTGAAGAACAGCTGGAGTTTGAGTGCTTCTGGTGGTTCCTTCATGTTTCTCTGTCTGAGTCTGAGCCTGGACCATCGGAGGGTCTCTGCGTCCTTTCTCTTCGGTCATTCCCACAGTTTTCTGGTTGTCGTCCGCTCCTTGATCCACAGGTTGTGTTTCTGTAAATGCGCTCTCCTCAGTTTGGCTGCTTGTCTCCATCACCTCCACCTTCTCTCTGCCTCCATCTGCTCCTCCTTTCACAGAGGTATCTCTCTTCCTCCCTCTCTGACGTCTCCACCTCCTTTTCTCCTTGTCTTCTTGGACTTTCCTGCTTGGACTCTGTCCTTGTTCCTGAAAACACAAACTTCCACTGAAGACCACAGACCTTGTTTGACGTTATTTCACAGCAGTGTTTTTATCACGGTGTTTTTACCTTTTTATTTTTTTTCTTCGCTATTTTGGTCGCTACATCCTCCACTTTTTGGGATCCAGATCCAGGAGTTCTGGAGAGGTTTTCTGCTCCCTCATCCATCTGGAGCTGCTCTCACTCAAAGGAGAACCTGTTCGTGTGTCGTGTGTCTCTGAAAGTAAAAATCACAGTTTAATAGTTTTTAAATCTCTGACAGACTTACTTTACTGTAATTATCTGGTGAATTTATGATTAAACTGACAGATTTGGGTTAAGAACTCAGTGCTGTGGTTTCATTCTTGTGCTTGTTTTTGTTACAGTTTGTGGTTAATTATGGATTGTAATATTGCCTATATTTGCATGTTTGGGGAACTATCAATCAATCAATCAAACTTTATTTATAAAGCTTTCCCTACAGGAATGTGACTCAAAGTGCTTTACAGTCAAATTAAAAACAAAAAACTATCCCAGCTGCCCCATTACCCCCCACCCACACACACGCCAACGCACCGCACATACACACTAGGGCCCCACCATATGGATTTTTTGGGGGGCCGAAGTGCCGATACCGATTACTAGGGGGAGGGAATGCGGTTACCGATTAATTGGCCGATCGGTGCTTCCACGTCTTAACTCACATTACACATTTCCGGTCCGGTCTCATCTGGAGACATGCGGCTGCCTCAGTGAGAGAAGTAGCTCGATCACGTAATATGTACTGATGTTTATTCTACCGTTACTGGCACGGCTAACAGTGTAGCGAGGCTAATAGCAGGTGGCTGCTAATCGGCTCGCCGATAAATCGGTCGGGCCCTAATGCACACACTAAGATAATGGACATGAGGCTGAGTTCAGATGAACCAGTTGAGAAAGCGCCATCAGAGGAGCCGTCAGCACCAGGAGCAGAGAGCCGCCTGCAGCCACAGGACACCGACACAGGGACAGAGGAGGGATGTGTCAGACAGGAACCCTGTGACCGGCCCCTGCAACCACAAGCGACCACCGCTCCCGGTGCCGAGGGCTCCCTCAGAGGAAACACTGGGGGGTCCTAAAAATGATAAAAGGTTAAAAACAAGTAAAAACTAAAATATGAAACACAGACCTAAAATAAACCTAGGCTAACTAGAACAAATGAAGATAAAACAACTAAATATCAGTTAAAAGCTAAGCTAAAAAGAAGGGTCTTGAGCCAGGATGCAAAGATGTTTCTCTGGTCACAGCTGATAGAAATACAAATACATGAAAAAGTAGTTACTTGTCACTGAGATTCAATCACAGCACTGTCACAGGACTGTTAAATGATCATAAGGAGTCAAAATAGCCCCGTTTTTATGATTATTATAACTTAAAACTAGATTTTATACGTATTTCAACAGACATGACAGGAATATTCTTATTTGACATATCTTAAAATAAAGTTTATGTTTGTAGCTGTCAGGTTAATGAAGCTTTAATTAAGAGTAAATAGTTCATGTGGTTAACTACGAGGAAAAGTCACTTGGTTAGATTAAAGTGTTGTTCAGCTTTTAAAGCTGTCAGGATGAAAACTTGTTTTTTAGGGTTATTGGACTCTGTAACTTTGTCAAACGGTGCAAATTAAAGAGTTAAGAACGATTTTAAAGATAGTAAGATAGATAGAAGTACAAAAACTCTTCACTTAACAATAGCGTTAGTAAAAGTAACCAAATACTTACTTTTCACCTCTAGCACTTGGTCTAAAATCTTAAACGTGTGACCAAAAACTAAAACAAACCGACATTTAAACCTTAAAAAGTGGATTTCGTTAACTTACCTGTCTTTACAGGTGAGAATAACAGCTCAGGTCATGATCAAATGTGTCAGACACCAACAGACAGTCAGGTACATTTACCCGAAACGATCATTTGATCAGCTGATGGAGCTCCTTCAGGAAGATTTAAGGGACCGTCGAGAAATTTCCATAATCATCCCGGAGGCTCGGTTCTTTCAACGATAAATTAACTAAACGAGCTAACAGTTTAAATCAATAAAATATTAGGTAATTAACCTCTGATTGATTGTGTATATGTTAGATTATCTGCTACAGCGTATTTAAATGATGTTGTTCTTTGTTTAGTATCAAGTTTGCGGACAGTCCCTGGCTGTCAGTTAAACGTTTCAGTTTCATTTCTGTCTCAAATTCACCAAAGAAGAAACTTATGATGCGTTCAGGTGATGATCGGAACTTTCATATTCAACGTCGACAGACAGGAAACATAAACAGTGACTATCTAATTAATTCAGGATTCGGGTAATTCAGCATTTTAATGTTTTTCCTCGTACGAAAACTCTGTCAGTTCACTGTAAATCCGGGGATATTTTCTACAGTCTGAGTTCAACTGACACACATTAACTTACAAACTGAAACTTCATTTACAGAAAAATGCAACCCAAAATTATCTGTACCATCAGTGCGTTTACTTTCATTGTTAAAACTGATATGATTATGACTCTTAGGTAACCCACATATAAATTTTCTATTGCTATACTTGTTTGTTATTGCATTACTGATATTAACACTAGTACTCTCAGTGAAAAAAATGAGTTGTCAAAATTAAATAATAGAGTTTTATTTGAAAGAAACATACAAAAACATCTCAGACATGGAAAATCCTTCCTACCTCTACAGTCAATAATTCTGATACGATACAATGATAATGTGATTAATGATGATTACTGAAGTCTGACTGAAAACTGTTTGTTTTTGTAAAATGCTGATTCATCCCACAGATTTTTAAGTCTACAGACTCATTAAAGATCAATATGTTTGTGGTGCAGTGGAGCCTCTAGTGGTACAGTAGGGTATTGCAGAGTGAAGAAGAGGGTCATAAATGACATTTAACTTTCCTCCTGTGTTCGCTTTTACTTTATACCCACTATGTTAAGAGTCAGTTCTGACCCGAGTCTTAAATCAGCTGTAAATTAAAAACATTTCTCTATCATCCAGTTTGGTTCTCATCTCTAGGTTACCTTGTTCAGTTTCATTATCCATGAAAATATTGATTATAATATTTCTTGTTGTGGTCCTCTGGGCCTTTCTTTGTCAGTTTACCCCTCACACAGACATCTTCCATGTTTTTTGTGCAGGAAAAACATGGAAGAATGAGAATTTCCTAAATCTCACATGATTGGAAGAGGATCTAACTGTCAGTGCACTTATGAGTTCAGTTTTTCCTCTAAAAGTGGTTCTTTTAAGCATTTAAGATCTAAAACAGGTCGGTGCAGACTCTAACACAGGAGGAGGGTTAAACCAGTTTCTAGAAGAAAAAAAAAGTCCTTTGTTTGCTTGAAAGTTTAGGATGGAAAGACAATCCAAATTAAAGAAAACTAAAGTGTCAAATTTTTTCGTTTCCTCCTAAAAGTTCAGAAAAACTTTTACAGTATGTCAATTCATCAGTTTCATCAATTTAACACCTTTTCTTCACTTTTGTTTCCCTCACAGAAAAGAAGAATTTCTCAACATCAGAGCTCCAATATTATTAACTTACTTTGAGAAAAATGTTTGTACTTGTCTGTTCACGATTGGTCCCTAAAACCATAAAGGTGATGGTGAATAAAACCCTGTAGAAGAAAGACTTCATCCTCAGAGTTTGAGGTCTTTTAAAGAAGTATTTATTCCTTAACTCCACACCTTAAAGGTCCACGATCCTGTGATTGACCCCCTTCTCTCCTTAGACCTGCGAACCTAAAGGTATCTTGACTCTCCGGACCACCACCCTGGTCCTCCTCCTCCTCTGAGGCTGACCTTCATCAGTCCCAGCGGCCTCCGTCTTTCCTGACAGAGACCCCGGGGGTCTGGGTTCACCTCTGGGTGCTGCAGGCTTCCTCCCTGATCTCACCTCGTCCACGAACGACTCCACCCGGTCAAACTTTGAGGTGAGCTCAGAGAGACGCTCCTTCAGGGTGTTGAACTCGCTGTAGAGATCTCCCAGAGCGTCTGACAGCGGCTGGATCCTGCAGGACGAGTCACAGAGAAATCAGAGACTCATAATCAGATATTAAATTAACTTTTAATGATTTTATTTGTAGTAAGAAGTGAAGATGAACTGAGCCTCACCTCCCGTAGTCCGGCAGCACAGTGTTGTGGTCGTGCAGCAGCAGATCTTTGACCTGAGTGGTGATGGCGTATTTCCAGTTGTCTAAAACAAGCGTGAGGTTCGCACATCCTCTGTTGTTCACTCTCTCTGCTGCAGAAACACGAGACACAGAGAACAACTGTTTATCAAAACCAAACATGACTTTACCGGGGCTGTTATACTGACACAGTCTAAACTCAAATGACTGGATTTGAACTTGAACGTAGATCCAAAACATGATAGATGTGTTTTAGGAGTCTTAAAGGAAGTCTTTTGACATGTTTACAAGAGGTAGAGGGTTAGAAAAGGAAAAATACAACAGAAGAGGGGAGAAATGAAAACTGATATTTGAACTTAACTGTGAAATTTTTAATGATAATGTCTTTGTGTAGAAAAGACGGTCTTCTCACATAACAGGTTTTCTGAATGTCTGTAAATATTCAGATTATTTCATACTTCATTACAGAGGATATCTAATATTAAGTTTTGTTTTGTAACAGACCATTTTTGTTCTGTTTCTACTGAGCTGCATTTATGGACTTGAACGCGTCACAGTAAAAAGCGTATCGGTCTCTCTTTCAGCAGAATTTTTCAGTCGAAGCCACGACAGGACGATAAAAAGACAGCTGAGATTTTTCTGTGTTTCAACGTTCAGGGGGTTGGGTTGAAACTGAAATTTAAGAGTGAAAGTTTCTGGAGTTTTAGATAATAACAGGATCATTTTAACTTTTCCTAAAAATAACTCACATCATGAGAACTCAGAGTTTACAGGATCAGAGACTTTTCATCTACAAAGACAACAACTGAGAAAATTATGACTGAAGAAATGAACACGAATTATAAGAGATCTGTCTTTTGGTATGAAAATGAAAACATTCAAGAAGTTTGTCTGAAGAGTTTCTGAGCATCGTAAACTTAATTTTACATTTCATGAATACTTTGTGTAAGACCTATATTTAGATTCATATTTTTAAAGGTTAATATATCCTTAAAAACAGTTTAACTGAATCATAATGAGTCTGTAATGATAAATGAATATTTAAGACAAGAAATGATGTGTATTTGAAATGAACAAATCTAGATTCTCAGATGATTATAGATGATTCAAACTGTAGATCTGGGCGAGTTTAAAACACTAACTGGTTTATTTTTTAGTAAAAACTGAATAATTAATAAAAAAATGACTCCTGATTAAAGAAATATGAGCTCCTAAAATATCAAGAGTTTAACCATCATGATCATTTTTTTCTCTATCGTGTAAAAAATTATAATTTTTGTAATAATCTTTTTTCTTTTATTTACAAAACAGAGATAAACTAAAATAAATTAAAACGAACGAAGAGTTTACAAATGACTGATCTTTAATAACTTCATCAGACGGTGAATTTTAGAGACATCTCTCTCGTTCTTCAAACGTCTCCAAAGAAGCTCAAGTCTAAAATGATCATGTTTAATATTTCAGTTTAAAGACCAGACTGATTCTGATTCGGATCTGCAGATCTTAAGAAACCTGAAATGAGACTAAAAAGTTTCTTCTGAAGTTTTAGTGAAGGAAAGTTCACCAGCTCGGGTTCTTCTCTGCCTACCTTCGTTCCTGAAGTCCCACTCCGGTTTCAGCAGGATTCGGTCTTTCTGAGCCGCACACAGAGTCACAGAGAAGAAGAAGAAAACTCCAGCAGGATTCATCCTCAGACCTGCGACAGGAGACAGAAACAAAGTTTCACCGCTGAGGTCCGAGTCCAAACTCTGCAGAGACCTGAAGGACAGAACTGTGCGACACAAACCTGCAGTGATGGTCCACAGTCCAGCATCCAGAGGGGACCGAACGAAAACCTTCTCCTTCAGTTTATGATCCGCAGATGAAGGAGGGTCCGGGTCTCCCCTCCCATCTGAGTCTCTGTCTCTGTCTCTGTCTCTGTCTCTGTCTCTCTCTCTCTCTCTCTCTCTCTCTCTCTCTCTCTCTCTCTCTCTCGCTCTCTCTCTGTCTCTCTCTCTGACTCACTCGGTCTGGATCATAAATCAGGATGTCACTTCAAAGTCCAGACTGACCCGGCTCACTGGTTCCTATTAGGAGGTCCCTCTTAACTCGAGGTTTGAAAAAGGATCAAATTAATGAGAAAATCTCCTCCTTAAAGTCCAGCTGACAGTTTTAATGACGGCGAGCACGCCAGAGGAGAGAGAATCAGAGCGAGGAAGTTTAGACCCTGTCCTCGGAGACGCTCAGCAGACACGTTTGAAGTTTGAAGGTCACGTCTAACTTACACATTCCTGATCTACATCTGTTTTACATCTGCAGCCCTGAAGACACGGGGATCAGCGACCCCGGACTCTACCTGCTCTGATCAGGTGTTAAAAGGTCGATTATGGTGGAGACTCTTACACTGACAGAGAGTAAATCTACACGTATCCTACAGAGAGGAGGAGGAGAATCAGGGGGAATTTAAGGCTCCAGGTTCGACTGGGTCAAAGGTTTCATCTGGGAAAGGATGACCCACATTTCAGCGTCCGCACTTTAGTCCTGGTTTTTATGAAGAGAAACTGGTCCACATAAATCTGATCCAGGTTAGGGCTGTCGGCTTCATCGAAAATCAAGTGAGACTGAATATCAATCATGACAAACGAATTCCCCTTTAAGAAATCCTTTCAATATTTCATGACAGTGTCGTGTTTCCTCTGCTGCCTCACAGGTTAGAATAAGACGGCCATCTTTGTTATTTTCAGATCTGTTGTGAGCAAACTCAAATATTTCCACGAGAAGTTTCAGAGTCTTCGATCGCAGCACAAGTCTTAATTTTTAAAGAAAGTCGTCCCTGGGTTAGTTGATTAAGGTTCGATGGTGTCATTCAATGGTCAGGTTACGACGAGAGTGCTGTCTGTTTGGTCGAACAGCTAAAGGGATCCAACGTAAAATTAATTTCGGATCAAACACACTGAGTTAGACCCCCCCTCCAGAGATGAATGTTGCCGACCGCTTGCTTCTCTAGTTATACCAACTTTAGTAACGACCGCAGGATAGAAATACAGAGAGCCACGCGCTCTGCCACAAATAATGCTCGGACAAGTCAATCACGGACTACAGCGGGGTGCCGCAGCTCAAGGAAGAACATTTATGATCATTTCTTCATGGAAATACAATCAGACCGAGATGCTAAGGCAGAAGAACTACCGCGTCTGTAAAATGATTAATATGGTGATTATTACTTCAAGAAAATGATAAAGAAATGATTATAAATGTTCTTCCTTGAGCTGCGGCACCCCGCTGTAGTCCGAAACAGACTGGTCAAGGTCAAGGCGTTTTGGTTGAGGTTTGTTTATGGCTCCTCAAACTGCTGTGTATTGCTTTCCTGCGGTCGTTACTAAAGTTGAGGTTGGTCCCAACCATAGTTTTAGCCACCAACCATCTTTTTAACTTTGACTCATTTCAAACTCAAATTGAAATTGTAAAAAAAAGTCATGTGAAAAAGTGTTCTTCAGTCTAATACTGATCATCCTGCACGATTACAACCAGGTCTGTAGGATTTTCCTGATGGATACGCTGTTTGAGCCGAGGGTCATCTCGGCAACTCTCCCACCAAATTCGTACAATGCTACTGCGGAATGTTGGTTTCAGGAAGTGGAGAAAAAAACGTGGAATTACCGAGAACTTTTCGGCTTCAAATCCATATATTGGCGGAAGGCGGAGCCAAGTCGTCCTTAGTATGTCTATGATTAATACACAGAAGACAAACCAAACAAATCCACATCAGCAAAAGGAACTCTTAGTTGTTTTTGTGTTTTTTTTATTTTGTTTCAAATCCAGGTCAACAGCATCAACATCTCCCAGGCTCCTCAGTTAGCTCAGAGGAAAGTGAGGACCTGCTGGATCTCCAAGAGCATGCTTGCTCAGCAAACGGCCCCCGGATCAATAAAAAAAGGAAAAGGTCACTGCCGTCTGTTAGCATGACATCAGATAAATCGCTCTGGAAAATTCACACGGGGGGCAAGAATGATATCAACCAGCAAAAAAAACAACAAAACAAACAAAAACTCTTTTTTTTTTCAAGCATTTTCAAACTAAAACTACGAACATCCTCTCACTTCTTCAGTGGAATTACTGTCTAACTCTGACAAAGTCTCTCAGGTGGTAAATCTGAACTGAAGAGGCTCTTTTCCCCCCCAAACGGTTTCCCTCCTGAAAGTCGGATCTGTGTCTGTAAAAGTGTGAAACATGACCAGGAAAACAGAAGGTAAGACACGAGGGCGGCTCTGGACAACACGAGGGCGAGGATTAAAAAAGAGGTGAAACCAGAAAACATGTCAGGATGGGAAACGAGTTCTTGTTTCATCTTTTCGGACTAATGATCGTCTTCTCAAACTCAGCTGCAGCTCAGAAGAGAAAACTACATGTGCATTAAAGCCGTGAAAATCCACCCTGATCACATCCATCAGACGTCTCGCTGCTTTCCACATCATTTTTGAGAGATTGGGTTCGTGCATCTGGTCGACAGGTGATGGTAGGAAACGCCACACAGACTGGAGACCTCTGCGGCGCTCGGATCCGAACACCCAGACTGGGTTTTTGTTTAGAACGTTTAATGAGCGGCGTCTCAAAGTAAGACATTAAAACGCCGATGATGTCTGACTGCGAGAGTTTATGACTGAAAATGCCTCAAGTTTTGGTCCCAGTGTGAGTCGAATGAAAGGAAATTAAAAAGAGCGAGGAGCAGCGCAGTACGCCCTCTGCTGACTGAGTATTAAAGGGTTATTCCACTCAAATACACCTTTAAGTTTCATGTTTTTACTTGATTTTCTGCATTAAAAAAAGTGCTTTTAGATCCGATCCAGAGCAGTCGATAATTATTTGACTTTTTTTGTGCCATCAGGGGGATTTAAGTGCTTTTTAGATGGTTTTTAGACGCTCTCACTCTGCAAAGGTGCAGATCTGCAAACCCAGAACCAAGATGTTTTTCCAAGACAACCAGAGCAAAGATTAGATACGACAAGAGAGATGTGAGGTGTTTTCAGACCCTCAAACGACCTCGAGGCTGAATGATCTTACAGGAACATCTGTTCTGGTCCGACTCCTCTGGTTTGATTTCAAGATAAAACAAAAGAAAAAGAGAGAGAGAGATAGAGGAGGGCAGTGTGAAGCACCACTTGTTTCTTGAAGCACCTGTTGGTGGTGGATAAAGTGCGAGTCAATAACAATGATGATGCCGAGGAAACGGAGCTTATCGCTGTTATCATAAGCTACATATTAGGCCTGCTCGAGTTCAGACCGACGAATCCTGAAGCTACAAACTCCAACAAACCAGAAGAACCGCTTCAGGTCGGTCCATCACCTTCTCGAACCGCGGCCGATCTTTAAAGTAACTTAATACTGCAAACAGAAACTGGAGCGGAGTCACTCTGGAGAGGTCGGAGCTTTGACCGATGATTGTACGTTTAGAGGGGGGCGGGGCTTGTCAAAGAGACCTACGAACACCTGACAGAGTAGAAACCACGCTGAAGAGTCAAACTCGAAGGTTTTTTTCGCTACAATCCGATCCAAATAATAAAAAAAAGAAGAAGCTGAATTAAATAACAGTGTCATTCCTCAAACATATTTATACACAGCAAGATTTTCCAGAAGACGTAGTGAGAGTGAGCGGGCGAGCGAGCGAGCGAGGGGCACTGATGTGAGAAAACATCCAAACACTTTGAGTCTTTTGCTGTCGTCCTGAGTCACAGCAGGATTTATTCAAGAAGGAGGAGGAGGAGGAGGAGGAGGGGGTGTGATTATTGGAGGGAGGAAGGGGAGGAGCCTCAGCCAAAAGTGCTTCACCTTTAACGAACCCCGCCCCTTCTGAAAGCCACTGTGAGGAAGGGTGCGAACAGACAGGAGAGACAGTCGGGTTTTCATTTACTCTTCGAATCCGATGTAAACGAGTGCATCCCTTAAACGCCTCACAGCCGCCGCCGCCGCCGAGGGCGAGATGGGGAGAACCGAGGCTTCAGAGCGATGCGGAGGAAAACAAACGAGGGCGTCCACGTCTCGCAGCTGGTCCAGGCGCAGTGATGTCATCAGCGTGGTGAGGGGAGGGATCAGATTAGGGCGTGGAGGCGGGGCGGAGGGCGAAGGCGAGGGCGGGGGTTTAACTGCGGGGCAGGCTGCACATCTCACAGTGCTCTGTGCCAGGCTGGTTCATGAAGGTGCAGTGGAGGCACGACCACATGGCTGAGGAGGAGGCGGGAGCCGACGGGCCGCCCATGGCGCCGTAACCCAGAGAGCTGGAGGGCTGACCGCCGACTGTACCTGCGGGGAGACGGGTGAGCAGGAGAGAGAGAGAGAGAGAGAGAGAGAGAGACAGAGAGAGAGAGAGAGAGAGGGGGAGAGGGAGAGGTTAGAGGAGAAGGAAGAAAACAACTACGATAAAAAATCTTTAAAAAAAAAACGGGTTAAAACGAAGAAAGTTTCTTTAAGATGCAGAAGAAGAAAAAAAGAACAAGAAGTAGAGGAAGTAGAAGAAGTAGGAGGGGGAGAAGAGAAGTAGAAGAAAAAAGAAGAGGAAGAAGAAAAGGAAGTGGAAGAAAAAGAGAAGAAAAAGGAGAATAATGAGGACAAGTAGACGAAGAAGGGGTAGAAGTAGGAGAAAAGGAGAAGTAGAAGAAGAAGATGGAAGAGAAAAAGAAGTAGAAGAAGAAGAAGCAAAAGAAAAGAAGGCCAATAAGGAGGACAAGTAGAAGAAGAAGGAAAAGAAGTAGAAGAAGGAAAAGAAAAAAGAATAATATTGAGGACAAGTAGAAGAAGTAGTAGAAGAAGGAGAAGAAGTAAAAGATGAAGGAGAAGAGAAGGAAGTAGAAGAAGGGAAAAAAAAGAAGGAGAGGAAGTAAAATGTGCAGAAAAAAAGAGTAGAGGATGGAGAAGAAGAAGTAGTAGAAGAAGAAGAAGCCTGCTTCACTTCTATGACAGTAAAAACCTTCACATCTGTTTTTTTCCTTGAATACAGGTGGATTTGGAAAGAGCTTCACAGCTGCACAAAAACTGCACATTGTGGACTTTGATGAACTCTGAGAGACCCACAAAACCTGAACCAGGATCAGGCTGAGACTCACTGCAGAGCTGCTCGATGGTGGCCCACTGCTCCGACTTCTTCCAGGTCTGAGCCAGGTCCTCGTTGGAAGTTCTCACAGCGTCTAAAAGCAGCCCGATGCTGTCCTGGAAGAAGAAAAAACAAACTCAACGATACAAAAACAAATTCAGAAACACCAACATAACTCCATCCTGCTGTTCTCAAGTCTGGATCTGATTTTAAATAACAACCCCGTCTGATCCTGATCCTGATCCAGTGGAGCAGCTCGTTATTATCAGACAAACATTTGTAGTCCATAAGACGAGCTTTGATCAGGACCACGGGTTTGAAAAGAGTCCAGCTGTGAGTGAAAACATCCTCGCAGCGGTAACCACCTCCAGACGGTCCGATCTCCACCCTCCTACATAAACACGGTCCTATAGAAAACGACTGACTCACTCTGAGAGGCATGACTTCATTGGTGACGAGGAAGAGGAGCAGATGGAAGTCCGACACGATGTCCAGGAACGTCGTGGAGGAGCACTGGGACAGGTACGTGGCTAAACTGTGGAAATCCTGCAGAGACGAACAAACACAAACATCATGATGATCAAATCCAAGGTGGGGGGTTCAGAAAACCAGGACCCTGATCCAGAATCGACTGACTTGTGTCTCTCCGAGGATCTCCCGGTTCTCGATGGGGAAGCGTTGTGTGGAAGAGAAGGTGTACTGAGGGTCTTTAGGGAAAGTGGTGGTTATCTGAGGGAGGAGAGAAGATACGGCTGTAAATATCATAAAAGAGGAGAAAGAGGTTAAAAAAGAGAGAGGATCGACTCACATCTATGATGAGGTACTCCACAGGGAGAGGCCGAGCTAAAAACGTGACGTCATTTCCAAATTTGTCTTTATCCTTTTAGACGAGAAGAAGGAAACAAAGAGATAAATGCATCAATCGTAGAAGACTTTAAATAAAAACACTGAGGAGGAAAAAAACACGAGTCCTCAGTCCATGTCCCGACTCTCACCTTGTAGAAGACGTCGGGGACGTACTGCTCAGGGCTGGACTCTTTGGCGTAGCCCAGCTCGGGAGCGTCTTTGCAGGGCAGTAGGCACTCGTCTCTCACCAACGCCATGCACTGATTGGACACCTGATACCCCTCAAAGTGTACCTGGTTATCTGGACCTCCTGCACACGCACACACACACACACACACACACACACACACACACACACACAAACAAAGCTTTTAGCCTGACCTCATCAGCTGCCCTGACCGCCGTCGTCGTCTTATTACATCACTATTATGTCAGTGCGGGCGCTCGGAGCCTCGGTACAGATGGAACTCATTTACAGATCGGCTCCGTTTCTACAAAAGTGAAACAGATGGACTCTGGACTCTTGGCGCTACATGTGTTGCCATGACATCACCCTTGGCCGCCGCTGCCTCGTTAATGCAAACGACAAGGATGAGGTCAGAGCGGATTTCTTCTGGAACAAATACACAAACGGGGGTCAAGGGGGACGGGGTACAGGGGGCCCCACTGACAACTAAACAACAACAGAGAGGAGGGAGACCTGAGATATCTACAGATCTCCTCATCCATGGTGTCATCGGGGTGAAATGACGTCTAAAAACCTTTCACTTGTTCGTCTCCGCCGGAGTGTTTTATTTTGAAAAGAAGCCGGATGTTTTATTTTGTGTCTGTGCCCGATTTCCTTTCCAGCACGGGTTAATCTGTGCTGAATTTATCCGCCATGCTCCGGCGTCCAGAAAAAATAGAACTCTTGCGATCAGCTGAGGAGTCCGGCGATCCGCAGAGGAACGGAGAGAAGTCGGTGTAAATTGACACGTTAACTTGAATGGTTACGATCAGCTACAATCGGCGGATACAACCTTCTCGTAGCTGATCCGGCTGCGGTGGAAATTGGGGGTTAGACTGAGCGCCACATCCTCAGATCAGGGGCCTCATGAATGATCTAAACAGGACCTTCAACTTTCAACGCAAAGTCTGTGATCTATGAAAACGGAAGTGCACACAGGTAAACGAACCCTGACCCACGTGTGTCTTCAGTCCAATCACTTCATACCGACCCTCCAAACTCCTCTCTTTCCTCCAGGAGCCGATCAAGTCCAGACTAAAGTTAAACTCTCACATTAAAGTCGGTTCTTATCTTTAGCCCACAGAGACGAACACAAACCTGTCGCCACCACCGTCACAAACTTGGAGCCGAAGGAGCCGTCTCGAGAGAGTCTGCAGGAGTTCGAGTGATGGTTCTGGAAGTATCCCGCTGTGATGCACTCCTCCGCGCTCAGATAGTGAGAGTCCTGGAGGAGGTCAAGAAGGTCATGAAAACATTTTAAAGAGTTTGACTTTTATGAGTTTGGACTTTTTTCTTTAAATGAGCAGAATCCTCACGTGGTTTCTCGTGAAGCGGACGGTTCCTATCCTCGTGTCCTCGGAGAGAAGGTCTGTGAAGATCCAGCCCACCTGAGGAACAATAAAAGAAGAGGTCTGTTAAACCGCCTGAAATAAACAGGTGTTCAAATCTACAACAATTTTTCTCCTGGCAGTTTTCGAGACTTTAGGATGAGTTATTTATCCTGAGAAGTTTGAGGTGAATCAAAAAAAAAGCAGAAAAAAAAGGTTTAATCCCGCCAAAGTGAAAAGGTCAACCGGAGCTAAAACCAGGAAGTGATGACACAAAAATACCAACCTTGCGCAAACCCAGTTTGGCAGCGATCTCGTCCACAGCTGCAGCTTTGGGATCGTCCACCAGCTCCAGGCTGTTCTGAGTGGCGTTCTGAAGAATCACAGCAGAGACACGATGAAAAGTCTGAATTCACTGACAGCAGGAAGTGATGTTAGACAGCAGGGGTCCGACCCTCACCTGTGGGGGCTCGTAGATGGCAGCCACCTCCGCTCTGATGCCCAGAGGGATGTCTTTGTGCTCAGTGTACCGTCCGTACAAGTACCCCATCCTCTGACTGCCCGTCTTCCTCCAGAAGTCCAGGAAGCGGTCTGCGATGGTGTGGTTCTCGAACATGATGTTGTCCACGTGTCTGTATTTCTGAAGGAGGAAAAGGGAGAGTGACTCAGAGACCACGGATCAGGGCCACTGAATCCTGGATTTCTCTCAATGATCAGGCCTTTACTTCACTGGCTGCTGTCTGGTGTGTGTGTGTGTGTGTGTGTGTGTGTGTGTGTGTGTGTGTGGGTGTGTGTGAAGTCCTGAATCGGAGGACGACAGTGAAATCAAAGAAAACAGTCTGTTTATTTAGAAACTGTCGATCAAAGAAGAACAAAAATAGATTTTTCTTCATGAGAGGAAAAAGAGGAGACGTTTAAGTCTCTTTGGACTCAGACTTCAACACTCTGGTTCTAAACTGAAGCTGATTCAAGTGTTCAGCTCTGTTTGTCTGTTAATAGTTATCTATCAATACTACTTTTTACTTAAACAAGTCAAGCCCACATCACGTCACTCTGACTGCAGGAGATATCTCCCCTGAGGTGGAGAGCACATGTCGCTCATGAGTTCCTCGGCTCTGAAGATCGTCTCTAAGAGCCGTTTGGGAGCAGGAAAGGTCAGTCCTCGCAGAGCGGAATGATCTGAATCGTTAAAAAGAGCCTGAGCAGCATCTACACCACGAACGCTTATGAGAGGAAGAAGAGGAGGGAGGAGAGTCCAGCCTGAGCAGGTTTCAGTCATGGATCTCTGTAGACGTGTGTCTCTAAGTTACTGTGTGTCTGTGTTCACCTATAAGGTGTTTGTCACATTAACCCTCAGAACTCTCAGCTATATTTTGATATTTTTTGTCCGCCTGTTTATGCTTTTTTGTAAAAATCTATGTATCAACTCGATCCTTTCACATACACACCTTTTTTTCCAGGACAACCTCAGCTTCAGTTTATGGAACAAAAATTTAATGTCAAATGAATGTGACAGTAGATTCAGAACCATCAAAGTCAACCAGAAAACAAAAACAGAAATTAATCCCAACAGTACCACATAAACCTACAGTGACCAAGCCTTTTCTCACCTGAACATCATCCTCTCAAGTCTTGGCTATCAGGAGCAGAAATATTGGGATTGGAACAAACACACAACAGAAACTATTGACATATTTACACTCATTCTTCCAGGCGTTTTTGACTATTTACAGTTGTTTCTGCCACTCCTGGGATGAGACAGAGGACCACATCATACTGCTCACAATCTCTTCTTCGCTTGTTTCCAAACATTGAGGAACATTATTTCTGATTTTACAGACAAACAGGGAACTTTCTCATCTCTTATTGGACACTACCGTCAAGGGAACAATAGAAGAAGAATATGAGACCATGTAATTGGTCGACATCACTGCAGATTTACCATCAAATGTCTCTGATCAAACACCTGTTTTTGTGGCTGGATTGTAAACCTTGTGGCAGGTGTAGAAATGTCTGGAAACCCTCGATAGATCACCGAAAGGGTAAACTATTGAACACTTTTGATCCCGTAGAGATCCACGGTATAGTTCCTGAGAAACTGTGAACTATATTAAGTGAATAAGTGTCAAACCTGCTCCCATCAGCTCCACTAAAGCGTCACACCGACACACCTGGAGTCACCCACCTGTCTGTTCAGTGTGATGGCGCTCGGCTGGCATTTGGTGCAGATCCCCTCCGGCCAAGGAGGATGACCCTCACAGCCCGACTTGATTTTACAGCTGATGTTCTCCAGAGCTGCGAACTTCCCTCTGCGGGAGATGAAAACGGCGTTACGGTCTGACAAGAACCAATCAGAAACATCGATTCAGAGCGGGAAATCAAAGCCTCTCACTTGTCGGCTCCACCGGTCAGCTTGCGAAGGTATGCGTGGAATGACATGTGCTTGACTGGCGGGTCGAGGTGATTCAGGTAGTCTTCGTCGAAAGGCTGAAGAACGAGAGTTAAAGTGGGTTAAAGAAGAATCCAACAAACACGAGTGACGAGGAACCGAAGCTGGAGCTCACCTCTAATGGTACACAGTGCACACACTTTCCAAGGGCACCATGGCGACATCTGAAACGAGAAAACACTCATCAGCGCTCAGACACTCGTGATGTTTGATTCTCATGATCGTAGTGGATCATCTTCTCACAGTTGTGGATCTCGGTTCCTGTAGATCTTGCCGTCTTGCTTGGCCAGATACTGATCGATCTCGTCCTCCTGGACCTGGGGTGCCGAGAAGGACCGGGGGATCATGGAGGATGATGATGAAGAGGAGGAGGATGAAGATGATGAGATGGATGGTAGTGATGAAGATGAGTGTGGGGTGGCCGTGTCCATCACCTCCCCGGAGGAGGAAGAGGAGGCGCCTGAGGGGAACAAGAAGAGCATGTCGCCGTGCCTGCAGAGGAGGAGAGACAAAAACAAACGTGTTTATTTTCTGACTCTACGGTAAATCAGCTGTGAGGACGTCTGTCTGCTGGCTTCATGTTTAAGACCTCTGCTTTCAGTTTTTTAATTATCAGAGATTTTTTAGGGATTAACTCCGACTAACAACTCCATCTGAGGTTGTGACAAAAATATAAAAGGTGCTGTGGAGTTTTCCAGGAAACTAATCCTGCTAAGAATCCTCTGTGGAGATCCTCTCATGGTGGAAGTAGAGCTGCACGATTTTGGCCAAAAATAAAATCCAGATTTTTTTCACTGAAAACTCGATTTTTGATGTTTTATTCGGTGACAACTTCACCAAACTTCACTTTAAAAATAAGTTTTTCTATCATCTCTCAAATTAAAACCACTGAAAACGATGTAGTGCACATGCCAAACCCGTAAGTGGCGCTGTAATGCTGAAGAAGAGTACAGAGCATGTGTATAAAGGTTGTTTTGGTGCCATAAAAGAGTTACTCTGTGTGTCACATGATCGTTTCCAGAGATGCAGATAGACATCCACACGGAGATGAAATGGTCGTCGTTTACAGATTTATTCACTCTCTGACCCGTTTAGAAAAAGTACCGTTTACAGTCACCTGAAACGCTGATACAACAAAAAAACTCTTCCGTTTCCATGGTGACGGGTTGATACCGCCTTCAGACAGACTTTGCAGCGGGGAGCGGTTTACTCTTCGTCTTGAAACTAATTCAACACGACTGACTCTTTTACTAACGCCATGTTTGTTTACACTTGGGTGTGTGGGAACTGGGGGCACTCCCACAGGAAGGGGGAGGAGCCTACGGTGGGCTGGAGGCGCGAGAAATGATAGAAAGGAAAATCGATTTGTTGATTTTAATTTTTTTAACATCGTCAAAATCAAATAATCCGATTATGATTTAAAATCAATTAATCGTGCAGCCCTAGTTGTAAGTAATTTTTACACAGTAAGTGAGTTTATTCTCGGGTGGTGTCAGAGAAGAAACTGACGGAGTATTTCCTGAATGAAACTGGAGACCAGAATAACCACAAAGAAGTTCTAGAGCTGGTGTCAAGTCTTTAAAAGGCGCCCCGACCTTAAACGAACTTTCGGCACAAATTAGACGTATTTTTTAAACATGAACTTTTTAATCTGATGCATCAGAGTCAAAAGTTTCAACATGTTTTTAGTATCTTGTAGAGTAAAGCAGTTTGAGTCGCCTCGTTGCAGAAATGTGAATTATAAATAAACTCTGGATGTCTCCTAATCGAGGGTCGAGTTTCAGGATGGAGACTCTTTAACGCTCGAGGTTGTTGGTTCGACTTACTTGATCTTGAGCAGACTCAAAGTTTTGTTCTGAGAGAGGATCTCTCCGGTCTTGTTGCGGTTCAGATAAATAGAAAACCCATTGGAGTTGAACCCGAACTCTTTGGCCACCTACAAGAGAAGAAGAAAATGAAAACAGAGAGTCACAAGGTTTGAAAGAAGCAACGGCACTTTAAGTTTAGGGCAATAAAATCAGACCAACTTCAGATGGACGTGTGCCGATGAAAAAGAATCATGTGTGAAGATTTCCAAGTGTTTAATCGATGCTAATCAACCCGACAAAGTGGATTAGCACAGATCCTCTTGGCACCAGAGTAACTGGGCCTGTAGGAACTCCTCCTAAGAGCGTCAGAGAGAGAGCCAAACGGGGCTTTTAAGATCTGTCTGGACAGCAGAGTTCAGCACATCACTTTTCTTCACTTCAGGTCAATAAACACGGAGACCATCAGACCGAGCCGAGCCGCCGCCGCCGTCTGTGTTTCATCACCTGAGGTCCACTTAGTTCAACGACCGTGTTTTACTGCAAACATCCAAACAAGACCAGAGGACTGCATCCAAACGACAGAATAAACACAGATTCGGTTTAAACTGAGGGCAGACAGAGGGACTCTGAGGGTGTGGAGGATGAAACAACGTTTTCTGACAGCTTCTCAACAGAGGAGAGTCAAAGATAGAATTAGAGCGCTCTGGTAAAACAGTTTCCTGTCAGTCTGAAGAGGCAGAAATTCACTTTGAGCTCCGTCTCCTCTGTCTCTGCAGCAGACAGAGAAACTGCAGCAGGCTGGACTCAGACTGTCCCTGCCCTGTCTGCTTCACTCCGGAGGGTTTTTTCTCCCAACCATGGCAGACACTGGAAACTGCTCCTCATTGATCTGCAGGCTACATCATCCTGCCTCCAGCAGGAGAGACATCCATTTTTAATGAGGAGGAGCTGCTGCAATGACCGCTCTGCTGGAAAACATCTCTGTTTGAAGATTTTTAAGGAGTATTTTCATCTGCTGCTGCTGCTGTGACCAAACTCTGAGAGAACCACTAAAATACTCAAAATCAGGACTAAATACACATCAGGTCATTGTGATCATGTCTTTATTGTAAACCTGGACCTGGGTTTCAGTTCATAAATCTAGACTGATATTAATAAAAGCAGACTCCCTCTTTACGCCCTGAACATGAATTTCCCCTGCAGAGCCACAAGTCTCCAACAACAGGACTGAACAGTTCTGGAACTTTCCTCCGAGCTTTTTAATAAATGAACAATGAGCCGACACCAGCGGGAAACACAAGAGAGGCACGTGACCGCACACTGATCACTGGAGCATCTAGAAAACCATCAGGACTGAGTTTGTAAATAACTTATGAAGTATGAAACAAACGTGTGAATCAGGATGACATGAAAAAAGTGTTTACCTTCTTCAGAAACGCAGACGCCGTCTCCCTCTTGGTTGAAGGAATTTTCTTCATCCCATCGGGCGACTGAACCCTGATGATCTAGAAGAGGCAAAGACAAGAAACCTGTTCAGTGTTTTCAAAATAAACTCGACATTGTCTTTGGAAACCATGGATGCTGCTTTCACCTGGATTTTAACAGGCACTACTGATAATGTGAGGGTGCAGAAATGTCCGAGGTGATTGACCCAAACTAGAGAACAGACTGGACACTGATTATTGCTTTGATCAGACCACACTTCCAAAACCAGGTCCTGTTTTTTAGGACAGGGTTGAGTTGAAATACAGAGACCCTGAAGCAGCAGAAACTCTTCATCAGTCAAGAGTAGAACAAACTTTCTCTCCTCAGCTCCCAAATGTTCATGAAGAGATGTTAAAAAGGATTTTACCTCTCTGGTATTAGGTTTGTTTGTTTGTTTGTTTCTCGTCACAGTTGTATTTGCTCCTACTCTGCTCTGAGGTTGTGGAACGATTTACCTCTCCATATTAGACAAGCTCCCCTCACCGTCCATTTTTAAAACCGTCTAAAAACCCACTTTTTTTATGAGACGGCATTTGTTTTATATTTTTAAACAACTATTTATTGTTGTTTCATGTTTTTATGAACCGCACTTTGTATCAGCTTTGGTTGTATTTTAAGTGCTCTATAAATAAAGTTGAGTTATATTTGAGTAAATTCACTGTACCAGCGAGTCTGCTGACTTTCATTTTTACTTTAAACAGCTGAGGTACGGTGTCAGTTCAAGGAGAATGTCGCCTCACTTCATTCAAAAAGTGAATTTTCCAGATATATTCCTGATTCACGGACTCAGAGTGAAATATTTCAAGACTTTTCGGTTTGAATCTTGATGATCACAGCTGATCAAAAATCTGAAATCCACTTTTTCAAACGTCAGAAGTTTGTGGACAGTTACTCAAAGAGCTCAGATCAGGTGATGATCCCTGAACTCCTCCAGATGTTCACTGAGTCTTTATTCCAGTCCACAAAACCACATTCAGGTGAGGGAGGAAGAGAAGACCAAGAAACAGGGATGAGAGCAGACTGGAGAGGACTTCAGGGAGCTTCACAAGGGCTGGACTGAGTCTGGAGTCAGAGCACCAAAGCCAGTCAAGACCCTCCTGAATCAGAGACAAGATCATCAGAGTCGAACCTGGACCAGGAGAAAAAGAACTGGACTGTTGCGCAAGGGTCCAAGAGGAGGATCAGAGAGGCCCAGAATCTAACGTCGTTGGAGTTTCCAGTCTGTGATGGTTTGGGGTGTCATGCTGTAAGTCTACCAAGAGGTTTTAGAGACCTCCTTGCTTCATCTGTGGAGGAGCTTTGTGGGTTTCCTTTTCCAGCTGGACCTGACACCTGCCCACAAAACTATCACAACCACTGGTTTACAGGCTAAAGCACTCAGGGATCGACAGTGCGACCGTTTCACTGACATTTGTGACTAAAAATAACCGGGAATAACAACAGCAGCGCGGTTAAATCTACTCGACACCCTCACTGTCAACGTCGGTGTTGAATAAGGGACCGTCAATAAATTACCAGTTGATGTTCTCAGAAAATTCTGTTTTCCTTTAATAGCTTCCATGTCATGTGACCAAAAGACCTGAAACTGATTTAAATTAATAGTACTACGGTCGGACAATAAGACAAACATTATTTGATAAATTTTTATTTTAAGTTCTCTATGTGCTCCTTACTTTTTTAACGTAGGAGAACATGTGAAAAAAGTTAGTGTGAAGCCCTGGTATTACAGTTCTTGATTGACCTGAACCACGTAGAGGATCTCTAAGGTACCATAAAGAGACAGAAGAACCGTAACACCGAGTTAGACCCCCCCTCTAGAGATGAATGTTGCCGACCGCTTGCTTCTCTAGTTTTACCAACTTTAGTAAAGACCGCAGGATAGCAATACAGAGAGACACGCACTCAACCAAAACGCCACTCTATAGCCACAAATAATGCTCAGAACAGCACCTAACTTCATCAACAGGACATATAGGGTCACAGACATAGTACTAGACACCAAACATCTTTTTAACTTTGACTCATTTCTTTAGCAAAGAGACTAAACACAACTCACCTACTCTCTTCCAGCAGACGCTTGTCAGGCCAGTCCATTATGGACTACAGCGGGGTTTCGCAGCTCAAGGAACAACATTTATGATCATTTCTACATGGAAATACAATCAGAACGAGACGCTAAGGCAGAAGAACTACCGCGGGGATTATTACTTAAAGGAAATGATAAAGAAATGGTTTCGGAGCTTCAGGACTCTGTAGTTGGAGTCACCGCATGGGTTTAAAATCACTCTCCTGAGGTCGAATAAATCAAAATCTAACTCTCTTTTGGAAAGGGTAACTGGACTTACTTGGGACGTTTAGGCAAAACATCTCAAGTAAGTCCAGTTACCCTTTCAACAAAGAACTGTAAATCATAGATGCTCCATCCTCAGTGTTAAAGGGATAATCCGGCGTAAAATACCGTTAGAGTCAAACACACCGAAACATAATGTATCCTACATGTTCTTCCTTGAGCTGCGTCACCCCCCTGAGGAGCCTACAGTCAAACTCTAACCCCCTAAATAAGGACAGACAGCATGTGAAGCAGGTGAGGTGGGACTACCTAACACCTGTGGGTCATGGGGGGTTGGCTGTTCCCCCTTTCCTCTCCCCTCCCTCTGCTCTCAGATCAGTCAGGGTCAGGATTATCTGTCAGGGATGACGGTGCAGAAAAGTCTTGTTGTCGTTTCCTTAACATTAAAAAACTGAGATAATCTGTTAAATTCAGGACGGAAAACCTCGATTTAATCTGTCGGAGTGAAGCTTTAATCTGTCCACTAATGTCACTTTTAATGAATCAACATAAACACTACAGCTCCTCCACATTCATCCAGAATATTCCAGATTAGGTTTCTCTATCGAGCCGCTCAAATCTCTAAATTCTGTTTTTCGGTGTTTAATCCGGTTACAGAGACACAAACGTCTGTTTTTACTCCGATTATCGAAGATTAGCCGGTTAGCCGAACAGGCCCCGGTCATCTTCATACCGAGCTAACGTTAGCCGTGAAGCTAAATCTGCTGCCTCATCACTCCGGAGCCGCTGCTGCTGTTTAGAACCCGAACCCGAACCTGAACCCGGGTCCGGCCCGGGGAAAAGAAGCGGCCGTTAGACTCACAATGTTGTCCTCCATGTTGGTGAGGTGAAGAGTCCCGGTGGATCTCCGTGTGTTCGTGGAAAGACCGAGAAAAAGTCACGGAGGTTCAAGAGTCTGTCAACGAAACTCCATCCCACAACTCAAACACCGGGGGTTACACTCATTAGTGACCGACCGACTCCACACCGGTCCCACACCGAACAGACCACGGAAGAAACAACGAAAACAAACGTTCCTGTTTCATTTATTCGGTTAAATAAAATTAATTATTTGTTCATTTTCGCGCCCTGATCTAAGTTTAACAAGCCGATTAAGTTTCATTTCATCCCGTTCGAGCTGGATTTGGTCTTTTTTTTAGTCTTTGTTTTTTTTTCATGACGGAATATCCTTTTTAATTGAGTCTAATTCAGAAATAAATGAAAAATCAGGAAACACCAAAACAATTTAGGAAAAAAAAACATATATATTAGGAAAACTATTTGCAAAAAAAGGCATCAATATTAAATACTTTATAAATGAAAAACATTGTTGTTTTTGTGAAACATTTTTTATTATCTATTAGTGTTTCTTAGTTTGTTTATTGCTTTGTAAAATTTTCCTGCATTTCATTAAATAATTCTGTTTTTTAAAAATATGTGAATTTCTTTGTATTTTAGAATATATTAACACATATTAAACACATGTATATTAGGAAAAACAATTAGCAAAAAAGGAATCAATATTAAACACATTTTATCATGTGACTATTTGTTTGATTTTGTGAAATTTTTCATTTATTATTTTAGCCTTTCTTGATTGTTTTTATAGCTTTGTGAAAATTTCCTTCATTTCATGAAACAATTCTGTTTTCTGTAGTTTTTTTGTGAATTTTTTGTTTTTATAAGAGTTTTTTTTTTTTTTTTAGAATTTTTTTGTATTTTAGGAAATATTTCAGTGTTTTTTTAATGTTATGAGATAATAACATACTTAAGATTTTGGTTTCATGTTGTGTGCTTTGTTTCACAAATCATTTTTGTGTCTTGTGAAATATTTTTGTAATGCAGAATTACACACTTGCATGTGTAACAAAGGATATTTACTCTCAGTTGAGCTATGAACTGGATGTTTCACTCAAAATTTTCACAATGTTGAAAAAACAGATGATAAATTATCAATTTAAAGTTCTTTATTCCAAACAGACAAAAAAAAAAGACATATGATTATATTCGAATGTTATTTCTCTTTACAAGCTGTTGTTAACCCTCCACAGAAAACTGATTTTTTGTTTTGTATCTTAGATTTGGACAAAAGAGTGTCTATGATGGTAGAGGCGACATACACAAAGTAGGAACCTGACCACCTTTTGGTTTTACCACGAAAACTTTGAGGGTTGTTTGTAAAAGTTTTAGACTAGAAAAGAAGAGGAGCGATTAAAAAAGAGGAACACAAACAAGCAGAAAAAGGTGTCACAAGCTTTTAATAAACAATGAATCTGGTGATGATGGGAGAATCAAATCAGTGCATCCTGAACACAGAGAGCAGAGGTTTTGTATAAAGTGCAGAATAAGAAAACAAACTGAAGAACGTTTTCTGTATTTGTTTGTTCCTGTACACTGTCGGACGACTTTATTTAGAGTTTCTCTCATTTGAAGTAGTGAGACGGAGCCCGAGGCAGATGGTGTGAAGTCCGAGGATGTGGCCTGTAATCCTCAGAGGATTGTCGTGAGGAGCAGGAAGGCTCAGATGATACCGTACTGAGCCAGCTCGTGCAGCTCCAGGTGATTGAAGGCCTCCCAGGGGCAGATGACCGTGATATCTGCGGGAAACACACACACACACACACACACACACACACAGACACAGCGTGAGTGTGTTAAAACCCTGCAGATCAGATCACAGAAACAGATCTTAAATAGATTATCTGAACTCACCTGTGCCTAAGCCCTCCATCCCGGGGATGTCGTCACCAAAACTGCGAACAAAGAAATCACACATCGTTACTCCTCAGCCTCTACACTAACACTGAAGAAGTCGTGCATCTTCTCAGACCTACCCCTGGATCCCCTTCTTTGGGGGCTTGCTCTTGAACTGGCGGGTCTGCCTCTGCTTGAACTTGGGCGGGCCTTTGCGTGGGGTGGCGGGGCCTCCGGTGACACGGGTGGCGGACTTGATGTCAATTTTGTGCGGATCCAGATTCATTCTGAGCAGATGTGACGCTGAAATGATCCCGCTGACGTCCTGATGATGTCTTTATGTTTACAGGGGAAAAAAAAACAGAGATTAAAACAACACAAAGACGATTTATCTGTTATTTTTGTCTTCCTTTCTCACTACTCTTCGTCTTATCGTACTCTTAATCGCTGAATATGTCTGAGTTTCTTGAACTACGTCTCCTAAAACTGAAAATAAAAGTCTGAAAGTAAATGAAAATCCGGCTGAGAGTTTATATTGTGTTACAAGGAGTTTACCTTGTTTCAGCACCAGTAATGTGTCAACGCAGTTCAACTCGTTCTTCTATTTCATTCATATAAAGGACATAAAAGGTCAAAAGGTCAATGAAGAGCCTCGGTTTAACTAATAAGGTCTGTCCCCTGATCAATCCCTCTCTGCTCACTTGTCTTTGTATTATAGCTTCCTATCTGTTTCCTTCTTATAGTTTCCTTCTGTTAGGACTTAATCCTTTATGTTAACACAACAGTGAAGTTTTGTTTAAGTTCCTGTTCTGTTTAAACAAAAGTTCCTCCTTCCTTTGTCACCTCTGGATGACTCTACAGACCTTAATCCTCTTACTGGTCTGACCGGGACCAGACTGGACCCACTCTCATATTTCTCCCCAACAGTCTGTCAGTGAGGACGACCCAGTTTTCCCATAATCCCCGGCTCAAGTTAATAAGTCCTCTCCCCTCAGTTTTAAAGCCAACTGTCCACCTGTAATCCTGTTAGAGTAACAAGGACAACAAGGCGGATCTGCTGAACAGGCACTGAGGGTCTGAGTGATCAATCCGATCACAGAGTCCCGATAACAAAGACTCAACCTCTGCATTAGAGATCCAGGAACCACGTGACTGAAGAGGGCGGAGTTTAATATGACTTTAATATGACTTTAATAAATGTCTATTTGAGTAACTTATCGATTAAAACTTTCTAACTGTCATTTTAACCGTTATCCATCTCTCAACGGTTAATCAATGCTGTAATTTACGATCGATCGGAAAAACTGTACACTTCAAAATAAAAGCATAGTTTCAAAAAGGGACTCAAACAGGAAAGAAAAAAATGCAAAATAAAAGCATGAAAAGGCCTCCTGTCGATGTAAATAAAATCATTTATTTGAACACAATAAGAAACCGATGATACGAACCATATTAATAAAACGTTTTCTATACTTATTAATTAATATCAATATTATCATACATCCATTTATTATCTTTACAGTCATGATAAAATGTTAATTCTCACTCTGTTCGGATAAATCCACAGTTTCATGTCCATAAATCCGTCATTTTATCTGTTTGAAGATGATTTTCTTAGAAATAAAATTCTGCTCATTGTAATAATAATATAATCCTCTTTTTTAAGGCTTTGAAAACAAAAGTTTGCAGGGTAAGGTGGGTTATATATATGAACATAAAGATGCTGTTGGATTGTTTGGTGCCAACCAAAAAGTTTCTGAAACATCAAATATAATGACCTGACTTATTTACGTTTTAGTCTAAAGAAATGTGTTTTTAAACCTCGACCAAATGTTGAATTCATGTATCTAGATTTATTTAAATAATGATAAAATGTCCTAAAGCTGACTTTTATCTCCAGACATGACATGTCGACACTTAGAAACTGAAAAAAGATTGATGAAAAGATTGATGTTCATCTCTCAGTTTGGGTAAAATCATTTTAGTTGAAAAACACTTAAAAAAGGATCCATAAAATCCTTTAACTTCCATGCATCTCCAGTATGGCAGCTCTTCTTCTTCTTTTTTCGAATCATTGACCTCCTCTAAAATAGTGTCTGTTTTTGTGTCTGAAGTTGCTGTGATGTAGTGGAGGGTCTACTCACCGGCTGCTGGATGAAGAACAGACAGATAAGCAGGCAGGTGGAGGAGGAGAGTGCAGCAGCTGAGCGGAGTTCAATGTCGGGTCCTCTGTGAGGGCCAGCGAGGTTTTCGGCCCCTCTTTTATGCCCCTGCAGAAGATTACAAACACACACACACACACACACACACACACACACACACACACCCTCTGCTCTGATGTCAACAGTTTATGACTCAAGGCTCAGGGCAAAGTAGGTGAGGGAGGTCACGTGACCAAAAACCTCTTATTACGTTGTCTTCATTGCGGATATGTGCAGATATTTGGTTCATACAAATATGCATCCTGTAAATTAGACAATCAGTGTTGAAATTAAAATGACAGACACCTGATTGGGTTTAGAGTTTAGGTGCAAGAGGATTTTTTGTAGGTCTTGGCGTGATACACAAGCCCTGTGAAAATCACGCAGTTGTCCTTTCAACAAAGAACTGCAAATCATAGATGCTGCATCTTCAGTCTTAAGCAAGATCTCCAGGTTTAGGAGCAACATCTGCTGCCTGTCTTTAATATTTGAAGCATCAAGGCACAAAAGTAGGGCTGAGGAGACTCTGAGCAATGCTGAACAAATCAAAACCTGGTCCAAACTGGACGCATTAGATTGATGTAGATTTGGGAACATTGTGTGAAAGTGTCCTGAGATGACCTGGAGATCGCTCACTCTCAGTCATGTAACAGTCCGACCACCTGCTTCAGGGGAAAAACCTTCAGTCCTTCATCCTACGAATATCTACTCTTAATGCATCATCTATATATGAGTTCTGTGTCCTTAGTTGAAGATTTCCATTGACTGATATGACACACACACATTACATGACGCAGAGTGACAATCATCAGGACTAATCTGTCCTCCACGTCAAAGTCTCTGAGTCCGGTCCTGTCTGATCAGAGAGACGTCCACCTCTTAATCCTCTGTGTGATCAGGATCACAGAAGAACTGCAGGTGGAGCTGCTGACGGACTCTGTGTAAACAGGACTTAAACAGAGCTCCAGTGACTCAGGACTGCTGCTGCTGCTGAGTCTGGGATCAGATTGGGGTCACCTCAGAAACTGGTGCTGAGAGATTGAGGGAGAAAGAGGCAGCTGGCCCAGATCACCTCAGATGACCGGGAGACGTCATTTTGCTGTTTTCCACAATCTATCAGGTGATAACTTCATTTAAAGTCGTTTAGATTCTCAGAAAATCAAATATCTATATCTTTATAAGTGGCTTAAAAAACCTCTGCAGACTGGACTGGAGAGCTTGATTCAACATCTTTTACAGCAAAGTTAAATATTTTGTTCAATTTCATGTCCCTGTGTAAAACTCTTCCTTCATATAAACAACATAAAGACATAAAGATATGTCATAGAAAAGATGTCATAAAGAGCAGAGACATGTCTATCTGGCGCCCTCTAGTGGTCTTTCCTTGTACTAATGCTTCACCAATGAGAACAGTGTGTTCATGTTGTATCAGAAATATCATTTATTCATCAATCGAACCTTCAAAATAAATTCAAATACATATTTACCTCTTCAGAATCACAGTAAAGACACATAAAAGTCAACTTGAACAGCTGAGATCAGAAAATAAAAGTGCAAATCTGTTTTAACGACTTAAAGACGGCAGCCGTGAATCTGTGAGTGATGCAGAAAAAGAGACACGAAGATGTGAAATCTGAGGACAAACATAAATATACTAAAACTACTTCCAATGACACGATGCACTTTAATAACATAATTCAAGTCATAAATGAAAATCTCAGAGCAGTGCAGACAGAAATATACGACACGCTTTTCTTTTTTTATCCCAAACATTCAGCCTTCACTTTCAGCAAAGCAGCTGGACCTTTAATCTGCAGACTGGTCCATAAATAACCCGGTCCTCTCTAAACAAGATATGGCGGTACATTGTCTTCTTCATGTTGCTCACTTCTGTCCAGATCTTTGCTCGTGTTGTTCTTACTCTCTCCAGACAAAAGTGTCTCCTAAATGTGACTTAACGGTAAATTCAGAGTTTTCAGCTGCATGAATCTGAGCAGAGTAGATCATCTTACGCTGAACCCTCAACCTGCACTGGGGCAGATTCTGTTCATGATGAGAAATGAGTTTGCTGTTGTTTCAAAGAACAAGTCGGGCTTTAAAAGCAAACTGAAGACCTCACTTTTCTGAGGCTTTAAACTGAGCTTTCATATGTATCTTGAGTTTAAACAACACTTCTTCAGGGGGACTTCAGCTCTTGGAGTGTCTTTACTGTTTTCATTTGTCAAAATGACCCGCGCCAAGGAGGGAAACACAGGTATAAAGATCCAGTATCTAGAGATTCCTCCCTAAACTTTGACCTTTCTGTTTTGTTCATTGCAACAAGAAATTTCTGCACATATTCTTGTAGAAAAAATGTCTAAAATCTGTTTTGCTGACAGCACAGGAGGACTAACAGCAACCTTCACTTTCACATCCTACCTTAAACACTTCTGTTTGTTGAGAAGACATGATCTGTGTAATTGGGGCTGAAATCAGTGACTCAAAAGTGCTCACAGTCTTCGTTAAAGCCTCCTCTTTAGTACGAGGACAGTCTATCCACGGTCATTTCTTCTTCAACAGTCTGATCTCCATCTTTAAATACGTTTTCAAGTTCTCATCCAGAACGTTCTCCTCAATAGCAGTGAGCGCCCGGTCTCCGCCGTCGCTGTAATACTCCAGCAGCTGCTCTGCGTGTTCGATCCACACGCAGTTATGACAGCCGCTCATACAGCAGTGAGTGGGAGCGGGCGGAGGACCCTGATCAGGAGTCCATGTGGAGGCGCTGCGGGTCTGTTCCGGATCAGAGCAGTCGGTGGAGTCAGTCAGAGCGGAGAGGGGAGGAGAGTCCGCTGGAGTAGAGAGGAGACGTGAGGAGGAGGCGCAGTGAGGAGCTCTTCTCCGGGATGGCAGAGGAACGTGATGTGGAGGATGTCTGAGGTTCAGCAGGGAGAGGATGCACAGCTGAAAAACAGAAAACAGTATGATGAAGATGTTACATAATCTATGAAAACATCTTTATTCTGTTCAATCTTTCATTCTCCAGGTTTCTAATCTCTTAATTTTCCCAATCTTTGAGGAGCACCTGTATATTTACAGAACGCAAAAATATCATGGGGCATAAACCAGGTGTTTAAAAGATCAGATTTTAAGGATCAGAAGTTTCTTCTTCTGGGATAACAAAGGATTACAAAGGGCTTAGGATAACAAAGCTAGTTTTTAAACTCAGTACAATGACATAATGAAGCTTATATTCTTATATAACTGCACAATTTCAACTAAACTGTGATAGTCAAGATCTGTTTATCTGAGCTTGTCTTATAATGTCCCTTTAAAGGGATATTACGGCGGATGTATTTATGGTCAAAAACACTGCAACACTGAGTTAGACCCCCCCTCCAGAGATGAATGTTACCGACCGCTTGCTTCTCTAGTTATACCAACTTTAGTAACGACCGCAGGATAGTAATACAGAGAGACACGCACTCAACCAAAACGCCACTCTATAGCCACAAATAATGCTCAGAACAGCACCTAACTTCATCAACAGGCAAATAAATACGGTTAAGATCTATAAGTTAAAATCTCCCCAAAGAACAGAGCAAGCATCAGTGACAATACATATGACACTGGTAAAATTAGACACAACATAAACAGGTGGAGGTGGGTTGCAGAGTGGTTGCAGCAGGCAGAGTAGGCAGGTGAAGCAGTTCCAATAGGGCGCCATTTTGACATTAGCCAATAGGATTTGTAGAGGACAGTCACCTGAGCTGTCAGCTGACTGTAGCCCTTAGCTTGATTCCGTGACCTGCCTGAACTACCGCTGTGCTTCATTAACATGATGTTTATTACTTCAAGGAAATGATTAAAAAATGATCATAAATGTTCTTCCTTGAGCTGCGTCACCCCGCTGTAGTCCGTAATGGACTGGCCTGACAAGCGGCTGCTGGAAGAGAGTAGGTGAGTTGTGTTTAGTCTCTTTGCTAAAGAAATTAGTCAAAGTTAATAAGATGTTTGGTGTCTAGTACTATGTCTGTGACCCTATATGTCCTGTTGATGAAGTTAGGTGCTGTTCTGAGCATTATTCGTGGCTATAGAGTGGCGTTTTGGTCGAGCGTTTGGTTTTCAGCCAAACATGAGACTCATGAGTCAGACTGACCTCTAAGATCATTTTAGATCGTCTCAGTGAGTTTGATCGTAAATGAAAACCCCTATAACCTCCGTTTACTTAAATAACAGAAAAATACGAGTTTAGATCTTTAAAATCCTCAGAGTTTGACCGAAAGAGGAAACCTGTCAGTTCTGCTCGCCATTAACATTAAGACTCCAGCTAACCGTTATTAGCTAAGCTTAGCTTCACTAACCTTTTGTAAAGACAGCGACGTCCTCACAGCCTGAACACCCCAACAAGACATCATCGAAGAGGGTTCAGATTTCACAACCAATCCGTTTAATTCATTATGTCTTAACTTTATATGTCTTAATCTAAATCACTCCCTCCTGGAGGTTATTACATCCTCACCATCAGCTGCTTTTTAAGCTAGCTGCGTCACCTCCTACAGCATCAACTCTGAACTCTAGTGTGATCGTAAACAGAGACGGTGATTGGTGGAGAGAAACTAAAGCGACCAATGAGGACAGACTTTCCCAGAGCTGGGCCAATTGAAAGTGAGGAAGAGCAAATGGGCGGGTTCAAGCGTAGCGGATGCATTTTGAAGGTTTGTCCAGCAGATGTCAGTGTTTGATCAGAATGAGAGGATGAATTAAGGTTAGAGAGGAAAATTTGTGTTAAATAAAAGGAGAATAATCATGTTTGAGACCTTAAAATATGAATATATATATTTGTTTACATACATAACATCATTAACACCTGGAAAATCAGATAAAACAGCTCAACCACGACCTCTACTTTAGGGAAACGCTTATATTTTCATATTTGTTTGAAACAGAGGTGTTCATTGTGTTTTGTATTGAAGGAAGATTGTTTATTAGTATAAGTATTTCTTATATTTTGTCTACATTATTAAGAATGTAAGACTATAAGACTATAGATGAAAAACTGACACTGAAAGCTCATACAGCATTGACTTAGTTATCATGTAATTACCAGATAATTTCATGTTGTTACTTGGTAATTACCTGGTAATAAATGTACCGTAAAAGAAAGTGTTACCGATGTCTCTTCTCTCTGCTCCCTCCCAACTAATTGATAAGAAATGTTGCAATGTGACATGCTTTTGTGACATTATGAAACTGCCTTGGCTGGAATAAATAAAAAGAAAGAAACATGACAGGTAAAGGTAATATATAAGGAACATTGCTAAAAAAAGACCCCACTCAAGTAAACAAAAAACACCCACAACAACTATGGAGTGAGGCACCGTTAGGTGTAAATATCTTAATTCTGACAAAATACATTTATTTTGGTGCAGAAAAGTTTTGTTTCATTATTTAGAAACTCAAACACGTCAAAACTTAATCAGCATAAAAAGACTGTGTGTGCTTTCACAGCCTCTAGATTTGTTTTTGCAGCACAGACTCATAACAACTGTAATATCAGGCACTCTTCAAACAGAGCTCGTCTAGACCGTCCTTTTCTGTCGCATTATTTACAGACGCAACATAAATCCTCCACGAGCAAACAGAGGCCAGGAAAACCTCGAAATAACAGAAGCTGAAGTGGACTCATGATGACGTCCGTCTGCTCTGACTTTACAGAGATAAAAGAGAGGAACATAAAGATTTAGATTTTAGATTTAATGAGTTAAAGTGAAAGAGTTTTACAGTCTGATTTCATAAATAAAGCAGATGAGTTGAGATGCTTTTCCTGTATCAGTGAAACCAAAACCTTCTCTGATGGAGTTTCTGTCCAACTCTGCTTCAGGCCACTTTCTTAACTATTTGACCCACTCACTGATGCGTGAGCAGATTTTTGTGTGTGTGTGTGTGTGTGTGCGTGTGAACAAGTGTGAGTCTCAGGTCCCTGCAGACCTCAATGTTTGCAAGCCTGGTCCATGGTAACACAGTGTGGAAACAGAGCAGCTGCTCGGCCTGGCATGAGATACCAGGTGTGTGGTGGGGCATGTTATCTCACCGGAGGCCCCGATCACAACGCCACTTTATTCCGAGGAGAGGTTCTCCCTCGGTCTCAGTCATGCTTCATAGAAACTCTGAGCTTTATTCAGACACATAAAGCCGTCGGCTCTTAAAAGGCTGCAGATCTTAGCCTGAAAGTCCAGCCGAAGGCAAACAGCCTCTGAATAATAACACGGTGACTGTGTTTACACAGGGAGGAGAGTGAACACAGAGCTCAGTGTTTAAATAGCCTCCATGATTCAGTCGGACTCTCAGTCTGATAATGGTTTCATCAGTATCATTATAAATTCCACTTCACTGTGACTTTTATTGTCATGTGCTCAGCGGCTCATATTTCACTCTAAGTGCTTCAAAAACAGAAACGCTTAATAAAGTGGACAGAGTGGAGCTGTGTGGGCAGACCAGTCATGTCAAAGTGATCCTGATGATTCGGCACAGTGGGGCCGCGGTTCGATCTGTTGATTTGCAGGTTTGATCCCCGGGGTTGAACAGGAAGTCGTCTGTTTTCCATTTTTGTTTACATCCAGATGGTTCAGCGTTATGACATTATGCTATCAGTCGTTAAAGGTGAGGTAGGTAGGAATCCGTGTAGTCAACATTTTACCATTTTTGAGCGGTCCGCTCTTTCTGACTGTAAACAAAGCCGTTCTCCACCTCCTCTAACCTGATTGGTTGTGAGGCAGACGCTGCTCCCTCGTGTCGTTCAGGAGCCCAAACAAAGTTAGCGTGCTACAATATCGGACAGTAGAAACCAACCAGAAAGTTCGGAAAATTGTCTGAATCCTCCTTTGGCCACGACTGCCGACACAAGCAAGAAAACAGAGTAAATACCGGAGACTCTGGAGGAATAACGGGCGCTTAAAACGGAGGTAGACCGGACAAGAGCTAAAAAGCCGGGTCAACATAAACCATGGGGGACGCTTGGGGATCTTGCTGACCCTGTAACCTTTCTGCTGGACAGGTAAACCGCTTTAACAAAGTAAGACAAGTGTCTGTAACAGAAGTGTTTCTTGTCAAACGGACCTGCTGTAGCGTGTTGTAGCGCCATCGCTAAACTGTCCTCCCTCGGGTCCTGGACTATGTCACTTTATCCTCGTTGTAGAAGTCCTGCAAACATTGTGTTTGCTGGTAGTCTGTTGGCATCTACAGTAGCACCAATGCTTTTGACTTTCACCTTGACTGGGCCCCATTTGTAATGATCTGAAGTATTTATCTGCATTATATCTGAATTTAACTGGAACGATACGAGCGAGCAGGAGCGTCTGTTTGTGGGCGGGGCTTGAGGGGAGAGGAGGAGCTGAGGGGAAAACTGGTTGGGAGGGGTCGAGTTTACATTCAAGATTTCTCCAAAAAACTGGAACTTCCTCAGATCCTGACTACCAAACCTTTAACTGGAGCAGGGAAGAAAAATTTACATACAGGCCTGCCAGTCGAGACAGGACCTATATAAATGTATTTACATAGAATATTCAGGTAATAGAGCATTACAGCATCATATCAACAGAGCTGCAGCCTTAGCCTGTGGCAGGTGTTTGTGCTGAAGCTTAGACGCCACATTTAACAGAGGTCAAAGGTCAAGCGTTACTTTATTTGTACCCTCAGTTAAATTTTGTTTGCAGTGAATCAGAGGGACTTTCTACCTGGTTTGTCGCGTCTTTTATTTAATGTAGATAGAAGAATAGGTTTTACACTGCAGCATTAAGTCGGACTCCTAAAATCAAACTTTGTCTCATTTAATTGTTGGTATTAACAGATAAACGAGTTTCCACGTTCACAGACACCATAATGAACAAAAACAGGGTTGAGATGATCTGATCATCTGCTCCTGGAGGTCAGCTCAGAGAATCTGTTAAGTATGTCAGGTATGTGGGCGCCGTGAAGGCCGAGGGGTCCGTTTTCTCCAAGAATGCCACCACCACTCGTCCCCTCTCAGCCCCTCTCCCGGATTAGGTTTCTCTCCACACCTTTCCTTTGGAAATCCTGGAGCCCTGCTTTACCTCCGACAGGCATTTCCTGAGGGGCCCTCTGCCTCCAGAGTGAGAGAGTGAGGGGCAGATTAAGTCGGCCACATGACCAAAACTCAAAGAAAAGAGGCTCCGAAGGGGGAAGGGGACTATTTTTGATATAGTTTGATACTTTTGAGACATTTCCCACGACCCTGAGGTCCCTTAAGTCCAGGCAGAGGACTCCTGCAGGCTTCAGAGGAATTCTTAGAGGCCTTGGGAAAACACTTTAAACTTTATTTATTAAAAAAGCTTCAAGTGTGCTGCAGCGAGCATATCATGGAGATATTAAGAGTTATTTAACTTCTCCGAAATCCTGACTTCTTTCGGTTCAAGTTTCATTAAAATCCACCAAGTCTACAGCTGAATCAAAGGTGAATGCATGCAGACCTAAAAGATTGAATAGATTTCTAACTTTCACAACAAGAAAAACAAACATTCATCAGACCGATCAGCTCCATCACTGATAATCTGAGTCAAACACTAAAACTCTCTGAGTATTTTAAACAAAACTCTACATCACCGTGTCGTCATACTTTGAATGGAAGAGATTTTTCTGGAATCTACACGAAATAAAGATTAAAAAGGAGAATTTCAGACATGCACGAATGTCAAATATGTCGTTTAAGGCCTCAAACTCTATCAGGAGGTTTCTCCTTCTTGTTCAGCATCATGTAAGTTTCCTCTGATTTAGCAGCAGAACTCAGGAGGAAGTTTTTGTAGCTGCAGCTGAGTCAACAGTCTGGAAAAACAGCTTCACCCAAATCCTTCAAACAGGAAAAAGCAGCAACAGCTTTTTTTTTAATTTCAGTCGAACTGCACCGACTTCATTCACTGACATCCTCTCTGTTTCTGGATCTGCTCAGAGTCGGACAGTCTGTGATAAACAGGCAGCAGGGAGGTGTGGACGTGCTCAGGTGTCCTCCTTCAAGGTCCTCCTGCCTCCTTCACAGCAGCTGCTTTGTCCCGAGCGCACAAAGACCTCAGTGTCCGTGTGGACGGAGAGGACGGCGGCCCCACAGATGACAAGACAGTGACTCACCTCAGATAGTGACCCGACAGAAGTGGCAGACATGTGTTTATGTGTTTCAGGGAAACGACAACAAGGCGGTGTTTACAGATAAACGGAAATTAAAATTTTCGTATCAGGTGATTGTGGCGAAAAAAAAATAGTTTAGAGAGGATGAATCTCGTGGAGTAGTGATGGCTACGACAGTTCTTTTAGATGTACTGAATCACTAGAATCAGTTCACTGAAAAGATTCGTTCAAAAGATTAATTCACCAATTCAGGATTCAGTTCAGATCACAGCCTCTGGGACCGGGAGACGAGAGTGTTTGTCTGTGTTTCTTTGACAAACAGGTTTGTAAAAATGAACTTGTTTATAAGTCATAAAGTTTTAAGTGTCCTACGGTATGATATTTATCTGGTCTGCTTGGTAAATTGGGCTCAGAGAGTGATTCGTTCATGAACGTTTAGAAGAATT